TATAAACTTATAAAATAGTTTAAGATAATAGTAAAAAAATAGTAATAAGTAGTTTTAATTAATTTTATATATTATTATTAAATTTACTTATATAAAAAGTAAAAAGGTAAGGAAAAGTGTGTTATTTACTATAATATGTTACTTACTATGTATATATGTTATATATAGGTTCTTTTAGAATTTTCTATTTATTTAATTAATATCTTATAAGTTATTAACTTATAATAAAATTCCTTTGTTAATTAACTAAGCTTATAATATATTTAAGAACTATAATTATTTTTATTAAAGCTATTTTTATTAAATTTACTAAGAATAAGATTTATTATCAGAACTCTTACTTTATCTAATCATATCCTTATATCTAATAACTATATAAACTTACTATATCTCTGTTTAGATTAAGTAAAATAGAAGCTTTATAACTATATATAACTTATTTATATATAAGATATACTTATAAGAATAAAGATAGTTTAAAAAAGACTAGCTAAGAATTAAGTTAACCTTAGAATTCTAGTCTTAGATCTAGTTAACCTTAGATTCTAGAAAACTAACTCTTAGATTTTAAATAAGATATTCTAATTAAATAATTATTTCTTAATAAAATATTCTAGAAAAAATCATAAACCTAAAATATTCTTACCTTTTAGAAAGAAATTAACTAGAATTATAATTATTTATATAATAACCTTATCTTTTTACTTTTACTTTTACTAAGTCTTTTTACTTCCTTAAAATATACTAGTAATATTTTAAGTAATTTATATATGTTTTACTTTAAAGTTATTTTTTACTATATTAATAGTAAAGTATTACTTTAAGAATATTATATATAAAAGCTATTTTTAATATAAATAGTTTTCGGTCTTTTTAATAGCTATAAGTATAAAAATAATGTAGCTCATATGTAATAGTATAACTCCCTTAGCCAGATGGTTATACGTCACAAGGGCATATAAGTAGTGTTAACAGCAAGGCTTATATACGTGTAAGCATTAACGGATCTTTTAGGTCTTTTAGGTTAATTAGTCATGGTCGCGGAGTCTAAAGGTCCTTGCTACAGAGCGTTACTGTTAGCGTTCTGTTACATTATATTTAAAAAGAATCTATAGTTATAACTATAGCTATATAAAAACTTATTATAAAAAAAGTTAAGAATTAAGTAAATACATATTATCTACTATAATATATTACTTATTATATATAGTTATATATATTAATAAGTTACTTATTATAAGAATTTACTTAGTTTCTTATTTTATATTAAAAACTACTCTTTATTAAATTTTAATAAAATTAAACTTTTATTAAAAAAATATAACTTAAAGATTATTATCATATACTAGTTGTAACGTATATATATAGTAAGTAATATATTATAGTAAGTAACGTATTTACTTATAATACCTTAAAAGTACTTTTTTAACTATTTTTAAAAAAAAATTAAAACCTTATTTAAAACTAGTAAGACTTAGTATTTACTTATTAATAAGAGTTATATACTAGTAAAAAATATATTAGAAATTATTATTATATTATTACTTTTATTCTTATATATCTTTCTTATCTAAGGCTATAATAAGAGGTTTAAGGGTTATAGTATAATAGTAATTTTAAAGATTTTTTTTAGTAATATATAACTCTTATTAAAAGCTAAACATAAGGTTTTATTAGTTTTAAATAAGATTTTAATTTTTTTAAAATAGTTAAGTACTCTTTAAAGTATAATAAGTAAGTATAATATATACTATAATACGTTACTTACTATATATATACGTTAAGTAAAGTAGTAAATCTATAAGAAAAAGTTTTTTTATACTAATAAAGATAACCTTAGTAAATTTATTAAGAATTTACTATAAATTCCTAGTAAAACCTACTTTAACAATTACTAAAAATCTCTTAGAAATCCTTAGTAGATTCCTAGTAATTTCTTTATACTTTAAATAGCTTTAAATAAAAACCTTTTAATATTTTATAATTAATCCTTAATTAATTAAGTAAAATAAAGATTATTAATCTTTATACTTATTTAATTTATACTAAAGTATAATAATTAGGCTTTAATAAAGGTTAATGTATATATATAGTAAGTGATATATTATAGTAAGTAATATACTCTTTTTTACTCTTTTACCTTTTATATAAGTAAATTTAATATAATATATAAAATTAATTAAAACTACTTATTATTCTTTTTATTATTATTATCTTAAACTATTTTATAAGTTTATATATTATATTTAATTTTTTTATAATTAACGTACTCGCATAGCGAGTAGGCCAACATAGCGAGCGGGCTACTCCTTATCGCTAGAAAAACCCCCTTTTTTAACTATTTATTAAAAATCTACTTCTTATCTAAAATAGATATAACTTTGTACAAAGGCTTGGATAAGGGTTATTAAGTAAAATAAAATCTACTAGAAATTATTACTATACTTTAACCCCTAGATCTTTAGAAATTCTCTTATCTAGAGGCCTAGATAAGAGATACTAGGGTTAAAGAGAGATAATATTTTCTATACTATTATTTACTAGAATTTAACTCTTATCGTTATATAACACTAAAAACTAGGTCTTTTTTAGATAAGAAGTAGATCTTTAATAAATAGTTAAAAAAAAGGGTTTTTTTAGCGATAAGGAGTAGCCCACTCACTATGTTAGCCCACTCGCTATGCAAGTACGTTATTATATTATTATATATATAATTTAATACTTTTTATATAATTCTTTTTTAATAAATTTTTTTTTAAATATTAATATTATCTTTTTTTATTTATAATACTTTTATTTTAATAATATTAAGTAACCCTTTAAAATATAATTAAGTCTTTTTTATTTTTTAATATTTACTTCATACTTTTATTTTTATATAAAGCTTATTATTTTTAGCTTTAAAAATAATAATTTTATAAGCTAATTTATTAATATTTTTTATTTATAAGTTAATTAATTTATATAAAAGTATTAATAAATTATTTTAATATATTTAAATCTTTTTTTTAAAAAAAAAGTATTTTATATACTTTTTTTAATTATAGTTAATATTTTTAGGTCTTAAAAGCTTTTATTATTTAAAAATAAGCTTAATAGTATAAGTATTTTTAGTTTAAAATTTAAATAAAAAATAATTATTTTAAGGTTAAAAAGTATAAAGTTTATTTATTTAAAATTAGTTTATATATTATTTTTATTTATTAATATAAAAAATATTACTTTAAAAAAAAAATTTTATTTTTAGTAATATATAAAATTTATATTTATATTATTTTTTTAATCTTTTTATTATATAAGTACTTTAATAAACTAAAATATTTTATATTAAAAAGTTAAAGCTTATATAATAAATAAAAAAATATATAAAAAATAATAATATTTTATTTTTAATAATATTTATTAAAATTAATTAATTTATAATTATTATAATTATTAAAAATTAAAAAGTAATAAGTATTTTTTATATAAAGCTTTATATATTAAATAAAATACTTTAACTAATTTTAATTAATATTATTTATTATTTATTTATTTTTATTTAAATAAATATATTATATAACTAAAAATTAATTATTAATATATTATAAAAAAAATTCTTTTTTTATAATAATATATAAAAATATTACTTAACTATTTATATATATACTTTAAATAATAAAAACTTATTTATAACTAATAACTAAACTATTTATATAAAGCCTTTTTTTATAACTAAATATTATAATAACTTTTATATATAATAATATTTTTATTAAAAAATTAATTTTATTAAAATTATAAATATTATAATTTTATATAAATATAAAATAGTTTTATATAATTATAAGATCTTTAATTAAAGCTTTTTAATAATTAATTTAATATTAAAACTATATTTTTAATTAAAGTTATTATTATATAAAAGTTTTTATTTATTAAAATTTAATATATATTATATTATATTTAAAAAAAAGTTAATTAATATTATTTTATATATTTTTTATTATAAAAAAACCTTTAATTAACTAAATTAATAACTCATTTAAGAACTACTTTTTTTTAATATAATTATTTTTATTAATTTTAAATATATTTTAGCTTATAATAGTTATTTAATATATTAATAATAAAAAGTTACTTTAAAGACCTTAAAGTTTAGAGTAATACTTTATATAAACATTTTTAAGTTTTTTTTAAAAGCCTATATAATAAAAATAATATAAGTTTTATTTAAAGAGGATTATATATTTATATATAAAAGAAAGTTAATATAAAGGTCAAAGAGGTAAAAAGGGTATAGACGTATATCACTTACTATGATGCGTCACTCACTATGCATATACGTTATATACTAATAAAATACTTTAAATATTTTAACCTTAACCTTATACCTAGATTCTTTTTTATAAAAGCTAAATAAGCTAGTTCAGTTAAGCTAAAGTATTAGTAACTATAACTTAAAATATTTATAATATTATTTCTTATAATTTAACTGTTATTAAAGTCTAAGTTTAAATTTTAGGCCTAAGATAGATTTTTAATAAAAAGTTTAAAATACTAATTATATAAGTAATAAGAAATAGGCGACTCGTTATGCGTGTACGTTACATAAACCGTTAATATGTAATGTCGTCTGTTTCTAAGTGCGTCACTAGCCAATGGGTCCACAGCGGCGTGACAAAAGCCAGTGGGAGGATTCCCGAGAGCAGACCGGATTTCTGCTGACTTTACAACTGCGGCGGGACCAACACCGCTGGTAAGAAGTGACCCATTTTCGACGTTTCTCTTACTCATAGACCCGATTGCGCCATTAACCCACAAAAAGAGATGATGACACGGAAAATGTCTGCATACCTAGATTGTTGAGCGTCGATAAAAGAAGCTGGAGGCTCGGCTCAGCTCATCCCAATTAGGCGTGATCCAAGTCTCTTTCCTCATTTGTCTGTGTGCAGCCTCCGAATCCGAGATAACAGACAACTTGATCACATGTCGGTTTAATAACGCCTGCAGTTATGACCATGACCGCTCACCCAACCGATCGGGTCCCGGAGAACCCGGGGCCCACCCCGAGACCCGGCACGAGGACCACCAGCCGGAGCCCGAGTCCTGTTCCGAAAGCCAAGCCGTTCTTCCGATCCGTGCCCTTCCAAATTTTCGTTGCCTGTGGCGTGTCATTTACGGCCCCTGGCATGTGGGATGCTTTGGGCGGCCTTGGTGCCGGCGGTGCAGCTGAACCGTACGCTGTTAGCGCAGCAAACGCTCTGGGTACGCACTCCATCGCATGCCCTCACTGTCAAGATGTTTAAATGGAACTGGACATTAACGATTAGACGAACAAAAGTGTATGGTCTATTTGCTGTTGTCTGCGTAGCTGCAGGCGCTATCAATAACCGCATCGGTCTTCCATACGGATTGGCCCTTGGTGCCATCGGTTATCCGCTGTACGGTGCCGGCTTATACACCAACAATGTCAATGCCAACACTTGGTTTATGCTGTTTGGTAGCGCCCTATGTGGCATATCTGCCGGTTTCTTCTGGGCAGCCGAGGCGGCCATCATAATCGGATACCCCTCCCCTGGGGATCGCGCCTTCTACCTGGCCATCTGGCAGACGGCAAAGGCAGCAGGGCCCATTGTAGGCGGCGCTATCAACCTAGGACTGAACGCCAACAGGAAGACAACGGGCTCCGTTTCATCGTCGACCTATATCGTCTTCATTGTCATTATGTGTCTCGGCCTTCCCATTGCTCTGTGCCTGTCGCCCGCGAGCAAGGTTTGGCGTAAGGACGGCACCAGAATCAACACATCCATGGCGTCAAGCTGGGGAGGTGAGTTCAAGGCCGTTGGAAGGCTTTTCGCCAGCCGTAGGATCTTGCTCCTGCTGCCAGCCTTCTTTATCAGCTATTTCTACAATGGCTTCATGAGCACGTGGCTGGCAACCTATTTCACCGTCCGCTCTCGTGCCTTCTCAAGCTTTTTTACCAACTTTGCTGGCATATTCAGCTCTTTTCTCATTGCCGCGCTTCTGGACAACCAGCAGATCTATATCAAGACCCGTGGCCGGATTGCGTTCCTCTCCATCATTGTCGTACTTATGGGAACTTGGATTTGGGCCACCGTCTTGCAGAAGCAGATATACGACGCAGATGAGCCGCCCGCCTACGACTGGTTCCAAGGAGGTTTCGGTAAAAGCTATGCTCTTGTCTTCTTCTGGCAGTTTGGCGGCCAGGCCTTCCAACAGTTTCTGTATTGGCTTGTTGGCCAATACGCAACTGACCTTTCTGACCTCAGCCGTCACACAGGTATCCTGAGAGGCACAGAGGCTTTGGGGCAAACGGTTGCCTGGGCGTAAGTCATTACCAAACCCATTTACCCATGCCCGAACTGCATATCAACCGAGCACTTGTTAACCATATAACACAGCATGCAATCCGAGGGCAACGCCAACCATTTTGTAAGCATCGGTCTTAACTTTGGTATCACGGTTCTTTGCCTTTTCCCAACATGGATTGTCTTGTCCGAGCTCGAAGGAAGCCATGAGAGTAAGAATGTTGAAGCATATGGTCCCGGAAGTGATTCCCTCGAGGAGGAAACCGGCCCGAAATAGGTTATGGGTAAACCTTAGAGTCGCGAAGGCCTAAACTCGAAGGTTGAGCAAATGAAAGAACTCAAACTATTTTTGATGCATCACCACTGTGCTACTGTTCGTTGTATGTAGTGTATATACCCGAAGCCTAACCAAGAGTAATACCCAAATATGTAAGCTAAAGACGCGTTGAAGATGCGCCATACCACGAAAGGCAACACCTTACAAGACGGACGCGTTGATAATCGGAATGATGTATGCATCGAATTTGAATATACCGTGATGCATAACGATCCGATATTGGCTGTCGACTCGGCGTCATACGGCGACTGAGGTCATTGTCTAGAACCCACAAGAGAGAACGAATGTAAAACGCAATCATGTGGTATTTATCTGCACCTTATATATTTTGTCTAACGCCCGTCCCTAGTTTCCCTTTTCCATCCTGTGCGGTCCTTTATAAAGTACTGCTCAAACCCAGCTATCCAGGTTAAGCACTCGGCAATGCGCCTCACCTTCAGCACGCGGTACAAGGTGTCCCAGGCGGAGAACCTTCTCTCCGGCTGCCTCCAGGGCCGTAATGGCATTCTTGGCGTGAGCCGCATCGACTGCAGCCACCATTCCCACACCCGTGTTGAAAGTACGAACCATCTGGTACGGCTCGACGTTACCACTCGTCTTCAGCCACTTGAAGACAGCGGGCATCTCCCACGTCGTCAGGTCAATCTCGGCAGCAAGGTGCTCTGGCAACATACGGGGGACGTTGTCGATAAGACCACCTCCCGTGATGTGAGCCAAACCCTTGACAAGGCGAGCCTCGATGACACCGCGCAAACTCTTGACGTAGATCTTGGTAGGGGTCAACAGGCTTTCACCCACCGTCTTGCCAGCATCCCAGGGAGCCGGATCCGTGTATGCGAGACCCTCACGTTCCAAAATACGGCGGACCAAGGAGAAGCCATTCGAGTGAACGCCACTAGAGGCCAAACCGAGCAGCACGTCCCCAGCGACCATGTCGCTCTGGCGCGGCAATCTCTGGCTGTTTATCATGACACCGACGGCGCAGCCCGCCGCATCGTAGTCGTCCTTCTGGTACATGCCAGGCATCTCAGCCGTCTCACCACCAACTAGGGTGCATCCAGCGTCGATACAGCCTGCCGCAACACCTTCGACGAAGGACGCGGCGGTGCTTAAGTCTAGCTTACTGCAGCCATAGTAGTCCAAAAACATCAAGGGCCGGGCACCCTGGACGACGAGATCGTTGACGTTCATGGCAACCAAGTCGATGCCTACGGTATCGTGCTTCTGCATCTTCTGTGCGATCATGAGCTTGGTGCCCACGCCATCGATGGCACCAACCAAGACAGGAAGCTCGCCATTATCCAACTGAAGACCACACTTGGCCAGGTCCATCTCACCGCCGAAACCTCCAATCTCGGCATCAGCACCCGGTTGTTTGGTGGCGCGCACTGCCTTCTTGATGCGCTCAACGAATTCGTTGCCTGCGTCAACGCTGACACCAGCTCCGGCGTACGTCAAAGCCTCCTTCTCCTGGCGAGACCGGAATGCACGGTGGGCAATGTCCTTGCGGTAGTACATCTTGTCAAAGTTGATAAGCTCAATGCCTTGCCCATAAGCCTTTTTCACGGCAGCCTCAAGAGTATCAGCAGTAGCATTGACAGCAATGACTCGACCGCCTGATGTCTGAAGCTGACCTTCGGGCGACAGCTTGGTGCCTGCATGGAAAACAGTGATGTCCGGGGATGCCGACTGCTTGACCACCATGGGCGTACCCTTGGCATACGATCCGGGATAGCCACCAGCAGCCACCACAACAGTGGCACTGTACTTGTCTTCAACCTTGATGTTGACGCAGTCGAGGCGGGCCTCGTGAGCGGTGCAAGCCAGCATTATCTCAGCAAGATCCGTCTCGGGAGAGAGGAGGGGTAGGACAGTCTGCGTTTCGGGGTCGCCAAATCTGACGTTGTACTCGAGGACCTTGGGGCCCTGGCTAGTAATCATGAGGCCAGTGAACAGAACACCACGGAAGGGGTAGCCCGCCTTGCGCATGCCAGTAATGGTGGGCTGGACAACCTCATCCTCGATCTTGCGAATCAACTCCTTGGTGGCGATGGTTGTGGGAGCGTAGCAACCCATGCCCCCGGTGTTGGGACCTTGGTCACCGTCTCCGATTCGCTTATGATCCTGGGCAGGAGGAAGAGACAGAGTGTGGGTGCCATCGCTGAAGGTCAGGATGCTGAGCTCGTCACCTGTCAAGAACTCCTCAATGACCACTTCGTCGCCCGCAGAACCAAACGCCTTGTCTACCATGATCTGCTTGAGCGCGTCCTTGGCCTCCTCCTTGGTGGTAGGAATGATCACGCCCTTGCCGGCAGCGAGGCCAGTAGCTTTGATGACGACGTCATGGGATACGCTGTCAACATAAGCCACAGCCTGCTGATAATCGGAGAAGTTCTCGTATGCGGCGGTGGGAATGTTGTACTCCTTCATGAAATCCTTGGAGAAAGTCTTGCTCCCCTCCATTTGGGCGGCTTCTTTGGAGGGGCCAAAGCACGGAATAGCGGCGGCGCGGAAGTAGGCTTCGACACCGTCGACGAGAGGCGCCTCGGGGCCAGGAACGACGAGATTTATGGAGTTGGACTTGGCGAACTGGACGAGGGCGGGGTAGTCGTCGGCGGCGACATCGGTTACGTTGGTGGTCTTGGGGCAGGTTGCGGTGCCTCCATTGCCAGGAACAGCAAAGATGGATGCAACCAGAGGTGACTGGCTGAGTTTCCAGGCAAGCGCATGCTCTCGGCCTCCATTGCCAATGAGCAAAATGCGCACACTGCCAGCCGAAGTCATTGTGACGGATGGAGGGGTCGAGAGCGCGTGGGAGTGATAAAGGGCGAACTAAGGTTAGACAATTAGCCAAGAAAGTCGAATAGCAAAATATATATATGTGTGTGTGTATACACACGACATAACCAATATAAATCCACGGTAACTGGGGGGTTTCAACGAACATGTATCACTTGAGCGACTGACTGATTGATGAACCTGAGGGGCGGAGACGTCAAGAATGAATGTAATCAACGCAAATAGTAGGAAGGGTTGCGTGAGAAAAGTCGTCGCTTTGGCGTTGACTCAGCTCGACGTGACTCGACTCACCAGCTGGGAAAAGTTTCTTTGCTGGACCTCCGCCTTAGGGAAAACGAGACGAGACGGGACGAGGGGCAGGAGGACCAAGACGGGGGACGGTAGCGGTTGCGACTCCGGCGCAAAATAATTTCTTATCGGAAATCTGCCCCTCCAAATGTGACTGATGGCCACTACTGAGCGACCCTGGGGGCACGGCGGGGTGAGGGGCTTGTGGGCGCAGAAAAAAGGAAGGGAAAAAATTAGAACCTTCAACAGGGTTAGCGCGAAAAATTCAATTGGAGAACTCTCGCTACCCCACCTTCCCCTTCCGATCTCTCCTCGTCGGGCTTATGGGTACGTATCCTCAAATTCTCTCCTATTCCTCTTCCGTTCTTTCTACGCTATTAGCCCTTTGGGGAATCGAACTCTTTCGAGGTACAGTATTGCTTGACTCTATTGTTTAAATAGCTTCGTGTCGCCGTTCGGATTCAACAACCCGTTAGAAATGTGAGCTGTATGCTCACCGCCAAAAGACTATCATGGTCCCATCCCACCAACAAATATGCACCCACCGCATTGGCTTCTATTGAGTAAGAAAACATCTAGGCATCCTATAGGACCAGCCGAGGCAAAACAGATTGCTCCAGTTCGTCGGCGCTTCCACTACTAATGAATAGGGCGTACTCATTGTACGCAGCGCTCAGGATCACATCCCGGCTGCTCGGATTGTACTGCCGTTCTGCCATCTCGAAACCTTCCGAGCCCTCTGAAGCGAGGACCTTTCGGTACCATTCTAGCGCTAGGTGATGTAGACCAAGCATGTGGAATGTTCTTGCGACTCCAAAGAAGGCCTCTCTCCTCTCTCCCGGCGTACCTGAGAGCTTCGAGTGGCAGAATTCGAACACACAGGCGAACCCTTGCATGATGAGGTACTGGCGATTGTCTGCCTGTCGCTTTAGCGCGTGATGTATGTATCCCAGTCCCACACTGAGACTGATCATAGGGTTCATAGGGTCTAGCGTTCGCGCCCGGAGGAAGTAATCTATCACGGGGTTGCTTGGTTAATTCATCGGCACCATATCTTCCCCATCTCAGGGGCGGGTGTAAAGTTTTTGGGAAAGTGCAGTGATGACCTACTCAAAGCGAAGGTATAGCTGGTAGAGGTGAACAGGATATGCCCGTAGAGCATGAGTAGACAAATATCGAGCTGTTTAGCTTCGGCGGTGCCTGCCCGGTCCCCGACCACAGCTTCATGACCCCGTTCTGTGTGTGTCGTGGCAAAGTGAGATGCATCAATGATCTTAATCTGGCGCAGTATGTATTTCTGGGCGGGTCCGGAATTGTACCACGAGGCTGGGGACTGACACAGTCTGCACAAGGCGGCAAACATGCGATATGAATCCGAGTCCAACTGCCGAACCTTCATGAAGAATCTGGCAACGGCCACGCACATCTCCTCGTCGGAAAGATATATCGCACAAGCTACTACTCATTAGGAATGCTTTTCAGATACACCCGCGTATGGATGGGAACGTACCGGCCCATGCTACATGGATCAAGAACATGTAATCCTTGGAGTTGACGAAGACAATGGAATCTCGCGCCGCTTCGCAAACCTGGTATGCCTCCTCTGCACGGTTGGCTAGCGCCAGGCTTATGGCGTAGTCGAGAAAGAGCTCAAGCCATTCGCCGAAAGGGATTCCGCGATAGCCATCATCTTCGTACGTGACGTTCATTCGCTTGTCGTCAGAGAGCGACGGAGCCATGTCTGCGACGAGCGATTAGCGCACAAAGCAAGAGAAGGGGAAATTGGGCAAAACCAATTTCGCTGCATACTTTTTGAAAGTCTTTCGGCCAACTCGGAGAGAACTGGCTGCGTCCTCGATGAAGCGCTGAAAACGACATCATTGGCAGCGCCGAGGAACTTGAGATACTTGTCCCAAGGATAGAACTTCCTAAAGGATCTGAACTCGCCAACGAGCTCGCCAGCCGCTGCCATCCACGTCGGTATCAATGAATGATCACCTGCCTGTATGTCTTTCTTCAGGTTGCGCACAACCTCGTAGCGTCTGGTGAGCTCATCGGCCCGCGCACGTTCTTCTTGCATGCGCTGATCCGGAGCAACCAGTCTCTTGGGGCGGTATCTTGGTCGAACGATGCCGCTATTAGCCGGCCCACGCTTGGTCTCCCGCTTACGTCGGGGTTTGTTGCGGTTGGCTAAGGCTGAAGCGCGGGCTCCTGAAGCAGACCGGCTGAGATCGCCTCCCAGATCTGCCCTGCCATCACCAAACTGGTCACCGTCATCGTTGATGCCCTGGAGAGCAATGGCTTCTGTGACAAGGATGAGAGCCTCTTCTTCCTCCTTGGCCTTTTCATAGATCCTGGCCAGCTCGATTCGGGCATCGATGTTGCTCTCGTCGACCTCAATGGCCACAAGAAAGCAGTCTTCCGCTGCAACAAGATCAGATTTGGTCAGGTAGCAGCGGCCAAGGTGCAGAAGCAGAGTAGCGTCTTGGCCATATATAGAATGCCGAAGGAGTTCGTAGTAGTCAAGTGCCTCGGGGTAACGCTGAACGGCGAAGAGTTCGTCGGCAATATCACGAATTAGGTAAGGAAAGTCTCCAATAGCCGTAGCCGTGGCGGATTCAGTTGGGTCTAGCCACTGGAGGTGGCCCTGTCGGCCTGTCAGTAATGAAATCACATATCGCGGGACAGCAAGAAACAAAGGGTAAACCTACGTTCGCCTCCTCCTCATCTCGGATCTTCAGCCGGTACAAGGCAAGACGAGCCCTGAACTCCAAAGGTAATCCTAGGCCATAGGAATACAGGTCGTGAGCAGAAGGTTCAAACGAATGAAACTCGGTACGACGCGAGTCATCACGATCCCATTCCCTGTCATCGACACATCCGTCCCACTTGTGATCATCCTGTCGCCCAAGTAGCCAGCGCGAAAGCGACTTGAGCTCCGCGATGGCGTTTGTGAAGTCTCCGGCGCAAGCAAAGAGTTCCACGTATATGCTGACGTCGTGCCACGAAAGCTCCCTCTCCACTTCACGATCTGCTGTTCGTGCATGCGCAAAGTATGTCTTGTATGCTGAAACAGCCTTCTGAACGTCCTCCATGCCACTGGAGTCAGCGCAAGCCTCGGCCAATCTTCTTACAACATCTATGTCTAGCGGGCGGCGCTCGATAACGTAGGAAAATTCGGTGATGGCTTGAGACAAGAACCCCTGGCGATGGCTTGCTTCAGCTCTACCCAGTCTCGCATCAAGGTTGGTCGGCTGAGCTTTGATTGCAGACGAGTAGCACATAAGTGCTGTCTTGAGAGCACCCTCCTGACCAGTCTCGGCAAGGCTCATGGCAAACGACGCACAATTCATCCAGGCTGCGAAATCCTTGGGCCGCAGATGAGCGGCAATGACCATAGCCATCAAGGCTTTGTCGTTGAGACCCTCTTCCCGGAAGATGGAGGCCAAGACAGTCCACGCTTGGTGGGTTTCGGCGTTGATTCTAATGATTTCGAAGACTAGGTTCTGAGCGCGAGTATAATCGCCGCTCATGAAAGCCTGGTTGACTCCTGCAAGACGAAGCTTGATGTCGCCTCGAGGCTCAGCAGCTTTTCGGGGCCCTCGAACACCACCTCGCGTGTTATTTCTGCCCTTTGAAATGGGGGGGGGCCTTCTGATACCGCCTTCATCATCGTCATCGTTACCGCCGCCGCCGCCTGTTCCACTACCGTGGTGGGAAGAGAGGAACTCTCGAACAGACTGATCAAATTTTGCGATATCTCCTCGAAGCTCCATCTCATCGGAATCGGCGTCGGAGACGAGATCTTCATCGTCAATGCCATTCAGTCGAGCTTCATCGCCGAGGGTTGCGACCTCTGCTTCTTCTAGAACTGGGTCCATGATGCTGAGTGTACAAGTCGGGAAAGGCCAGTAGATTCTAGTCGATCGAATGAATGAAAGCGTCCTAGCGACAGCACTGGATATACAAAGGGGTCCGGATGATGCCAGTCGGTACGAGTTGTCTCTGAGGCTCCAAACTGATGGAGTACCTGGTGCTCAGCAGGGCGTTGAGAGATACGAAAAGAGGCCGCCTCGTCGCGCGCAAGCTAAGATGACTAGTCTGGTTGAGACGCGCGAATCCTGGGAGATGTAATCCGGCTGCCTTTGCTTGGGCAAAGTACTCATCTATGGCGAGGAACCTTTGGGATGAAGTATCATTCTGTCCTTAGCCGTGGCCTCCAACCCTGGTGAATAAAATTGGTCGTCGATGCACAGACGGCGTTCGAGTCTGGCGATGGCCCGCAAACGTGGAGAGAGAAGAAGCGAGCAAGTTGTCTAGCCACCAAGATATACTATGGATGGAACAACTTTTTTCTTATTTTTTAAATTTGACTTTTGGAAAATAAGAAGACAAAGGCATGAGTGATCTCTCATCTGGATTTCATCTCGGCTTCGTGAAGGGTAAGGCAATGACAGGATAAGGTGGGGCGGTTTGAAAAGGCCCAGAGGTAGGAGGTACGGAGGAGGAAGGTACCTGCCTCACCTGGCACCCTGACAATCCCCACCTGGCTGCCACTCTCGGTCTGTGTTCGCTGTGGACTGATAGATGGCCAATCATTGAGGCAAGGGACGAGGGCTGAGCCACTTGCCTGTAGCGAGTCAAAGCACGACCGCAAAAGCACGTGGCAGATCCCATCCATAATTGATCTCGCAACTCGTATCGAGACTACCTAGACCTTTTATTTTTATTTTTACAGCCATTGCATATACACCAATAGACAGGGCAACATGACGACCCCGGAGAAAAACTTTAACAAAGCTCGAGCTGTGCGTCGTGATATCCAAGTCAATGTTGTTACCAAAATATAAGCAAATGCATCCAACCAGGAGATTGTACTATGCGAAAGAGGGTTGAGCTCTCACGAATAGTTATCAACGGCTCATGGCAAGGTGAAAGTGAAGCCCTTCCCTTGCACTCAGCCGGGATTGGAGTAATATCTTCCTATATATGTACAGAAGCACAAAACGAGTTCAACCCAGCACTCAGCATCTCCCCCTTGACCCCCTTCACTGCCCCGCGAGTACACACATCCTCAGTTTTCAACTGTTCACTCGCTATTTTTGTGGTCTATACAGCAACACTAGCAGCCGTCTGAAACGCAAGTGTTCCGCATGGCGAATAGGGTACATGACAAACGCCCGATACCTGAGGCGTCGGCTTGTACAGCCAGTCTTAACCAATCTTACCTTCGGCCTTAGCATCTGCTCGAACATATCCATTAGCCCCCATGGTTTACAAAGTCCGCTCATCTTGATACCTACCCTTGACTTGCTCGAAAACCTTGAGCATCTTCCTTCTAGCTCCGAGGGCGTTGACTCCACGGTCCTCCAGAGCTTTGTCGTCAAGCTCGATCAACTCATGCCACTTCATGTCCTTGAGGTTCTCCGTGTACTTGTGCAGCCGCAAGCTTCTGAGCCAGCTTGGGATATCTTGCAACAAGGTCGGATCCGTCGGGTCTTCAGGCGGCTTCGAGCTGCCTCTTCGTCCACGGGGAGAGCGGCCGCGGACCATATCGGAGTGGTCAGACAGATAACCCTCATGAGCGCCAACGCCCAGCTGGCCCACGTTCACCGAAGGAATGCCGTTGTTGAGAAGGGGAGAAGCACCGTCGTAGGCACTCAGGAAACCGTTGTTCTGCGGAGAAGCAAATGCCATAGGTCCAAAGCCGCCGGGTTGCATCGCAATGCCAGGGGAGCTGGGCCGAGATCGATGCTGGCCGAAGCCAATGTTCTGAGCCTGCAGAGCAAGCATCTGCTCGCGGCTCAGTACCTGGCCATGCTCGTTGATCATGACAACGTTGGCACCGGGGATGTTGACACCCTGGGCGCCCTGGGGCATTCCTTGCTGGCCGGGAGCGCCCGGAGCGTCGTTGGACCGGGCACGGCGATATTTACGGACGTCGTCGAGAGCGAAGCGGTTGTTGACAGTTGAGAGTGCCGCCAACTTCATTGCCGTGGCGTTTGCGACCATGTCCGCCTGAGTGCCGCTGTTGTTGGGGTTGAAATTTGCGACAAGTGGAGTGTTAACCATCGACGCCCAGTTGCCACCACTGGGGTTGTAAGGAGATAGTAGGGGCAAGTCCCCGGGCTTGTCGCTGGCTGTCAAGGTAGTGTTCTGGATGTTCTGATTGCCGGAGATCTGTGGGCGAGGGGATCGCAAACCACTTGACGGGGGTGGCTGAACAAATTGACCCATCGGGGGCTGGCCGCCGTGGGGTTTAGCTCCCTGGCCAGACTGATCACCGCCAGTCCAAGGAGAGGCCTGGTTCTGGCCATTGGAATCGTGGTTGTCGCCAGGGGTAGCAATTGTCGGAGCAGTAAGGGACTGGCGGGAATCGCCAACGGCGCTGTTACGGTTAGAGGAAGGGGGATTGCCGGTCTGTTGCGTGAACTTGGCCTTCTCGGTCGCAATGGCTGCAGCGGCATCGGGGAACATAGCATTGATGGTGGACGGATCAAGACCTGATTGTCTCTTGCCAGTCGCAGTGCTCGAGGGGCGGGCAAGAGAGTTCCGCGACGAGTCGACGTTCAACTTGTTCATAGCATCGCTGAGACGGTTCGACATCGGATCTAGAATTGACAGGTTAGTGGAGGGCAGCCAAGGAGGGGAAGACAGCATTTGTTGGATTTACCTTTGTCGAAGTTGGCTGGGGACAAAACACCCGACATAGGGTGGTTCTTGCCCATCTGCTGCAAGACCTGGATGAAGAAGCGAATCTGGACCTGTGTGGTCTGTTGCAGCAAGGCATAAAGAGCAGCGGTGCGCTCAGCTTCGCTGAGAACCCTAAACCACTGCTCGATAGCACTCAACTCGTCCTTGAAGTCCTGGTCTAAAGTGGCTGCGGCCATTTCTTCCAAAGTCGTCTCATACTGGTCGATGTCGGCAATCCACTGCTGCGCGATCTTGTCTTGGGGATCCGTATCAGGATTGCCGTGGCCCTGGCCCTGTTGGGAACCGTAAAAGTCGGATGACGGGCGGATACGGCTTGAGGGAGACGAGTTGGAGAGTGCAGCCATGTCGGCGGAAGCCCTCAGGTGACTGTTGGCGCCAACAGCTCTTGAGGAGGGGGGGCGGAGAGTAGGCGTCGTGTTCGCCTCTGGGGTGCTATTGCGGTTTCCCGCAATGTGACTGCCAGACATGTTGAGCATTGTCGACAGACAGCGCAATTACGACGAGGCAGGAGTCGCGCTGGGAGCGGCGGCAAGATGTTGTCGAAAAAGACGGTGGAGAATTGGCAGATGGCAGATGAAACGATGCTGGCGGCCAGTGAAGTGTGTCGTGTCTTTGTCTGGCGATGGAAGGGGGGTCGGGCCGGACAAGGAGGGACCGGCGCTGTTTCGAGATTTCGAATGACGGCAATGTCAATCGAATCAGCAGGCAGAAAAGTCCAAGGAAGCCTCGCTGAGTTTTCCGAAGTAAACACAAGAGCGAGGGCAGCGGTAATCAAGGCAGCTGTAGGCTCGGCGCAATCCCAATTTGGCAATCAGGGTCGCTACTTGAGAGCAAAAAGCGTTTTTCCCCCCTCTCTGTTTAGGTTGTGGTGCGTTAAGTAAAGGCAGTATGGCCAAGACGGCCTGTTCTTTTTTCTCGTTGTTGCGACGGCAAAGCTCCGACGGAGCAAATAGAGAATCGTAGGGTACGTATTCGGTGCCCAAAGCTCCTGCAGAAACCTGCTGACCTCAAAGGAGTCGGGTTCAAATGAGGGACCTGCTTAACACATGTCTTTTTGGCACCGGAGATGGTCTGGTTTATTGAGGTCCCAAGATAGTGATGGCTTGGGGAGATGTGTGGGCGAGAGGTGAAGGAGTCCTGGGAGAGGGGAGAGAGTGTGTGGCTCTGGATGTGCTTTGTTCTTTCTATTCGGCAACGAGTCCGGACGGGACGGAGGCAAGATGGCGCAATGTACTCCAAAAGAATGGGGAAACCAGTGGAGGTGAGGGGCAAGTGAATGAAGTCAAAGAGTGCTCTGGCAAGCGGGCAAGAATTACTCAAGAAATGCTGCTTCCAGGCAGGTAATACAATGTTCAAGGCTGGCGTCGTCCGAAAGTATTACCCAAGTGAAGGGGATGCTAAGGTAGGGGAGAAGGGGAGAGAAAAAAAGGAGAACGGAATTCCCTTCTCGGATTTGAAGGAGACGTACTCGTTCATGTAGCAGCAGCTAACGAAGGGGAGGGGGGACGAAAGGAGGGTTCAGCAACGTGGCGTAGCGGCGGCCTGCTTAGTCACAAGGTTCTCCAAGACAAGCAGGCCTGGGACCCGCTAAGTAGACAGTGGGCAGGTCCCAGAGTGAGGTGTTCTACAGCGCCTGTATCCCCTAACCTAGCCTCGACCGGAACGGCCTGCCAGGCAGGTACCTTTAATCCCCCGCCCCGCGTCCTGGTTCGCCATTAGGGCCGCGATGTACCTATCTCAAACTAATGGGGTAACACTGAGTTCCAACACACAGTATGGATATGGGGACCCAAATCTCAGGTGGATGCACCTACTAACAGGCTAACCCAAAGAGAGGGCATCAACAAGGGAAATGCATAGGCGAACGTGAAAAAGAGAAGAGGTCAATTCCTAGGCCCCATCTCTATCGCCACGAACGGATGCTACCCGCTGCATTGGACATTGCCGCATCCTATGGTGACGGAGACACTACTCCTTTCATTTGCTTGGGTATATTGCTTTATTTTTTATTTTTTATTTTTGCATTTCCTCACCCTCTTTCCATACACGCCAGTTTGCGGATTGCAGTTTAGAGCCATTCTTGACATCATGTGCTCCATTGTTGTGCACCACGCACGAGGAGCTCAGGCAGAGTTGCGGTGTTATGAATGTCGTTGCCAGCAGCCCAAGTAGTCCCCATACCGTTTTATCTTCTCCCAGGCATGAAAAACTTCGGGCAGGCCTTCGAGCGCCTGAGGCCGAGGCCGTGAAAGTGGTAGACGGTGCGTAACTGCGACTGGTCGGCGATGCTCCTACTTTCCAACGATCATCGTTTTGTCACTGTCGAAACATTGCATTCCACGGGATATCAAGGGCTGGGAAACATTACAGTCCTCGAGGAAGTTTCGACGCCAAACAGCGAAAGAGACATCCGTTTAGGACGCGGTAAGAACTCCGAGAGGGTCGAATCGTGGTTAATTGATTCGTACTGGCGTATCTTATTTCCCAGTTTCATTTGAATCCCCAATGCCCCAATGCATCGCAGCCGTGCCGTAGAAGAGACCAGTAACCATGTGCCCAACTCTCCGTTTATGCCGTCTCGCGCTTGCCCTCCTTCAGCTCCTTCTGTGGGATCTGTCAGTAGCTGTCGTAGACGAAACCATGACGCTAATCGTTTCGTGGCTGGGAGGGATCGTACCAGAGCCTTCATGGTGCCGTGCAGAGCGTGACGATGGTTACGGCGGAACTTAGGGTCGGTACCCTTCAGCGACGGGTATCTCGAGGTCTTGGGCTTCTTGATACTACATACAAAGAAAAATTCACAACGTCAGCATTTCGGCCTTATTTAATAAGTTGAAAATGGGAATAATTCGCAGTAACCAAATGAGGGAGGGTAGGGGATTCAATCGTACCCGTTGCGGTGCGCCTTGCGCGACTGGTTGTGCTGCGAGGAGTTCTTGGACTCTGTCGGTCGAAATTAGTCAGGCCGTTTGTGTAGCAGACGAGGGAAGATAAGGGGAGAGGGATCGTGACATACTGGCCATTGCTGCGGTCGGAAGGTGCCCCTAACGTTGGATACTGAAGTCTGAAGTTCGTGGTGAGGTCGGGGGATTTCGAGTAAGTCTGGATATCGAGTCCTCTTTGCCGTGGGTGCGCGTGGGCAGGAGCGAGCGTCGTGGTGGGGAAACGAAATTTACGTGCCCTAACGGTCGTGCCTGCCGAGCGCCACTATGTGGCTGGTGAGTGCTATGGTGCCCCCCTCCCCTTACTGGGTGATGCGTTTGGTTTGGAATGACGGTTTCGACACCGTGCAACCTCAGCTATTAGTTCCGTTTTGTTGACTGGAACACAGTAAGACCACTCGGTAGCCGCACACCGTCACAGGTCCTGTACATGTATGTATGTGTGTGTGGCCCTCTCTCACACTCACTTTCTATGTATAGCCACTCAAGCGACTACATTCAGTGTCGATTATCTTCACGTTGCCTTTGCAAAAACGAGAGAAACAAAACAGAAGCTGCCAAATACCAAATACTCGCAAAAATACAATGCACTTGCTCTCGACTGGCACAGCAGGCGGCCGCCCCGTCCGCTATATATGCCTCAGTAACGTAGCTCCTCCCTCTTCTTTACTCCCCCATCTACCTTGCTTTGCCCATCATCAACTTGGCATAAACCGTATGCAACCATATTTATCCCGGCCCGTCAGTTGTTGTCTAGATTCGCTATACATGATGCCAAATGTCTTGTCGCTTTCGCCCCTTGACACACTGCCCATCCGAAAATGCTCGTCTATCAGATGCTTCTGATGGCCTGCCTCACCCTTCAAAGAGGCTTGATCGATGATGCGCTACGAACCGATGCGGCACTCTGCGCAATGGCCTGCAGTTGCTTCGTGCGAAGGGTCCTGAGGTAACGGAAAAAGAGAACAAATAACAGTTCCATGCTATTGTTAAATCAGCACTCTTCGCGCCATATACTGGCAGGGATGTTTCGGAGTTATGCTCACCGCTCCTTGGTCATCATGAGAATGCCTTGGACGAGAAGGCCCTTGAGAATCTGGGGCCCGATGCCCTTGAAGAGACCCAAGACCCCCTCGCGCTCTATAATAAAGTTCATGACCTCGACGAAGCTGCTGAAAGGCTTGCCTTTTCTTTCCGGCGGCGGGCGGGACTGCAAGCCTACCTTGGCTACGATGAGGGGCTGCGTGACAATGGTTGCCAAAGATTTAGAGGCAGCGCCGAGAACTACGTTAGAGTCAGTGAAACCCCCCATTTCATTTATTCGCGCCTGCACCGTAATGTTGGGAGGGAAAGGGCGACATACGGAATGCCTCCCACGGTTTGAGGTTATTCTTTCCAGGAAACACGACTTCCTTGAGTCTCTCGTAGGCACCGTAAGTGATGGCAGGGTTGACGACCAACACCAAGCTCGCCTTCAAGCCCCTCCACAAGCCAAAGGGACCGTCCTCCCCATCAATCACTTCTCGGGCAGTATCGACGAAACCTTTTCTCTCCGTCTTTCGCTGGGTTTGTTGTCTTGTCGTAATGACGGCAACGGGGATTGTGCAGAGCTGGGCGACGGCACCAGCAACGGCACCAAGGCTCAGCTCAACCAGTGTCGAAGGCGGCGCCGAGGTCTTGGCCGAGCGCAGGTAAAGAGCGCGAACAACAGAATACCAGTAGAAGTAGGCAAAGTTAGTGGAGGCAACGCCAAGGAGAGAGCCGCTCATGCCGGCATACAGGCCTTTGAGGCCATCGTCGGCAACGATCTTGCTCAAGGCATCCCAGGTAGACGAGTAGTGAGGCTCAATAGGGTCGGTCGGGTCGGTCGTGATGGTGGTGGACTGGGACTTGACTTGGACCTGGAGTCGCGTCTTGACGCTTCACGTTGAAATTGTCAGTCAAAGTATACCATGACAATTTAGCTCGCGTCGAACAGGTATGGATCAGAATGCATCGGATTGGAATGGGGGTAAAGTGTAAGTGTGCCATCACGACGGGCGCATGTCTCTCACATGTCAAGAGGGTACACCAAAGCGTTGGCAAGTACAGCACCGGATGCGCCAGCAACGGCCTTTCCCCATGGCGAGATGGGAGCTGGTTTGGATTGTGCAGCCATCGTGGGTCTCTTTTACTCAATGCAAAAAAAGAACTGGCTAGGTTTCTTGCTAATCCGATGACTGGACGGGTTGCAGCCAAGGGGGGATCGTCACTTCGATGTCGGTCGCGGCGTCGGCGTCGGCGTTCTGCACCGATCGAGGTCCGAGGTCGAGGGCAGCAGCGGGGAGACGAAAGAGACCAAGGAGAATGAGGACGACTGGCAGCAATCAGGGAGTTGCGTGCGTAGGTTGATGATCAGCAATGCGACAATTACCGACAACAGGAGGAAGTATATCGAAAAGCGCTGGACGGACGAAGGGTCCAAACCTTAAGCGCGTTCGTTGACGGGCTTTCCCCCACGACCATGACGAGCTGCTGTTGCCGGCGCTGGCACTTGCGCATTTGCACTGGCGCTCGAATCGACGACCTCGGCCCTTTGCGACCTGACCCGGGTCACCCATACCTATGCTCGGTTAATCGGTGAGGTCACTCGGTGGGGTTTCGGCAGAAGCAATGCTTAGCTAACGGACGACATCGTAGCATGGGCCCCCAATGACTAGGACCAGGCGATAACACGTCTCACCCTAGGTAGAGTTGCTTAGATAAGTCAAGTTCTATTCGCGGTCTCAGCGATGCTAAGAGTGTGCCGCAACTTTCAACGTGTGTACGCACAATAAAATAACACTTTTAATGAGGATGCCTAGGCGAATTATGGCGCATTCGACAGAGAATTTCAAGATGCGCCTGTGAGGAGTTGTCGATGATAAATTTCAGAACCATACTGGCTGGTGCTAGGCAATGTTGTAGCAACTTAAAATTGGATACTACAGGCCACGCAACGTGCAGAAATCAACAATGAATATGAGAGACGCTCATGACTGTGCTTCTTCCAAGAGACTTGCTGTACTCAGCAAGGACTACACTATTTACTTTGACACATAAGGCAGAAACATGGACGCACCCAACGTGATGTTCGCCATCCTGTGTCCTCCGGGTTGCTTTGAGAAGCTGAATGTGCTAACGAGGTCCACCACAATACGGCAATCATGGCGACTGGTGCCATCCGACACCGTTAGACCAATCTTTTCTTCAGGCAAAGGCGAAACAGTAGAAGATGCAGGTAAGCAGGACTAACTGACCATGATAGGACGGACAAGTCATTGAATGGGTTGTTGTCGGACCTGCGCCGAGATGACACTGAAGGCGAGGCTTCGTCTGTTTCATTTTTCTCAACTATCCATGTCCAGGCTTCTATCATGGATGCCATTGCTCATCTCACCCTCTTCGCGTACTCACACTCTCTGCTACCTTTAGTCTCTGGTTCTTACTATGTCAAGGTATGACCGGTCATAAACCACTCAGTACGCCATAAAGCAGCATGGAAGGAAGAGAAATGCATCTCAGCAGGACATTTTCTACAGTACACAAAACACAGTGCCACCGGTACCGGCACCACACCTGGGAAGTCCAACGATCGGGCGCTTGCCTTGGGCTGTGTTGACGTAGAGGCAACAATCAGCACCTAAATTTGCTACAACAAATGAGGGTACTTGCCCAAGGTGCCTTGGCCCCGGTTGACCTGAAGGCTTAACTCTTTGTTCTCGGAAATACCATGACAAGTGGCCAGTTCCAGTGCCTCTGCCTGACTGATGGTTATTCCACAGCGACGCCCGCTTCCACCATTGCAATTTATCGTTGGCACCACGACAGACAACAAGCAAATCTGGCTCAACTAGAAGTGTCGTGTCTCTCTCTCTCTCTCTCTCTCTCTCTCTCTCTCTCTCTCTCTCTCTCTCTCTCTCTCTCTCTCTCTCTCTCTCCACCGCCAGCACGACAGTAACCAGGTTAACCTAATTCCCTCCTGGAAGCCCAGTCCCGGACGACTCTTGGCCGACGTCGCCAACTCGCCGTCTGATTTGTCGTCTCTTTCAGCTCTCTCTCTTCATCTCCGTTACTTCACATTCGCGCTTTGCTTGGCTTGGCGTGTTCACGGCATACATCCCGATCCAGTCCGACTTGAGACTGCCTCTGTTCATCGCTTGCCTTCTTTGGTCTGATCCGGCATGGTGCCGTCTGTAGTTGGGTCTCGATAATTCCTGCTCTGCTGCTCTGCGCCGATTTGCTTTTGCACAGCCCCAATTGAGTGCCCGCTCCGTCCCGTCTCATCCCACCACGGTCCAGCTCCTCACACATTCATTGACCCCTCCCCCGCGCCCGTTGCTCTCGTTGGCACCAGATTCGCTGCTGTCCCCACGCTGGACCAAATTCAGAGCTACATAGTCAGAACCAAGGCCTGGACGCAAGCCAGTTGCAGAGGTGGAGAGCCAGCAGACGCAGAGAATCGTGTCAGCAGGCGCAGACAGTAGCGGCGAGCCCTTTCTTTTCTCTCCAACTCAATCCCTTCTCAACGCCAGATGCCTATCGCATAACCTGTAGCACTCACGACACCAACTCTCCGCCCCCATGACATGCGACTTCGGTAACTTGTTGTTGATGTTGTCGTTGTTGGCCGACCGGTGCTCGATTGCCTCGCCTGCCTGACACAGCCTACATCACCACACTCAGTCTATATCACTCGCTGGCCTCAACCCCGGCAATGCTGCCCAGCAAGAACCATGGAAGCCAAAGCCATTGTGAGTGGGCCATCAATGAAGAAGTATTCTATGTGAGAGGCTATTTTCGACTGACGTTCGCTATGATGTCCAGAGAGAAGAGGCCTTGATGGCCAGATCGTCAGGCCGCGAAGCTTTGAATCATGCAATTGCCGCCGCTGACTTGTACATGAAAGCCGCCAAAGAAGCCACTTCACCCGCCGACCGCGTTCGGTTTCGGAGAAAGTGCGAGGGGCTCATTACTCATGCTGAGCAACTCAAGTCCTCGCCCAGGACCATTTCAACGACTACTACCAAAACCACCACTGTCATCACCTCAGCGTCGAACCCTGACTGTCATGTACGCCAAATACCCTCCAACGAGAGGGCTATCCTATTGCGCTCGTCTCGCTTACACGGCAACATCTTCCCGCCCTGGCAGTCTGACCCCACTGACAGCACCTTCTCTCTGCCCAATGGAAAACATGTCTTTTCGTACGTTGGATCGATTTCCTTGCCTTGTGCAAACTCTCATCGACTAGGTAACTCACTCATGAACTAGTGATCCGGCCGAATACACCATGTCGCCTCGACAACAGTCCATTCTCGAAGGCTGGAAACGCCCCGTGGAGCAGGCCAGGGAAGAAACCGTAGACAGGGACTTCATGGCCTCGGAAAGCGACTGTGACCTTGTACAGGATGTCACGACGGATTGTTCAGTCGTAGCCAGCCTATGTGCCGCCATGAAGATTCTTCAAGGGGGTAGACGGTCGGTCAGTTTGCGGTCATGGTGGGATAATGGCATTCAACTCTTGCTAATTGTTTTGGCCAGATTCTCAGCTCCATTATGTTCCCATATGATCACGGCAAGGGACGACCCAAGATCTCAAAGAGTGGCAAGTATATGTTCCGTATGCACTTCAACGGCTGTTTCCGTCAGGTCGTCGTGGATGACCGGCTGCCTGTCTCCCGGAATAACCGCACCTTGTTCGTTGTCGATCGTAAGAACCCCAACCTCCTCTGGCCAGCCCTCTTGGAGAAGGCTTATTTGAAGGTCCGCGGAGGCTATGATTTCCCTGGCAGCAACTCAGGCACAGATCTATGGGTTATTACCGGATGGATACCCGAACAGTTGTTTCTCCAGAGGTGTGTAGAAGCTCATCCAGTGGCGATCAACTGGAGATAACTAATCGTAAGACACAGTGAGGATGTCGACCTTGAAGGCACTTGGGACAACATCAAGGAGGCCTACCATGCCGGCAACCTCATCATCACACTGGGCACCGGGCGGTTGACTCAATCAGAAGAGGACGCCCTAGGCCTCGTTGGCGAACACGATTATGCAGTGCTGGAGATTGACAGCGCACCTGGAGCCCGCCGGCTTCTTGTTAAAAACCCGTGGTGCGATGGTCTTGTCTGGAAAGGGGTCGGGTCATCCGGGCTTGTCGAAAAAACGGTGGCCCTGTCGCTGTCGGACACGTCCGTGTCAGTCGAGCCAAAGTCTTCGGAGCACTCGAGGCCAGTTGGCTCTTTCTGGATTTCGGTCGAGGACGTTGCCCAAAACTTTGAGTCCATGTACCTCAACTGGAATCCGGATATGTTCACACACCGGCAGGATCACCACTTTACATGGCACGTGCCGACCAAGAACATGACCTCCTCCCTCGCCCACAACCCGCAATACTCAGTGCTCTCACGAAGCGGGGAGACTGTATGGATCCTGCTGAGCCGACACTTTGCAGACGAAGAGCTCGATATTGCACGCAACAAGTCAGCTTCTTTGGCGGCGGTCTCTAGGCAGCTTGGCTTCACGAGCATCTTCATCTTCGAGAGTGAAGGCAAAAAAGTGCAGGTGAGAGAGGGCTTCGTATACCAGGGTCCCTATGTCGACTCGCCGCAGACACTGGCCAAGTTCAGACTTCGCGCCGGCAAGCCCTATACCATTGTCATGGCCCACCAGGACCTGCCACTGGACAATTACTCGTGCACATTTACCCTCTTCTCACGGGCGCCCCTTGAGGTTAAGCCTGCTGAGGAAGATATGAGGCATTACAAAGAGTTCTCGAGTGCCTGGACACGGAGGACCGCCGGAGGCAATGCGTCGTCCATTACGTACTCACAAAACCCCCAGTTCAGCATATCCATCCCAAGGGCTACACCGCTTTCCATTCTTCTTTCGTCAGGGGATCGGGAGGTGGCCATTCATGTCGATCTGGTGTGGGCCCACGGCAAGAGAGTCACATCGATCGGGGTCAAGGATGTTGTGGCCAGTTCTGGCGACTATCGAAGAGGCAACGCTCTCGTGCAGGTTCCGTCGGTGGAGCCAGGCACTTACACCATCGTCTGCTCGACGTGGGAGCCAGGGCAGCTCGCCGACTTTGGCATGCGCGTAGGCTCTCAGGTAGAATGTCAGATACAGCCCGTGCTGAGCGACGGTGCTGGTCTATTGCGGACTCGCACGCCAGCCATCGCCTTTAGCGAGGGGGAAGAGAAGAGGCGAGCGCCCCTCACAGTGACAAGGCTCTCTCGGGCCCAAGTTGTTGCACGTTGCCCCCTCCTAACGGGACGGAACGGCCAGCACATCCCCACAACGGCCGTCCGCATCTCTCTCGTGTATGGGAGGGGTCCCGAGGAGTCGGTGCTTGCCATGTCGGGCGGCGGCGAGTTCCGGGAGCTCACCATGGCAGTCCGAACTCCCGAATTCGACCTCGAGCCCGACCGTCTGCGACAAGATCAATTATGGCTCGTTGTTGAACAGCTCGGAAGCCAGCAAGGTCGCCAAAGCATTGAGGTGGAGTTTCTAAGTGATAATGCGGTTCATGTCGGCGACTGGCAGGTTGTCGATGGCTAGGCCTCTTGTGACACGAGGAAGGAAAAGTAAGAAATAAGGAGTCACGCTGGGACAGTTGGAAGTATGTTCAAGCCGCTAGCATAACCTGTTGTTGTAGATTTTGTCATCGATCGGCCACACTCCATACATACAGATGCACCCCCTCCCCCAAAATCAACGACCCGCAAAAGAGAGCCGCACCTGCCACTACCGAGTAAAACATAAGTCACATCGGCCTTGGACCACAGCTGCACTTTGTCCTTTCTTGCTGCGGGCAAACGAATAAGACCTTCTGGCAGATTGATCTCTCCATCAAATAAGCGCAAGTCCCAGAGGACAAAGAAGCGAAAACAGCACGGAAATACAAAAAAAGGCAGAACGTGACGTGACGCGAACGACTCGTCAATGTGGTATATGATCCACCGCAACGCCAGAATCCTCACAATCAAGACAGAAACGATTCTCGTCATAGATTCGTGCCGTGCCAGCTCAAAGGGCCCCCGGCTTGTGCCAAAACAAAGGATTGCCACCCCCACCCCAAGAGAAACGCAAAAACATAACCCAACCAAGAAAAAGCAGCAGCGTCATGACCGCAGGTATCGTTCCGAAGCTTCCAAACCCCTTCCCTTATTTACACTGAACCTTGTCCTGGAGCCGATCCTAGCCATACCACCCTCAGAGTTGTTGATGCTGGAGTGGTCAAGCCCAAGGAAGAAAACGAAGAAGAATGGAAGGGCGACAATAAAAGAAGAAGAAAAGAAAAAGTAGTAAAAAAAAAGGGGGTATATACGTGAAGATCATGAATCCACGCTGAGTTTAACGTCAGGCAGGGCCTCCTCTGCGCCGCCTACCGCGATTCGGTCCATCCGGTCTTTGCGACAGGACATCCCGCAAAAGCGGGTCGTCCTTATCCTTGTCCACGTGGTGTACACGAACATGTCTGTGTACTCGATTAGTTGAGACCTCCAAATACTATCGACTCAGAATAGGGTAGAGCATGGCGATGAAGCAGGAATACCGCATTCTAGCGCCAGAGAACAAAACGCCTTGCCTTATGTTCGGCATAGCAAAAGCAGCCAGGAGTATTCTTACCTCTGAAGGTTGTCTGGCCGAGGATATTTATGTTCTCGGTCTGGGCAAAAGGGGCAAACGTATCCAGGAGAATCGTGAACGAGGCCATGCCTTATCATTTCGTTCTTTCTCTTGAAGCCCTTACCACCCTCGCTTCGAGGACAACCCTTAACTGAGCAGTAGTGAGGCCGCGCCGACGAGTGTACGTTGGCGTGCGAGTTGAGCAGATACTGAGTTTGAAACGGCGGGGCATTGCAGCCCGAGAATGTGCAGACGTAGCCAGCTTGAGGATTTGTAAGGCCGTCAATGCTCATGCGGTCCGCCACAGAGTGGGCAGGCGTTGAAGCGGTTTGATCCGTGCTCGGGGTCTCTGCCGTCCCGCTACTGTAGTCGGCACTCGGCCGATGACGACCGCCGCTTGAAGAAGAAGAGTAGTAATACGGGCTGAGAGACGGTATGGTATGTGCGGGCGATGGGAGCTCTCGTCGAAAACCTTCATTAGGAGAGATTGGCGGTGAACCTTGACCAATTGGAAGTCCGGCGGCCAACGATGGTAATCGAGGGATATTGGCCGGGGGCGAGCGTGGAAATGAAGCAGCGTGTCGTACGGGGCCAAGTTCGTTCTCCGGACTCATGGCAGTCTCTGCTAAGCGCTTGAAATCCTTGAAGTCCCCAAGTTGCGCTCTTATGGACGGCAATGGACCGTGCCCGCTTCCGTCCGACGTTGGTGAGTCCAGAAGGGGAGGCAGACCGCCAGGTGCAGTCTGCGGAGGGCTCACCGGGGACGTGATCTCAGCGTTGCTCAAACTGGGCACGGATCGGCGCGGCGCCTGGTTGTCCCCGGCAGAATAAACCACGGCAGGGGCAGCCAGAGCTGGGCGCTCGTCGCGGATGGGTAGTTCACGACTCCTGATCCCCAAGGGTATTGACTCATGCTGAGCTCTTTCTCCATCTTCCGAGCGTGAATGATCGAGTTTGGATGTCGCAGCAGCGGAGATTGCATCTGTAGCAGGAGCGTCGGTAGCAGTGAAGGCTAAAGCGCCAGCCGCAAGGATCTTGAGATCAAAGGGTTCGGCGGACTTGGCCATATCGCGATCAGGAGACGTCGGGGAGGACGAGTCGTCTTCGGATCCGTTGTCAGATGCGAGAGGCTCCAGAGCAGCTGTATGGGCGACGTGTGGCAGCCTGCCGTTTCCAAGGTGAGCTACTAGAACGGCATCACCTTGAATGGGCTCAACCCTGCGGCGACCATGTAACGACTTCGAGCCAGGGCCGAGTTCGGGGGGAGGGCTAGGCGAAGGTTGTAACCTGGGACGGTGAGCTTGCATTTGGGGGCTGTCGTGCGGAAGAACGTCATCGGGGTCGTAGCAATCGCTCCCAGCTGAGTGTTGCAAGTGGCTCTGAACAGCCGACGCAGTCATAATTGTCGCGACTGAAGGTGGCAGTAGCTCGCGGCGCAGGCGGTACTAAGCCGCCATGGAGTAGAAGAGCACTTTGTGATTCTATCGGCGGCAGGCGACGGCAACGACGGCGACAGTGGTTGCAGTAGCGATTCGTCGATGACAGGAACAGTGAGGTAGGTTGCGCGGCAGGTATGAAAGCCGCGTGGTTTTGTCGAAATGCGCAACGGGTTGTTTAGGCTCCTCTAGTTCCTCCTCGCAAGGCGGCGGCTGTTGGGGCCGAAGGGAGCGACGAGGAAACGTCGATGCGAGCGGGATCAGGTCGTTCAAGTTGGTGGTGGGGATAGTAGTAAGTGCGCGTCGCGTATTCGGCCCCGAGACAGCTATCGCCGCCGTCGTAGGCTACGGGAGTGAGCAGCCGTTGACAAATGTGTGTAAGTGCGAAGTGCGAGTAGAAAGGATATGAAGGTCGGGCTGAAAAGATGGAGGGCGGCCGGGAGTTGCAGGATGGGATGCGGCGGCGTTTGAATGTCAAGGACGGAGGACGGAGGTCGGTGTGGCCTTGGACAGGGGTGAATGGGTGGATGTGGGTGTGGGTGGAAACGTGAGTGAGGAGCAAGCGCGGTAGTCAGTCGGCTGCGTGATTCTTTGACGGATAAAAGAGGGCGCCCAGGGACGGCAACCATGCAGATGCAGGCCGAGCGAGGGTCAGCGAGTGAGGGAGGGACGCCGTGGGGGAGGGAGAGAGAAAGAGAGAGTGTGTGTGAACGAGCGAGCAAGCGCGCGAGCGGTAGGCGGTAGGCGGTGGGCGGTGGGCGGAGGTGGTAGTAGGATCGGTGGGACGGTCAAACGAGCGGCGAAATGACTAGGCGACAAACGGGTCGGTCGTTGTTGTCGCTATTGCTGTCGTCGTCCGGGTCTGTCGTCCGGCTGAATATAGGTGAGTGGTGTAGTATCGTGTTGGCTAGTCTGGGGTTAGGAGCGCCAAAAGAAAAGAAAGGTAGAGAGACGGGTCAGAAAGGGACGGATGGAATAGGAGAGTGCTGTTCTTGTTGTGAGCGTCCAGGCGGTGTCTGATTGCGAGGAGCTTGCTTTTAGCGCATAATCTCTTGGGTGCGTATGAGAGATACGCCCAGTGCCACAGATAGATTCGAGGGACCGCGTGACCCCAGCGATGGGTAGGAAGGGGACTTTGTGGACTTGGAAGACTTGGGGGACGTGGAGGCGAGAGAGATGAAAAGATGCCGAGTCGCTGAGGAAGTGGATATGGGATGGACAGACTCGCGCATGGGGATTGGGGAGGAAAGACGGGGTAGGTAGGGAAAGGGTGGGTTGCCTTGGAAGATGAGGCTAAGTCAAGGTGTCGTCGGGTCAGCTAAGGTGCTCTGGGAAGCAAGACAGGCAGGTGCTGCTGGGGCGTGTGTACATTGATCCACGGCCGGTTTTCTTACGGTTGAACCTCGATAGATGTACCTCACTTATGGTTGTTGACGCAGACCGGGCATGGCTAGGTTGATAAGCTGGGGTGCTGAACCTGCTGGCAGGGCCATGTTGATAGTTGCGCAAGGTGGTGGAATTCGTTCGTCGTTGACAAGGGGGAAGAGCCTCTGGGGAGGGGGACAACGTTGCCGATGCGAAGAAATGGCGGGAAGTCCGGGAGGGTCGTATCCCCCCGTGCGTGCGATTCGATTCTTTGGGGGACCTGATGTGAAGAACGGGCCTGGCCCCAACCCGCTTGGAGGGTTAAGGCGGCGCAAGGTGCACTGACTTTGCCAGAGTGGGATATCTTACTAGCCTAAGCCAAGGTGTGCACGTCTCGCTTGGTTGTGGTCAGAGGGGTACTATGTCCTGGGATAAGGACCCCCCGTAGTGATTTGGTAAGTGAAAGCATCTCAGCACAGTGACCAACTTTGCAATACTATGTGGGTAGCAGGTGAGTGACGGTTCGCACTTGTTTTGTGCTGCCTGAAGGTTGGTTGACCCTCCCAGACGACATCACAGAGAGCTGAGAAGCCGAGAGTGGCGGCGGCGGTGGTCGTGTGGGCGGCAACTGGGCATACGTACAGCGTCCAGAGCGCGGCCGAGTTGGGTTACCAGGCGGGGGCAGGGGACAACGAGGGGGGTAGAGAGTTTAGTTCGGCCAAGTGACAGGCCGTCGAAAGAGGTAACTTCCCTGGGCTGCACGGCAAGGAACTGACACAGGACGCGATAGATGGGACGGGGATGAGGCCGCGGACGTGGACGTGGAAACCCAAGACGGAGATTGAAAGAAGATGCAGTGTGAGCGAATAAACGCGGAGGCCGGGATGAGCAGTCGCGAGATGGGATGGAACACTCACGGGATGGGGGGATGGGACCATTGGATGAGATGATGGCAAGAGGGGGGAAGGGACTGTGAGGGGAAGGAAGCCACAGCACAGCACTGGCAGGCGGGACTCACAGGTACATGTCCCGACGTGTTGCCCAAGCCTATCGCAAAGTGTCCCGAAGTGCCCTGAGTGTATTGTCTCTGTCCCTTCCCCGTCAAAAAGGAAGGCGGGACGCGCGACTCTTCCACCTCCCCTCCCCCTTGACTTCCATCCGTGCTTCCTTCGCTTCCACTACACGATGAAGGTGTTCCAGGCAGGGAATCAGAACAGCGCGCGCTCGGCGGCAAGACGGCACCGCAACTCCACCACAATCAAAACCGTAAAATAGCCGCAATCACGCAAAGTGCTCCCCCGGTTGGGTTTGATGGACGGATGGATGGAACGGACGGCAACTCTGTCTCCTCCGCACCCTTTACGTCTGGACTCCTGCCCTTGATTCTGGGGACAAGGGAGTGACAGTGGCACTACCTAGTACTAGGTATAATGACCTTATTTACCACGCAGCGTGCCAAACAGCTGCACCCAAGGCAACGGATGGACGGACGGGATGGAAGTGGAGGCTCAATCCGACGCATGGGGGCATGTCCCTGGTTGCTGGTCTCTGGCATCATACCGCGTCGCTTTCCCTCCCTCCCTCACTCGCCGTCTTGGTTCCGTATAGGAAAGGCACCCTGTTTTAAAGTCACCAGCATTGGTATCGCCATTATCGGAACAACGCAGCGCACGACGGTGTCTGTCCATTCATCTTGGGTCGCATGATGACAATTATGCGCTTTCGGTGCTCTTGACCTCACGCAGTGGTGACCCGGCCCTCGCAATCGATAGACTGCTGGCGGCATCCACCGCACCTCTAATGACTCTCGACCTCGTGGAAAGAGTAAAAATACCACGAAGTAAAAATACAGCAGTCATCTGCTGTGCCACCTTGCGCCAAGCCATACACGACCATGCCTTATTTGGCGAGACCTTGCCATAATCATCGCGTCTTGGCTGCCGGTGTAAACTCTGTTTTTTTGGTGTTTTTTTTTTTTTGAGGTTGCACTTTCCTCCGCAGTGCTTCGACCGTCACCAAGTGTCTGTTTTTCCTTCCATCCCTCCTCGTCTCGAGGATACGTCTTCGTGCAATTCCATCGCAAAACCCCTTCTCGATCCATACCATTCTTTCCAAGTGCAGACGCAAACAGCGCAAGTGTACACTAGGTTGAGGTAGGTGTAAGGTGCAGATGCCAGCTCTCGTTTCCCCACACTGGCCTAGTCTCCAACGACTCTTGGGTCTTACCCCTCTCGAAGCTATAGGATATGTGATTGGCCCTGCTTTCTTGCGTCCGTCCAATGGCAACAGTGGTATCTCGGGTGATCCGTTGGGTCCCCACCCGTGCCCGCGATTGACCCATGCATCCAAGCCGCTAAGCCTCTAAGCCTCAATCCGCTTGACGGATCAGCCTAGGGGGCTCGTTTTAGAGATAGTGATTGGACGACGTGACGAAGCCAAGGCAAGGACCCTAGCCTGACCTTTTTTCTCTCCCTTGGGCGAGCGAAGATGCGAACACAGATGCATCTACCTACCTGGAGATTTTGGCGAATCGCCCAGCCATCGGATTACATGCTGTTGTGCCAGCGCACCACGGGGGCCGGGGCTGGAGCGTCGGTTGTGGGTTTGGTCCCTTTCTTCCTTCCCTCTCTAACTGTTGGCTCTTATCTTCTTCTATTTCTGCTTCTACTTCTGCTTCTTGCTCCATCGAAGGGTCCCGAATGGGAGCTGCCTTCCTCGCCTGTACTGTTCCTAGCGTGGTTTCCCAGCCTCCGGTTCGGTGCCTCGGAACCATGATATGAATCGTGGAAGAACATGTTACCTAACAACTTTGGCTGTTCCGTCATTAGATTGCAACTCAACCTCGGCATTAGCCTTCCGCACAGGCGTCACTGTTTCTGTCTCTATTGAGCTGAACAGCACCAGAGGGGATCTCGAATAACCCGAAATAATGTTGTGTAGAGTTTGTCGCATGTCGTCTTATCGCCAAGCCTGTGCCCGTAGAGCCCCTTGAGGGACTTTTGTCCCCTACCTTACCCCGGACGGGGGTTTTCTTCAGCGGACAGACGGTCCCCAGTTTCTGGCGCCCGCCAGATGAGGGCGGGTTGAATCAACCCTGACCGAGTACGTACAGAGTACAGAGGGCCTGGGTGATGTTTTCGCTGGCGACCTACTTTTTCCTCACACGCCGGCATGCACACACATGTTCGGCCAGTCCGACCCTGACGTACCTACCCGAAGATTGCGACTTGTGATGCGTCGTCCATAGTTCGATGGGCCTGCTCGCTTAAGCCAGGTTTCGACGTTGATAACCCCATGTTTCATTCTCATTGCCTGCTCCCACTAAATTCCGGAAACGTGGTAGTGTACTTAGTCACCTTGATAGAACCCCTCCCCAAAGAAGCTCCCGGCGTCCCGAGTTCGCCTCTGGATATTTGGGGCCCCGACCCAGTAATCAACATGAGCCTCAACCTCTGACGCGACATCCACAAGGACGACTCGTCATGCCCGCCCATCTCATCTTATCTCATCTCCTGGTTGAAGGGAGACGAGCGGCAGAGCCAGACTTTTCCCCTTTCAGATGCATGAGCTGGGCTTCCAGAACTCGACGCATAAATATGGATTTGGCATCCTATTGCGGCAGCCATATCACTATAGGGGTGATCACGCCCCTCCGACCAGGCCGGTCAGTTGCTCTGATTCCTGAACGGATTGTTGTGGGCACATTGTTACCAAATATGTCTCCTTGCCGTCCCGCAAGCACATTGTCCATCGTCCCTACGCTATTTTCGAACCCAGTCGTTAATCGCAACCGTCTAATCTAGTAGAAATACTTTGTATCAAAATACATCGCGCAACAGAATCGCTTGCCAAGCTCATAGGTAGCAGCCCCTTTGCTCAATAGTAAAATGCTTCGCCTAGATACCCGTCTCCATACTTTGGCACCAACTGTGTGTGCGCGCGCCCTCGCACGGTGGTGCTCCGATGAACGGCTGCGTTAGCGGAGCCGACGCGCGTGGAAATGATGTGGTAGAAGCCATGGGCAGTCCACATCCAGACTCAATTGGGTGGGGGGTGCATCCCCAAGTGCCTCAACCGACCACACCACCACTGCTTCACTCATCACCACCAACGCCGTAACATTCTTTCCCAGGTGCCTCGGCTTCTTGTTGCTCCTCATTATCTCTACCATATTCTTGACCACTTTAGCGACACTAGACCTTGGACCAACCCAAGGTCTTATCAGTCCATAGCCGCCTCTCTGTTGCTTCGTGATCCAAACACTCCTTCCTCTAACCCCGCAATGTCCACCACTGGTTCGATGCGTGCCGTCATCTTCAACGGACCGCAGAATGTATCGGTCGAACAACGGCCCATCCCTACCCGTGTGTTGCCCCTATTTCCATCCTCTTTGACCATTCTTTCGACTGCAGTGTTCACTGATCAGTACAACAGTCCAGGATGATGGCGATGTTATCGTAAAGGTGCAGGCTACGGCTCTGTGCGGCTCGTAAGACAATCTTGTTCCAGTCTGCTCCAACCCCACAAACTCACATGGTCCAAGGGAGCTGCATGTCTTTCGCGGCCATCAGCCATCCGAGACGGGCTTCATCATGGGGCATGAGTTCACTGGCACAGTCGTCGAGAAGGGCGCTGCTGTCACCACTTTGAACATCGGCGACAGGGTTGTGTCTCCCTTTACCTCGTCGTGGTAAGGTCTCCCAAAATTACTTCCCCGGTGGTCTCGTCGATTTTCACACCCTTTCAGCATGCAGTGCTTCTACTGCAAGAACGGCTACACGTCCCGTTGTGTTCGTAGCAAGTTATTTGGCTGCGGCGCCTTGGACGGTGGACAAGCCGAGTACGTCCGTATCCCTGATGCTGACGGAACCGCCATGAAGGCCCCAAGCACCATCTCAGACAACGCTCTGGTGCTCATGGCAGACATTTGGCCAACCGGCTTCTTTGGCGCCAAGTCTGGATTCAGCTTACTCAATGAGGAGGAGAGGTCCAGCGCCACCGCGGTTGTTATCGGATGCGGGCCTGTCGGCCTTTGTGCCGTAGTTTCAGCACTCGAGTACCGTCCCAAGCACCTCTTTGCCATTGACAGTGTAGATAGTCGCCTGGAGCTTGCCAGGGGCCTTGGCGCGGAGCCCTTGAACTTCAAGACGGACCGTGCTGGCATGGAGAGGCGGATCAAAGAGGTAACCGAAGGTCGCGGGGCCGACGTTGTGATTGAGGTTGTTGGCCTGAGTCCCGCCCTCAGAACTGCGTTTGATATTGTCAGGCCATGGGGCGTCATTGCCAGCATTGGGGTCCATAACGGCGAGGTAAGTGTTGAGATGAATCGTGAAGTGAGAAATCGACCGACTTACACGTGGTGTAGATTCCATGGACGGGCACAGAGGCGTATGGGTAAGTGTGGCCAGTACAAGACTCGTCAGCCTTGTTGTTTTCTCTAACAGCATTGATAGCAAAAATCTGAGGCTGCAAATGGGCCGATGTCCTGTCCGGGCCATATTTCCTGAGGCTCTAGCTTTGTTAGAAAAGAGGCAGGATAAACTCGGGTGTGTATTTCCCTGCATGACCGCGCAGGGTCTCCCGCGATTGAAGCATTCGACATTTCCTCTCCCCCTTCGGATGGCTAACAGGGACCAGATTCATGTTTGACCGCATAATGCCTTTGAGTCAGGCCGTCGAAGGGTATGCGTTGTTTGATCAGATGAAGGTCCAAAAGGTCATCTTCACTCCGTGATTGGGCTATTGGTCATTATTGGACGCCAGTCGCACTCTTCCACCCCAAATAGTGATAAGTAGCTGAAAGGGTCTCTCAAGGTTGGCGATAGGAGAAAATGATTGAATAATAAAAAAGCATGGCAATTGATGCCCTAATTTTGCCTTGGCTTTACAATGCCATCATGAATGAGGTAGTAGGAAACCGTCGAGTCATCGTGGACAACGGCGAGCAGTAGCCTCTTCTGGCGGTCCGCACCACGCCAATCCCGCTTTGAGGGCGTATCGTAACTTGTTTCCGAGGTAATTGGCCGTGGCAAAGCGTCGATCGAATCGAATATGGTAGCAAAAGAGCTCAACGTCCATTGCTCGCTAAGGTGGACGGGCAGAACCCATTCATACTCGGGAGTCTGGTTTGGACGTTTTCCAGTTGTCTGTTCGATCTCAAGAGCCTCGATCTGCTCGTCCGGGTGCATGTACAGGCGGGATGGCGGTAGACCGGTGACGATAGGACGCGGTCGGCTTTTGCCATCGTCGCGAATCTCAACGTCGGTCCAGTCATGCTGGTCTCGGAGGTTGTCAATCACCAGAGCGGTAAGGTTGGTGAGATGCTCTGCGGTAGCCATTGCGAAAATAGACTCTAGGCGGCTTTGTTTGAAGACGGTTTTATTCGTAGCTGAAGCGAAGTGAAGTGAGATACAGGCGTTGGTGGACTGAGCAATCAACCAGAGCTAACTGTGAAGAGATCTCAAGGTTCTCACTGCGGGTGGCTCTAGGCGTAAAGCAAAGTTGCGGAGCCAATCAAGTGCCGTGAAGGCTCAGAGCCATTCACGGGGGGATATGCTCTCCACAAGTACATAATCGGTTATATACATAAGGGCATGTATATATGTAGGTATGCACTAACCACAAATTATACAGACCATAGAAGATAGTGCACCCGTACATGATGGGGACTTTGATGTGACATTCCGGCTGCATGCGGGCGGAAGCAGCTTAAAGAGACGAATGATGCACCCTTTTGATACTTTGAACTTACTGTGCTCTGACTTTCAGGTAACGAAGGGCGTTGAGACGAGTCTACTGTAAAAGTCCCGTAAGGATGTTGACGGCAAAGGCTAAAGTCAGCATATGAGTGCGCGGGGCTTCCGAGGCTGCACTGCAGCTTATGCAGCCATGAATTCAGGTACCCGCCCATGAGAGTCAAAGCCGAACCAGTCTGGCCAGAGCAGACAGTTGTGCGTATCGCTGCAAAGCTCTATACGAGTGCCCCAGTAGTGGAAGCTAGATATTTGAGGAAAGAGGCTGTCATTGGCGGAGGTGGTTTGTAAATTTATCTACACCACATTGCCATCTTCCTGATGCCTAACTTGCCTTTGGGGAGGCTTGCCTCCCTTCCCGACAACCCGGTTAGAAGAACCTCAGTTCTCCTACGTCTGGCCACGAACCCCGAAATAGATAGAGTCCTGCAGTCTTGTCTTTAGCATTCCAGGCACCGTTTGCGGATACGATTCCTCCCTGCGTAGGCTAAGGCCGTAGTCAATACCCGCTCATTTAGAGAGCGTTCGCCATTCCTAGGCCTGGCATTGTTATGGACTCGCATGATTAACTGGAATTAAGCTTACAAGTCTGTGCACGGGCAAATCGCCGCGCCGTGACGCTCTGCTTTGCCTGGGTGTGGTGGTCACAGACGGCGAGAGCTCACGTCAGGCTTCCGATTGAAGAAGCCAAAATGCAGCGGATACCGGCAACCCAAGTTAAAGCACAGGCAAGAGGAGCATGAACAAGAGCAAGTGCAAAAAGGAAAGCAGCAAGCACGGCTCACTCATTCTCCTATACCCCTGCCCGCCTACGTAACCGGACGGTGATGGGCCAACCAGCGGTCTTCGTTTAGAGCAAGGGCGTGCACATTCCACGGATCCCGTCATGTGTGCGTACCTACTTTGTAGGTAACTACACAACTGGCCTGGCTGCGGGAAGGGATTGAGATTGATTCCGCACAGAACCTGCGCAGTGGCATTCGGGTGACGAGTTGGAGAAATGCATGGCCCCACGCCTCTGGTTTCCCTGACGTGCTGACCTCACTGCGCGTACGGAGCACTGCGTACAGAATCCGCATCTGTGAAGCCGTAGCGCTGGTGGTACGCGTATTGACGTAAGAATCCCAGCTCTGCGACGGCTATTCGGTGGGCTCTTTGGTTCCTTTCCCACTAACGTTTCCGCGCAGATCACCGCTGATTGGATGTAACGGGTACGGATACCTGACCGGCACCCGTCGTCCTTTGACAGCCCCATGGCTTCACCTTTTTCTTTCTTTCGAGTGGCTCCCCTCCCGTCAGAATCAGACTCAGAAACACCGTCAGTGGCCACACAGGCAGTTTATGCCCGGGCTGCTCTGTCTATGATGACTCCCACCCCCCCTTTTCCTCTCCTCCCCCCCCCCAAGCCATCATCCATGGAAATCCCGTCTGCCATTCGATCGGGTTGGATTGCCCATTTCCCGCCCCTTTCCTGCTACTTTAGCTCCTCTCCGCCTCGCTACCGCAGTTGCAGTGTCCCGCCGGGTTCCAAGGTTGAGAGTCGAGACCGTCAGAAAAAAAATACTTTATCTTGCTACCCTGTCTCATCATTGTGGCTTTGATGTTCCCTCATTCTTGTCTGCCTCCCCTCCTCCCACCACAACTACTTCAACTCAATCTTCTTATTGACGCCGCACCCTGTTGGACACTCGATTAAAAACTCCCCGACTCTTCTCTTACTTCGCCACTTTTCGCTGCGTCTTGTTTTCTTGAGATACCCTACATACATTTTGTTTCCTCTTTCCTTACCCTCCTGCCGTTTGTGCTTGTACAGGCTTCTACTGTTGGGCCTTCGTCATTTGCGCATTGCCGTAAGCACCTGTATCACGTCTGCACACGGCCCCCAAGCACACATCGTCATCCATCACGGTCCTCGACCCAGCCGACCTGCCCAAACCGAGCTCAAACAAATCATCGATATCCCAACTCCCCCGACCCCGCCCGACCTTGATCGAGTCACTGCACTTCGAGCCGACGATTTAATCGTTGCACTGGAGTCATCACCGCCCCATTACAACCTGTCCACGGCTTATCACGGCGATTTCCTGTTTTCGCGACAGCTAGAACCGCCCTGTTGCGCCCAGGGACCTTTGGCTCCCAAGGCTCCTAGTCGTACCTGGTAACAAATCTCCGCACGCCGTTTACAATGTCTCGACCAGAGTCGTCGCTGGACAGCAGTGAGAAGGAGAGAAATGTGCCGCTCGATCAGTCTACCACCGATACGAAGTTCTCCGATTCAAACACCAACAACCACACCGAGGACAAGAAGCAGGATGTAGAAGGCAGAATTCCAACGAGCGCGGCCTCGGCAGCAGTTGCTACGGCTGAGCGCGACTTATACGAGCCTTACGACAATGGCTATCACTTTCCTCCCGCGCATACAAAGAAGCAATCTACTATGATTGGCCTCAAGGCCTTTTGGAGATACACATGTACGCCTCTCGGCTTCTTTGTCGTTCTCTATTGTCTCAATGTTGTGGCTTGGGGTGGCATGCTGTTCTTGTTGCTCTGCAACGCTGCACCAGCCATGTGTTATCCGACATGCAACGACATCAACTCTCCCCGGCGTAAGTGGATCGAATGGGACTCGCAGATCTTGAACGCTCTTTTCTGCGTTACAGGCTTTGGTTTGGCGCCCTGGAGATTCCGCGACCTGTACTTCTTGATGCAGTACCGTATTTTGAAGAAACCCGAGGCTCTTGGTCGCTTGGCCGGTATCCACCGGGGGTGGTTCCGGTTACCTGGATCGGATCAGCTCCCTATTCACATCGGTCCCAAGAATGTGGCCGAGTTGGCGGCTGAACGGCCTGTTCTGCAGATCCCGCACCCGGAGAAGGCTATCCCGGACCCGCCATTGACCGGCGTCCGGGCGCCTCCGACGCCAATCTGGAAGATGGACTTTGTTATCTGGTTCAACGTGTGGAACACCTTTCTGCAATGTGTTCTTTCTGGCTTCATGTGGGGAATGAACCGATTCGACCGGCCTAGTTGGTCAACTGGTTTGTTCGTTGCACTCGCGTGCTTGGCGGCCGCCATAGGAGGTTTGATGATGTTTTTCGAGGGCAAGAAGGTTAAGAGCATAGAAGGAGTGCCGCTCAGCAAGGAGGATGAGGAACGCCTGGCAAAGGACAAGGAGATGGGCGTCCAGCATTACAACAACATCAAGGACAAGAAACCGAAGGAACCCAAGGAGAAGAAATAGGGCATGTCACCGTCCATACCTAATCGATACCGTTCGTATACGCATACGAGAATGATAATATAGCTTACACAAACATGCTACTTTGTCACTAGCAATTTTTTGATGATGCGGAAGTGGAACAGACGCCCTTGGATATCGTGGGTCACGAACTGTTGGTGGTGACGTAAACGTCATCGACGGTTCCTTCATGGGAGACAAACCACGTCCGAAAGCTTTCCGATATGTTTGCATAGACAAGTCTCAAGATGCAACCAAGTGGTCGCTAGAGCTTGAAACGAATAATGAAAATTGGAACGCCATTCGTTCATGGACAAAAGAGAACGAGTCAACATCTATTCATATAACGAGTTGATCCGTACGTATATGCAAAAGGCACTGCAAGTGGCAGTAGCTAGAGTCATATAGGGTGCATGATCTGCTCCGCAAGGCGCTAGCCTGTCTGCAAGGTCACCGGCGCGCAGCTTGTCGAAGGTGAGGTACCTGCCAGCATAGGGTTGCGCCGAAGGTACGTGCATCCCAACGATAAGACACCTCGCTTGAGGAAGCTGAAGCACTTACCCACTGATAAGCCGCTCAACCGCGCCCCGTGGCTCGACACCTGCCGCACTTCAAGTCCGGTCGGCTGTTACTACAGTCGCAACTCTCCGACAACTGCGCGCTGTTCCCGTCTCTGGGCAGCTATCTTCCTCCCACCTCCGATCTCCAACTCCCATGACCCATTGCCTACCTTTCCTTCATTTTACTTTATTACCTCTTGCTGTACCTTGTCTCAGCTCAACCTTGAACTCCGTAGAGGACTCCTCAAAAGGAACATCCTGTTCCTTCGCCTTCCCCTCCTTTTCGTCTCCCACATCCATCTGCCCATAGACTCTACGCCTGCTCGCCTCGACTAGCTCATACAACATGGCGTCGCGGGCCCTCATTCCCTTTCTCGTGGCCATGATGCTACTGACGGGTGTTTGTAACACCCTGCTCACCAAATATCAGGCACGTAGTATCTTATCCCCATGCGCGCTCCTTGCCGTGTGCTTCTCATCCAAAGATCCTCTGCGCTCGGCATTCATAGGCTAACGTCGTCTTCCGCGTCCAGGACATGCAATGCGTCCGCAACTGCGATGCGAAAGACCCCACGAAACGGGCTTACTTCAATCAGCCTGTTTTACAGACTGCTCAAATGTTTGTTGGTGAAATGGGCTGCTGGCTGGTCGTCGGCCTAATGACCCTGTACCGCCGCTACGGTCCGGGGACATCTCCCGCCACGGATGGCTACCAGGCCGTCAACACGAACGACACCGATGACGCCAACGCCCCTCTTGTCAACAATCCCGACGGCATTCCGAAGCCGCAAGAGCAGGAGCAAGGATCCATCCTGCGCGGCCCCCGTATCCTTTTGCTGGCCCTTCCAGCCATTTGCGATATCCTCGGTACGACGTTGATGAACATTGGCCTTCTGCTGGTTGTTGCTTCCATATACCAAATGACTCGAGGTGCTTTGGTGCTCTTTGTTGGAGTTTTCAGTGTCGTGTTCCTCAAGCGACGACTCTTCTTGTTCCAATGGCTTTCCCTCGTCGGTGTCGTAGTGGGTGTTGCGATCGTTGGCTTAGCTGGAGCCATCTACCACGAGAGCGAGAGCAAGACAGAGAACGCCGCCGACGAGGGCGCTCCAGCATCTAACGCCTTGTTAACCGTCATTGGAGTTCTGCTCATTGCTGGAGCGCAGGTCTTCACGGCTACTCAGTTCGTCCTCGAGGAGTGGATCTTGGAAAGATCGGCCATCGAGCCCATTAGGGTCGTGGGATGGGAAGGTCTCTTCGGTTTCGTTGTGACTATTATTGGGATGATCGTCCTGCACTTTGCCGTTGGACGCACTGCCGCCGGAAAGAACGGCTACTTCGACATGGCTGAAGGCTGGAGACAGCTCACTCAGAATAGAGCCATCGGGTTGTCCAGCATTCTGATTATGATCAGTATTGGGTACGTCTCTCATATTTCATCTTCATCTTGCTCTCCTTCTCTGGTACCGCTGTCGCACTGCGCTGATACTGCTGTCGCTTTAGCGGATTCAACTTCTTTGGTCTCTCCGTTACCAGAAGTGTCAGTGCCACCTCGAGGTCAACAATCGACACATGTAGGACGCTATTCATCTGGATAGTTTCCCTCGGGCTGCGCTGGGAGACCTTTAAGTGGCTGCAGGTTATGGGGTTTGCCCTGCTTGTCTACTTTACCTTCCTATTCAACGGAATCGTCCAGCCTCCCTTCAAGTTTTTGGTTCCCGAGGAAGAGGTGGAAGAACTGCTGCCAGAGGAGCCGATTGAGCATCAGTAGGTTGTCATCACTACATATAGTGGTTTAGAGGGAGCCATGTACTGGAGTACCGAGTGAGCAATGTTTGGTCTTGTGCATGAAGTCAAGCTCCCAGCACACCAGGACACAGAGAAAGACCATCGTGGCTGGTGCATTAGACCGAGTCGCGATGCGGGTGCCATTGAATATCCTCGTAAGGATCTTGTATTGGAATTTGCATAACAAGAAAGAAATCATACCCTATACCAAACACCATTTCTAGCTCTGCCATCATGTGTTCTTCCCTTACCTCGTTATGACTAGAACCCAGCTCCAGCTCTGCATGACTGAATCTCGCGACAAACTAATCGGCGTATAGCCAACTGCTGTAACTGGGCCATAAAGGTCGGGTCGGGGACGACGGCAAGGTATTGGCTGACAAGAAGAGCCGGGAAAGTCCAAAGCAAATGACATTCCATCCAAACACCATCAAGCGCCGGCTTGTATGCAAGGCGTCGCACTGCTCTCCCAGAGGGAGAAGGCCAAGAAAATTGAACGAACAGAAAAGCAAAGGAAAGGTATAGGTCGTAATAGACCACTCATACTCCCAAGAGGAGAAGTATGTGCAAGTTGTCGCCTTCTCCTTCCTAGCCTTTGGTTGCCGGGGCGCCCTCAGGTAACGTTGCAGAGCAATTCCGCCTCGAGAATGAACTTGCCCTCCTTGTACTTCTCCGTGGCTTCGTACGCTTTATCGTACTTCCAACCAACCGTCTCCTTGCACTGCTTGCAGGTGATGTCCCGGACAATATGGCGTCCCGTCGTCATGTTGCGCTCGCTAGGCTCGCCCGTCTCGATGTTCACGACACTGTTAAACAAATACGCTTTGCCATGCTGTCCTCGAAAGTTCTAGTGGGGAGGGAGGGGAACAAGTATGTTAGCCAAAGCAGGAACAAAGACCAGCGGTAAAGCGTCACCTTTGCCTTCAAGGTGGACAACATTGTGCTCGAAAGAGAAGAGGAACGCCCCTGCAAGAGAAGGAGAAGAGAGGAAGGGAATGACAGAGACAGGAGGGGTAGAGACCTACCCGGCTGATGATATCCTCGTGGTTTGCCAGATGCGCCTTGCAGGTCTTGCAGCCGTAGACCTTGCTGCTATTCAGGTATGTGTTGTATGCTAAGCCCATGATGTTCTAGGCCTCCCCCTCGAGGAGGCAGAGAAATAATAATGGGAGGGAGGAAAGGGTCGGTCGAATGGTAAGGGAGGACCGGTCGTTGGGACGGTGTTTGTTTTCGAGCTCTATTGGAACTCGCTGGGCGCCTGGGCGTGGATAGCTCGCCTTTTTTTGTCTCTCTCGTGGCACTCGATGTCTGCAGTTCCAGTCTAGAGAAAGGCGAAGGGGGCGAAGTAGAGTGGGAAAGGTCGTCAAATGGATGGAGCCTTCTGGTCCGCTGCAGCGCGACTGGGAAGTCGTAAGAGGGAAGGCGGGAGGTGCGGGGGCTCGGTTGCAGGGTGACAGGTGAGGTAATGCAAGGTATGCGAAGTAATTGATGGTGAGGTAAGGTAGTGCAAGCCGAAGCGGTAAGATGGTAAGGCGCCCTGCTAGCAATCGCCAGTCTTGCCGGCGTCAGATGTTAGGAACGTCCTAATCCACCTGTATGACCACGGGGCAGGGGCGTCAAGCACTGGATCGAACGGGACAACAGCTCACGGTTCAGAACAAAAGCTTCACCGGGACTGATTACCAGAGAATAGTGGAGAGGTGAATGTAGGCTGGTTGCTTTTCGGACTGTGAGATAAAACCTATAATAACAGAAGTCAGAATCCAAAGGCGCCAAGCTACGGATGGGGTGCCGCGGCCTGGAATGTCTCGCTGATAAGGATAAGGCTCAGGACGGGGACAGGGGTTTGGGCACCGAGTGAGTGCCTGGTGACCTTCAGTGCCGCGTGAGTGACGTATCTGAGCTGCTTACCCCGCTAATTCTCTTAACTACATGAATCATGTATCTACACAGTGCTACGGTTTAAAACAATTCCCTATATTTACATTGAACAGTATCCAGGCCTGCGGGTGCGTCCAACCTTCCGTCTCGAGATGCCTCCAATTTCCCCGACAGACCTTGGTTTAGGTCTCCCCTATAGTGGGCTTGCTATCATTCAGTGCCCGCTTAGCACATGAGCATCGCCGTGACAAACTCATGGCTCCCAGCCGGGCCACAGTTCTCTCCATCTATACCATCCATCTCTTACCACGAAAAGGCCTCCTCGTTGAAATCGATAGCTGAGTCATGCTGGCGGTCACGGACGGCGCGGCGTACCTCGTCACTAAGAGCACCAGGACCGCACACACTGATGCCCATGGTACCGACCTGCGACTCCTGCTCGGCCTTGATGAGCGTCTCAATGTTGGGACGACCGGGGAACATCTGAACTGTAGACGAAGGGCTGTGAATCTCCTTGGTGGAGCGCGGTCGACTGACGAAGAGCATGATGCGGAGAATATCCCTACGCTTCTCCATGGCCAGAATCTCCGTCATCCAGGGACGAATCCATTCGAGATGCTCCGGGCTCTGGATGGTCCACACAAGAATTACCTTCCTGGCGGCAACCGTCCCGTTGGCGTAACCAGCAACGAGATCACGCACGTGGGGGACTTGGTGAGTGATACCAACGCCGCCAGCGAAAAGCATAACTGTACCATAGGAGCGCATGCTGTGCAGGCCACCGTACGGGCCCTCCAACATACAAGTGATCGACATCTTGCCCTCAGGGCAGGCAGACGCCTTGCGGTACAGCGTGTCGGTCATGCCAGTTCGGGCGCGCATGACGAAAGACATGGTAGTCTTCCGCATGGCAAGGATGTCCTCACGATTGAGGGAAGCCTTCTCGGCCAGGGGATCCTCGGCTTCTTCACTCCACGCGACGGAAAAGGGGTGAGACTGCAAAAGACTGATGGAAGGCATGTACACATAGGCGTGCTGACCAGGCCCAAATGTCCAAGGACGAGCCATCGTCACTGTGACACGGCAGGCGTTACCGGGAAGGGCCTCAACCAGGGCCTTGCTGCCTCCGTGTCCCACGTTGCCGTAGAAGACACGAGCGGCGCGAAAGACACGGTCACTCGCCCAGAAGATGACAACAGGCCACATGTACACAAGCTGAGGCAAAGCCTTCATCTGCAAGTGGTACCAAACTCCGACGACAGCTGTGATGGCCAGGAGGATGTGGAGAAACTTGAACGTCTCATAGAACGCGTGCCTGATGGGGCTCGATGCCTGAATGCCAATGGCGACGAAGGCACAAGTGGCCTGTTGTCTTTGTAAGCTGCCGTTTCATTCCATGTCGGCGAATACCGAAAACTTACAACAAAGCCAAAAAGCAAAAAGGGGACCGTGGTGGCGGACTTGATCGCAGCTGCCCAGCTTGCACTGTTGGCAGTATTGGCCATCCATGCGAGGGTGTGAGCGAGTGCCTCAAGAATAACAATGCGACCAAACCAACGGTGCAGCAGGTTAAAAGTGTCAAATGAAATGCCAAGCATCTGGATCAGAGGGTTATTGCGCCCAGGCATCAAGAATAGGGGGATCTAATCTCAGTTAGTTTTGGAATAATAGTCTATTTGGCCTATTCTCGGGCGAGAACGGTCTTGTGCAGTCTGTTCCTTTGAGCGGATCAGTCGAGGTATGACGCACCATATTGACGACGGCCAAGGTGCCGGTTCGGTTTCGAAGCTGCTGAGCGGCGGCGCTGAAAGAGCCAGCGAATGGGATGTTGATGACGCAGAAAGCGACATTGGTAGCGAAGTAGCCAGCGAGGAACAGCAGCTGAAGACGACTAGGTAGGGTACCGACATTGACAGCGGAGCTGAGCTGAATCTCGCGGTTGTGACGCTTGCTGAGGACCGGGGCATAGAGAACGTTCCTCTTCATCCAGGACACCTTGGAGTCGGACTGGGCAAAATATCGCTGGTTGTCGTTGTTCAGGCAGGCGACGGTACGAACATACTTGACGATGACGGTCCAGATTCTCCAGATAATGACAGCAGCTGAGACGCTGGCGCAGATGTAGAACAGATAGTTGGAGAGAGCCTTGTTTTCCAAGGCAGCATTGATGGCGGCTTGTTGCTGCTCAGGAGACTTTGTTGCGCCTCCACCAGCCATGATGATGTATGTGTTGATCAAAGTCCGCAGACGACTATCAGCAAGTAAGATGGATTTTTTGAGTAGTCGTTGTAGTGAGGCGTTCTGGTTCCAGTATAATCTAAACGTTGCCCAGCAAGTCGAGTTTCTAGTATCGGAAATAGGAAGAGAGCGTAGGACGTTTGCGAGTTGTCGAGGACGAGTCGTCGGCAGCGCAGGATTCGTAGCAAGAGCAACCAGGACAGTCGGTTAGACAATACGTCGTTTGGTTGGACTTTTGGAAATATCTCGAAACCGGCACGATAGGTACTTCCAAAAACAAACGAAAATAGGTAGGCCGAAAGAGAGGGTCGAAGGGTGCAGTCAATGCAAGGGAATAAAGACGACAGCAGGCAAGGGAAAACAGACGTCCTCCTTTGGTTGACACGTTACTTGAGCCTGCGCCTTGCGAGGGGAGAAGGTTAAGGAAGGGAAGGACAAGAAGAGAATAGATGGCCGTTGAGGGAGGAGAGAGAAGGGAAGCACTACAGATGAAGAGAGGGAAGTAAGACTAGTAAATGAGCGAGAGAAGCCAGTGATGTAAGTACCCGGCAGTGATTTTCTTAGTACGGGTACAATAATCTGGGGCCGCACAAGGCAAAAGGGAATATTGCTTAGTCGACACCCAGGCCGAGTTGGCACGTTCCAGGATCCTCTTTCTCGAGTGACTACCTAGAGCGAGACAAAGTCTCGAGGGGGTGAGGGGTGTGTTCCTGTGGCGTGTGGGTGTGAGTGGAGGCATGAGAACTGGCACGACCCAGTTTGACAAGGACTAAAACACCACTTTCCACTACCTGAGAGGATACCGGTTTCCGCTAATGTGGGTGTCCCCAGACAGATAGATGGAAAGGATGTGTCCCCCTGCTAGGTACCCTAAGGCCAGTCATGGAGTATAGCAGGACCTGAGTACGTAGAGGAGGGTGGACGTTCCGCTTGTCTGCCTGACGAGGTGAAGACAACGATGAGTAAAAGACAGCCTCGACAGAAGTGCCAGTCCTCCCAGAAGGTCTACAGAGAAGTCAGAACTCGAGCGCGGGTCAGGTTGAGACGAGATGCGGCGTCCTGGGATATGCAGGGCAGAGGCAAAGGCAAATGCAGAGAGGCATGGCATGGCTGAGTAGGCAGGGACGCAGCGCATGTTGACAAGCAAACAGGGTTGAAGTCGGCAAAGGCGTCCGAATTCGTACGCGGCATCCGTACGGCAGTTGAGAGGGGAAGGATCGGGCACTGAGCAGAGCGCTGATCGCTGAACAGAACTGAGCAGAAGGCCGGACGGACGGACTAACGCCCTGGTCACTAACCAACATAATGATGCCATCAATCAGCAAGGCCCCTGGCGCGCCCCTTTGTGCCTCCCTCTACCAGCCGAGATGGGAGGATGCCGGGGAAAGAAGAGTCGAAGGGACTGGACTGGGCAGCTCTCGCCTTACCCGAGTGGCTTGAATGGGATTGAGGAAGACGGGACGGCATCAAGGGCTTGAGAGTGGACGACAGTTCTCAGAGCAGGGGCCGCGGTTTGAAGACAGACGGCAGGGATCAGGGCACCGCCTAAGTCTCTACGCAAGACCAAGGAGCGACGACGCAGGGGCACAGCACACGCTCAGAACCTGTCCGAGAGGGTACGAGAGTCACGCACTTGCGTTACGTATTCGCACTCTTCTCAGCCTTTCCAAGACTTTTTTGACGGGCCAGTGGCATTGCACAAGGCTCAGCATTATACCTGGATCAATCCATTGCTTCTTCTTAGTGTCCTTGTTTCTTTTTAATGTGCTTTATTTTTTCTCCAAGTCCAGTCCATAACTCTCTCAACTCCATGCTAGTGTCGGGCTGCACTGGCCAGCCTGTGCTGGTGTTTCTTTTTTTGTGATTGACTTTCCCCTTGCCTTTACCACGAAGCGCAGGGAAGATCGACGACTTCTTTTCAGGGTCAGATCATTGGCAGCTAATCCTGGCCAAGGCCGGCGGTTGCGAAGCTGATTGGCTGTGGTTGCAAGCCGTACCTTGCAGCCGGCGCCATCCAGGGGCAAACGCCAGGCTTGGAGGCGGCCTTTTGCACTGGGCCAACCACCATCGCACAGCATCAGCAACGCGGCACCCCTATAGTACGCCTGAGAGATAGTGACTCTGGTATGATGTGCTCGCACTGCATTTACTAAGGCAGAGAGTTAATTACCTTAGCTTGAGATGTTCTGCTTCGCCCTCAGCCCAGGACCCAAGTCCGACTAGGAGTCGCTCCACGATGTCACACTCGCGAGGGGAACAACATGATACGGAAGGTACACGGCAAACGTCATGTACAACTGCGACGTCAACTGAGTCTTTTACAAGACCCAAATACACAAGACACGATGAAAAAGGGGACATGGCCTGGTTTCCCTCGTACCGGTCATGTCTGTCGACGCAACCTGCCATATGCTTTGACATTGGCGATACAATTCTGGCTTCAGTGGCCACGACAGTCAGTGGAAGATACCTGTGAGAATGTCAGGATTTTCCAGCGCAAGTTCTGTTCGGTGGCGGGGATGTGGAGGCCCCATTTTCCTGGAGCTCTGAAACAAGCCACGTCCGCCTTTGCGGCTGCACTAGTGCCAGCCGCCTAATAGAAGGAGGGGCTGGTGGGGTATGCTACAATGAACTACTGCCGTAACCAAACGGCCACTGGATGCCACGCTGCGTTGCGCGGTACGTACTGCGGGAAACAGCCATCTTCCAATGGAATGGGTGCGCTTCCTCCTCGGCTCGACATGATTACCCTCCATCATTCATTGATGGCGCTGATGTTATGACAGCATCCACGCGCGGCCAAAGCCAGTGCCGTTTCGGTCATGTCACAACAGGGAAGCACCAGCCGAGGGCCGCATGGCTCCAAACCCAGAAACGGGAACGTGGACAGAAACGAACAAATCCGATATCCAGCAAGGCACTGCGCACCCACGCCTACGAGATAAGGCGCCAAGAGAGACCATTCATCAATCATAATTCGATACCCGTAGACGTGGTATGTGTCTCGTCTTCGTCCATCGTCCATGCTCTTTTCGTCTGGTCTTCTGACACCGACCCAGGCGCCAGATCACTGCACAGCATCGTCACTCTTTCGAACAACTTTCGAACAAAACGGCCAAAACCCTCTGCGGCCCACATTACGCCCCTTTTGAAGCAACCAGACCCGATCTTGCTCGGCTACACTTGACCATCTGTGACGTGCCCCGTCGGGGATGAATTTAGTGATACTACGGGAGAGTGGGGGTTGATGCACGACGAAAATCAACGAAACCCTCTTCCCCAAGGGTTGTCGAAGCAGGGGAGCGACGGTCACCTTCGTACCGCCTGCCGAAGTGGCGGCGCCTTATTGTTGGGGCCGATGCGAGATGCGAGCAAACATTCTCGAGCAAGCTGTGATCTCATCGATCACTGAACAGACCGACGCAGGGAATCCTCAGGTCGAGTGACACAGATCCTCCGGCCCGCTGAGATGTTTGCTGTATCCCGTAAGCCACGCTGGACTGTACAACCGACAGGTCGTATTCCACTGAAGGTATTTATTTTCTTTGGGAGTTCGTGCTAGACGTCCATGTCACGATGTTCATGACTGTATACCTCGTGTCTTCGTCATCACTTGGTTCCTGATTCTGACTGCGACTGCAAGCCTACGTGGGCAGCGCCGAGTGATTCGATGCACTGCCCAGGATGGGCCCATTCAATACGGAACACGGCATGGACCTTGATCGAACCCAAGGTTATTGATTAGCTGCCTCCTTCTGTTTAGAAGCGAATATCTTTCCCCGCCACCCCCCTCCCCCTTCCTCTTACTTTCTTACCCCAGGAATGAAGCGACATGCGTGTAAGAGTACCGTTACTGATGTCGCAAATGTAATCAGCCATTGTACCATTACAGCCAGGAAGTTTGACCGTGCTACAACGACAGTATTCACTTGGTCGTCCGAGCAGAATCCTCCAATCAAGGCCTTCCCAGCAGCATTGTGCCTAGGTCCTCTGTGGGCGTTCGAATTACAGTTACTTGCTTTTTCTTCGTCTCAGTCACGCCAGTCTTTGGGTTGCCAACCCATTCGGAATCTGGCCGGAGACAGCTGGTCTATGCCTTTTTCTGTGTCGATCTATCGGTCAATTCGGGGAGATCCCAAAACAAGTTGCGCAGACACGAGACGCTCGAGTTTTCCCACATTTTGGGATGACGGTGTTTCAACTCAACGGGCAAAGGCAGGGTCGACGGGCACGGGATAACTTACGTCGGAATCGCTGCCAAGTCTACTTGACCCTGGCCCGCGCGGGCATTGACTCGGACGACATCAACACAATGAAAATAGACGTATGTTTTTCCGTCATACAAAAGAGTGTCCCAAGAAGCCCAACAGCCCTTCAGTGCAGATTGGATTTGTTGTTCTTTGATCTTCATTGGGCGACACCCAGGTGACGAAGCAATGGGTGACTTGCAGATCGCACTCTTCTCACGGTCCTTTGGTCGTCGTCAATCGGACCGCATTCTAAGACTGCACACGGCGCCGAGAAAGAGGCTTTCATGACTTCCCCAAACCCAACTGCTGTTCAGCTCCGTTTCCTTCTTTGACATCCACATGTAAACAGGCCGACAGTCCGTCCATCTCATCGTGTTATCGCGGCGATCCACCCATCCATCTCGCGGTTCCAAACGTGCTCGCTGTCGAAAGTCCGTCGGGGGTTTCAATGCAACCGCCGCGAGCAGCATGCGACTCGCCGTGCGCGGAATACATTGCGAATAGAGTGCAGCGTCGCGGACGTCGGGCTGACCAAAGCCACCATAATCCTCGGTTACAGCCCCTCGCGATCCATTCCCCGACATCAGACCATGTTACGTTGTGCTCGGCCGGCTTGAGCACTTCGTGTGTTGCTGTCAGTCACTGTCTGCCAATGCTTGGCCATAGAGAATCACTGGGCCGACTTCTGCGTAGTGTAGTATAGTATACCCACCGCATCTCCGTGACCGCCTGTCCCTACGTAGACCTGGGCCCTTGTCTTTGATAGGGGTGCTTCCATTCTTGGTGTTGACCCGGTCATTATCGTATTGGGATGCGGATGCCTACTTTCCCACCACCACTCACGCTCGCTGTCGCAGGGGTTGGCCTGTTTGGCTTGGGTCGACACGGCTGAAGAGTGATACCATGTACCTACACTAATTACTCGCCCCGTGTGCATTTCTCTTGAGGCTGAGATGGTTGGAGGGTCAGAGTCGTGGGTTTGGCTCTGCTGGATTTACCCGGGTGGATCTCCAAAGGCTCTTCGGTACAATCAGCTCTATTGTCAAAAGAGGTGACAGTAAAGCCTTATGGATAATCTCCAGATGGAGAGAAGATAGAGGAGAACCAGTAGACTTTAGGCGTGTCCTGGCCAGCGGTTTCTCTCCTCTGTGTACATAGTGTAGGTTTCTGTACCCTTGAGCTTCTGTTACTCTAGTCAAGGCGATCGACGACGTTGGTCCTTGATTGGGAAACCTTTCCAATCCTCGTTTCCCAGAACACAGCTCGGCCGAGAACTGTTGGTCAAGGTACACATATTCGTGGGCAACCGTTGCAAGTCCAGAATCACGGACTATGAGCCCAATTTTCCCTTCCGGCAGCCCGTCAGGCCCGCTGGTGTTCTCCATCGGTGGCCGATGCATGGTCAATCCGGTCCAAGAAGACTTTTGGTGCATTTGTTTTGTCATTATTTGCCTCGAAACCAACACCAATCGAAGAGGTTCAGGCCAGCGGTATGAACCAAGCCCCAGGTCAGTTGCAGTTCGAAGTTGGTTTTGCAATCTGCTGTCGGAGATAACGTCCAATGCATCTGACCGCGTTGAGTTGACCCGAACGATGGACCGGACAGGTTCCTCTCTTGTGTTTACTAAGTAGTTGTGCCGAGTATCTGCCTTCGGTCGCAGTCGTTTCTTTGTCGTCGGTTATCTAGAATGCGACCCGTCCATATCCCGATATGTCATCGCTACCAATCAGGCCGGTGCATTGGACAAAACTTGTCGCCGTGACAGTACACGCATCAAATCCCCGCTCACCGGGACAGCTCTAAACCTTCCTTACCGCGGTGCACCCTTCCTCTCATCCACCGTTGAGTATCGCATTGCCTTTTGCTCGTTGAGCCCATCAGTGCTGCAGGTTTGAGGAAGAGGCTCCAGAATCTTCCCCGGCCCGTTAGTGTTTCGTCCGCCTATTTATCCACACACACCTGCCCGCTCTACGAATCCAATGTCTTACCTATACTACACGCGGCCGCTGGCGTGCTGCACGGGAATAAAAGAGGTAACGGATAAGCAAAACTGGAGTTGGATGATTGGCCACGAAAAGGCAACAAGAAACGATAACATCTGCGTTGTGAGATCCACATCCATGTCAACCCTACGCTATGTTCCCAGTCGCAACTCCACTGGCCGACAAGGAGTTGAAACGCGGTTTGAATATCGGTTTGGGCCCTGGTTGAGTCGCAGCGACTCGTTTGGAGGGTTCGTCAGACTGAAATGAGCCATTCATCTACATGTTGCGATCCTCATTACAATCCCAACTCGTCTTCGTCGCCGTGGCCAGTAGGGTTGCCTCTACTACACAACTCAGCCAAAACCATGCGAGGTCCTGTCTCGCTGCTTCGGGTAACCCGTCGGCACCGGTTCCGTAGTCCAATTCCTATGACCTTGCTTCCTAACCGGGACTTGTCTGGAGCCTGAGGCTGATTTTCCTGGCACATGCTGAGCTCGTCGATGCCTTCCATGGTTGCCCGCACGTCCCCAGACTTGCTGCCATGATTCCCTTCTTGCGCTTTCCGCCTTCTCCCCGCCAGTCGTCGGTCCACTTGGTTGCCGTCCGGCTCGCTCACCGTTTGGGCTATTGCAACTAAGGGTCCGGTTTCGTCGGCAGCTCCCGCTGTCGTTGCCAATCCGGGTCGGGCCAGTTGGACATCCACTTTGTCATCTCTACGCCTGCTGCTTCGGCGAGGCACCGCAACCTCCGCTTGTGCAATAACATTCTGCCGTCTTGCTACCGGACTGACGGCAATCCACTCGCTGATGCCTTCTTCCCATCGAAAGCCTGCGAATAAGGCCTCTTCTGAGACGCTGTGTGAGATGACAGCGCGATCCTTTCCAATCAAGGCTCCTGTCATAGTCTCTGCAAATACAAGATCTCGCAGGTCGTCGGTCTTCTGGGCTAGGCAAAAGGCGCCCTCGGCTCGCAGCGTTGCAAAATTTGGTGTTCCAAGTTGGTCCACGAGCTTGCAGAGTTCGGCAAAGTACTGGCTAGACGGCTGAGCCGTAGCTCTGCCGCAACTATGAGCAATCGAGCAGGTGAGGGCAACGGCAACATCAAGGAGCGGGCCACTCTTCCCACCTGTGCCTGATGTTCTTCGCTGGCCAAAGCTAACTTCGAGGCTTTCGATGGCAGTCTCGAGTTGTGTCGCGCTATCGTGAGCTGGACCGGGGGACGACGAGAAGAAAATTGCCAGTAATAGGGGATAAGCTGCCTCCCTACTTGCGCGCTGGCTTCTTACCAGCTCCAGTGCTTGGTAGAATATCTGCAACACCACTCTCTGTGTTCTGCTCCACCGCACTGACTTCCTGCTAGTCGTGGCGTCCCCGAAACCATGCGAGATCATAGCCATGGCCGACAAGGCACCGAGGACACTCATCAAAGTGACCTTGCTGGCGTCATGCCCCAAGCTGATCTCTGGTGTGCGCCTCTTTCGCTTCGGGAATGTGCTGGTACACAAAGCTGCAAGTCCGGTGGACGCAAATCGAGTCGCAGACATATTCGCTTTCTGCTCGATTATTGCAGATGCTGTCATAGTCCACAAGAACCCAAAAGCTTTCGTTGAAACTGCGTCGGGGGAAAGGCGTCCGCTGAGCAACAAAGAAGCAAATGAATCGAGTAAATGAGACTCAACGATGGGATTGTCCGCAAGGCTCGTTAACGAGGCCAGTAACTGACCTCTTATCTTGCTCCCGGACGGGTTGGCACCTTCTGGCGGTTCGTGATGAGAAAGATAAAGTAGTGCCATGGCAAGTTCGGCCGTTTCGTTGGGGCAGTTTATAGCCCTGCAATGGTCGATGATGATGTGTATGAAGGTGAAGTCCAGAAGGCCTTCTGAGATGATCTCCCTCAACAGGTGAATGGAGTGTGCCCTCAAGACTATTCGAAGATGGCTCCAGCCGTTGCCAGCACCGCCGAGACTCTCCAATTCGTCGTAAACCCGAAGTGAGTAGCTCATCTGCTTGATGGAAGATACCGGTCCGTGGTTTTCTGCCCTAGATCTTTCCCAAGCTTCAATCTCCGCCGCACATTGAGGTACTTTCTGTAGACACATTGACAAGAGTGACTTCTTGCCGACTGGTCTGTCCTCAAGCATGGTTGAGCGCAGCAGCGCATCCAAATCATGGAGGATGCCTTCGTATAGTTGGTATCTAGATGGACGGAACGAACGTCTCAAACGTTCCAGTTCATTCAACGAAGATTCTAGAGGACCGCGTTTGCTCGCTCTCGGAACCACGCAGAAGCCTTCCGTCTCCTCACAATATGATAGATCGGATGAGGTTGTTATCGTCGTGTCGGGTCTGACCTTGCGCAAGATCGGAGTCGACACATCGGGTACACCCGAAGCCGATGAACTAGCCCGTTGATGGCGGCCGCTCTGGGCGCGAAGAGGACCTTTTGACGCTGAACGGACTTCATCTGTGAACACCCCAGTGGGTGATCTCCTGGAGTATGTTCGGCGAGGGCGTTTTCTCTGACCTTCGGAATCACCCTTGTCGTAGGACGTCCTCGCTTTTTTCACCGTCCGGTGATGGTGCGCTCCGTCAGAGTCGCCGGTCTCACACATATCTTGTCCTAGACCGGGCTTCTCCGTCAACGCAAGTTTTCGCAGGGCGGTGATCCGAGACTGGAGAGGGCGCAAAAGTCGGCGACATCTCGAAGAAGTCCAAAATAAGCCAGATTGATCCAGCTGGCGCAATTCGTCTGCTCCTCGCCGGGCCCAAAATCCTTGGCTGATTGGGCAGTTGTCCATTACCATCTCAGGCAAGTATGAATTACAACTGCAGCAAACAAAAAGTATGTTCTAGTGCTACCGCATGAAATAAGATGTCGTATATTTTGGATTTGATACACGAGACCGAGGCGTCGAAGAACTAGGGCAGGCGACTGAGGCTGAAGTGACGGGGAGTTTGTGTATGGGTATCGCGATAGTGCTAGCTCAGTGTCGAATCACAGCAGTTTGTTAGTAGCAAATGCTAGTAAAGATGACAGCCAAAAATGAATTTCAAGCAAGATAAGCTTAGGGTATCATTGTTCGAGAAGTAGAGCGTACTTAGCAACGTCAAAATGCAAAGTGTAGTGAAGTCGAAAAAGGATGCGACGCTTCATTCGGTTCATCACATTGCATGTTTACTTGTTACCTAATCGGGTATGGTGTTTCTTGCATCTGCGTCTTTGGTCCTGATTGGATCAAAGCAGTCAGTCGAAAGATGGTCACGTGTTACCTCCCCCCACTCAGCCCATGGGAGAGCTGCCAGAATGCGAAATCGCAATTAAGCCCTGAGTGTATTAGGTAAGGAAAGCCGAATGTGCCTGGCTTTGGAAGAGCAGATACTACGTACCCAGGCCACCGCCGCAGCGGGCACCGCAGCCTCAACCACGCCGGGGACTATGGCGCCCCTTTACTCCTCATTAGGGGGAACACTGGGCCCGGGAGGGACCAGCGACGACTGACAGCGTTTAACAGCTCTCCCCAGCACTGAACGGAGTGGGGCAAAAAAACCGAGAGCTCCAGCTTTGCCGGGCCGGTGCATTGCCGTCAATTGAGAATGACAGCGCAACTTTTTTTCTGCCGTGAATTTTTTTCCGATGCTTCCAAAAGCTAGTCTGCTCTACTCTCTCTTCACCTCCATACCCTCTTCTACCTATCCTACCGTCCCCTCTTCGATCCGCAACTGACTGGCCGTCGAGTTTAAAGCCACTTTTCTTCCTAAGGCCGAGCATCGTTCGCTTGTATACGTCACTCGGGGAGTTGTGCCTCTATCTTCTGTTAGACCGCTCCTTAACCTCTACTCCGTATTAATTGGCGTACCTTCATTGGTTTGTGCGATTGTTGAATTCCACTCAACCCTCTCCGCTTCAACGCCTCGATATATACCCTTCCCCCCTCTCTCCCTTTTTTGGTTACCGGTTCAGTTCATACACCGGTATATGAACAACTGGTTCCCCTGGGCTATTGTGCAACATTCGAGTACCAATGTCCCAATCCGACCAACCTACAGGCAAAGGTACTGCCACCTGCGGGCACAGACAGCCCACACTTGACGCCCCTTATGTAGTAGTTCCACGATGCTAAACATGCCAAATCGCAGACAATGCCGCAAAGGAGCCTGCGCCTCCTGCCGAGACTCAGGTCGAGCCTCATGCTGAGGGTAACGAGGTTGACCAGGGCCTGGAAGGTGACTGAGACCATCTCCTACCTGGTGCTCGGGACACTGACATTGCATATAGCTTTGATTACCCTTACTATCAAGCTTCCTCACGAGCCCGGTCAAATGCAGATTACGGTTAGCCGCCTTGAATCCACTTCTTGAGTGCGTCTGCTAACTAGCATGACACAGGTCTCGCCTCAAGAACAGATCCACGAAGTCCGACAGTCCATCATCGACCTACCTGTGGCGTTCCAGTACACTTGTTTCCACCTGGAGCACCATGGCGAGCGTATTAATGACTTCCTTCCTATTTCCGAAATCGAGGGTCTCACCGAGGACCCTGAGGTCAAGCTGGTCGAAGACCCTTACACCGAGAAGGAGGCCCGCATACACCTTGTTAGGATTAGGGAGCTGATTGGCGCCGCGGGAGACCGTACCGATGCAGTCCAGGGTATTCTGCCTGGCCTGTCCCTCCTTGACACTGTCGCGCCGCCGCCTGAAGAGCAGACCAACGGAGAGCTGCCGCAAGCTGCCAACGAAACAAAGGAGGACTACACCTTTGATGCTCCTGTCCCTGTCTCGACCTTGCTGCCTCCCGTTGAGGAAGATGAGGCCCCTAAGACGATCAAGTCCATTTCCCTCTCTGCTTGGAACCCGCCGCCTGTCCACCTTAAGCAAAGGGGGCACCTGCTGTACCTTGTGGCCACGACCAACGAGGGCGAGCAGCATCAGATCACCGCCCACGTTGGTGGCTTCTTCGTCAACAAGTCGTCCAACGCCAAGTTTGACCCTTTCCCTCGGCCAGCCCCTAAAGGTGCTTCGGCCCACTCCCTGCTCGGCCTCCTTGAGCTACTCTCGCCCTCCTTCTCGGCTTCATTCGTCAAGTTGCAGGACTACAACAACCGCAAGGACCCTCTTGCGACCTTCCAAATCACGAACGCGATACCCGCTGCGCCATGGATTGTGCCGTCTTCATCCTCTCCCCTATGTGCCCACAGCCCTGATTCGACACGGTCTCAGGAGACGTATCTTATTGCTGGCGCTGACAACACTGACACTCTGCGAGACTGGAATGAAGAATTTCAATCTGCGAGAGAGCTTCCCAAGGATACGGTCCAGGACCGTGTTTTCCGCGAGCGCCTAATGTCTAAGCTCTTTGCCGACTACAACGATGCAGCCACTCGCGGTGCCGTTCTCGTTGCTCGCGGTGAGATCCCTCCCCTGAACCCTACGGAGTGCAAGGACGCCCAAATCTTCGTGTACAACAACGTCTTCTTTTCCTTCGGCGCCGACGGGGTTGGTACCTTCACATCCGAGGGAGGCGACGAGGCTGCTCGGGTTGCTACCGGCAAGGATGTCGCTGGCGTTAGGTTGGTTAATCAGCTTGATATCGACGGCCTCTTCACCCCTGCCACAGTTGTGGTCGACTACCTCGGCAAGCGCATTGTTGGACAGAGCATTGTGCCGGGCATCTTCAAGCAAAGAGAGCCAGGCGAGAACCAGATTGACTACGGTGCTGTCGACGGTAAGGAGGTGGTGGCCTCGGATGAGCGGTTTGCCTCTGTTTTTGCGAAGCTGTCGCAGGCCCTAAAGGTCAAGAAGCATGCTGTCTGGGACAAGGATGGAAAGCGCGTTGACCTGGAGGCCAGCGTCGAGACCAAGGGTCTGATGGGAACCGATGCAAGGAAATATGTCCTCGACTTGTACCGCGTGACGCCTTTGGACATTGATTGGTTGGAGGAAGAAGGCGAGGCAGAATATCCTCATCGGATGGCTGTTCTCCGCCCCGAGCTGATCGATTCATACGGAAGAAAGAAGATGAAGGCTTGGGTTGACGAGGAGTTGGCTCGGCGTGGCCAGACCGCCAAGGATGTGCCCAAGGAGGAAACACCGGCTGAACCCAAGCAGCTCAAGCAGAGTTCGGCTAAGGACGAGGAGAGCGACGACAGTGATGACAGCGACGACAGCGAAGAGAGCGAGAGCGAGAGCGAAAGTGAGAGTGAGAACGAGGCGGAGCCAAGCAAAAAGGCTATCAAGGCAGAGAAGTCCAAGGAAGTGAAGGGCACGGAGGCATCGAAAGAGTCCAAGGAGTCTAAGGACCACATCGACCTTTCCAAGTTTTCGTTCTCCCTCAACCCTGATGTCTTCAGCGGGCAGACTCCCCAGACTGACGCCGAGAAGGCTGAAATGAAGCAAGATGAGGAGGATGTCCGCCTCGCATCCAAGTACCTTCGTGAGCAGGTCATTCCTGACCTCGTTCGCGAGCTCACCGACTGCGACATTAGCTTCCCCATGGACGGTCAGTCCCTCGGCCGCCTCCTGCACAAGAGAGGTATCAACATTAGATACACTGGCAAGGTGGCAGCGCTTGCCGAAGATCCGCGCTTGCAGTGTCTGAAGGACATTTGTGTCCAAGACATGGTTGCTCGATCTTTCAAGCACGTTGCCGCGAACTACCTCCGTCACTTGCCGGCGCCTTTCAGTTCGCCGTGCATCTCTCACCTTCTCAACTGTCTCTTAGGTTACAAGCTGAACCCTAAGCCCACTGCGGAGATTGACTCCGACCTCAAGTCGCTGTACTCTGATGCGGACCTGTCATTTCAGCAGGTGACTCCCGAGTCTCTTCGAGCCAGCATCGCAGAGGAGGCCCTGAAGCGATTCAGATACAAGCTGGACTCAGAGTGGCACACCAAGGTCAAACATTTGCAACTGCTTCGCGAGATTTCCCTGAAGCTTGGTTTCCAGTTGCAGGCCAAGGAGTACAACTTCACTGATAAGCCGGTTGCGCAGGCAACCCCTGCTGTTGCTCCTGCCACCAATGGTACGCCCGCCATTAACGGACAGGGCAACGGAGAAGGCAACAAGAAGAAGAAGAACAAGAAAGCGGCGGCCAAGGACGCATCTCCGGTGTCCTCGACCCCACCGCCTCCCGCAACCACCTTCACTTCGGACGATATTGTCAATGTCGTTCCTATTGTGAAGCACTCCTGCCCTCGCAGTGCCCTCGCTGAGGAGGCCTTGGAGGCCGGTCGCATCTCCATCATGCAAAACCAGCGTAAGCTCGGCCAGGAGCTTCTTCTCGAGTCGCTGTCTCTGCACGAGCAGATCTACGGAATACTCCACCCCGAGGTTGCGCGTGTGTACAACACTCTATCCATGCTGTATTACCAGCTGGACGAGAAGGAAGCTGCCGTCGAGCTCGCCAGAAAGGCCATTGTTGTTTCAGAGAGGACCGTCGGTGTTGACTCTGCCGAAACCCTGCTTAACTATCTCAACCTTAGCTTGTTCCTTCACCAGGCCGGTGATAGCACCGGTGCCCTGACCTTTGCCAAGCACGCGCTGAAGCTGTGGAAGATCATATACGGTGCTGACCATCCCGACTCCATTACCACCATTAACAACGGTGCTGTGATGCTCCAGCATCTCAAGGCCTACCACGAGTCCCGCCTGTGGTTTGAGGAGTCTCTCCGCATCTGCGAGACCGTCTTCGGCAAGAACTCCATCAACGCCGCCACCCTCCTCTTCCAACTCGCACAGGCCCTGGCTTTGGACCAGGACTCCAAGGGCGCCGTCAACCGCATGCGCGAATCGTACAATATCTTTCTCAGCGAGCTTGGACCAGAGGACAAGAATACCAAGGAGGCAGAGAGTTGGCTGGAGCAGCTGACGCAGAACGCCGTATCCATTGCCAAGCACGCAAAGGACGCTCAGGCAAGGCGTCTGCGCGCCGGCATCCGCTTTACGCCCAAGGGTGCGCCTTACCAGGCCTCCTCCACCGCCCCGAGCGTGTCGAGCGGACCGGCTAATGTCGGCCCGCAGCTGGGCGGATCATCGCAGATGGACTCGCGTAGCATCGACGAGTTGATCAAGTTTATTGAGGGCACCGATCAACAAAGCAAGACCTCAAAGGGAAGGCCGAGCAGAGGCAACCCCAAGAGGAGGGGCAAGTCTTCCAAGTAAGATTAAAGAAAACCAGACAAATGAGCACTTGACGGTTGGCGACTTGTCAAAGCTTCTGGCCAACAGCCGCCTGGAATCGCCTTAACGGCTGCAACTACCCAAGCACGCACACCTTGTACTTGTATTGAGAGAATCTGCCATGATGATGCCGGAGCATGTATATTATATGAATAATTGGATGGGTATGGCAAAAACAGGGGGCGGTGCATCTGTGGATACTTCGATATACATATAGGCATGCAGAAAAGTAGCATTGGGCAGAGCCCTTTAGAATCACAATATCTTCACTCTTTACTAAGCATGGTGAAGTCTTGACAAACGCATATGTGATGAGTGAGGAGGCATCAAATCGTTTCTCTTGATCCAAATCACCGTCTCTTTCAAGAATGACCATTCATGGCACTAGCTACGGATAATCCTCGACTCACAGGCGCATGATACGACCCAATACTCTGGAAGCCCCTGCCATTGTAGTCAGTACCGAATCCGGGAATACCGCACAATGTGTGAAGCAACTTACTTTGCCAAATCAAAGCCTTGCTCCTCCTCAATCTCGGGCGGATTGGATGGTTCACTCGGCGCCTCTCGTGATGATTCCTTGTGTTGAGATCGTGTAGGGCTATTGGGCGACTTCGCAGGAGGTGGACTGCTACTTTGCGGGATGCCACCTAAGGAAGGCTTGGACGGACTCATGTCGAAATGGGCGGCAGGCTTCAGGGGCGTGCTCCCAATGTCTGCGTACTTCCAGAATGGCGCTGGTGAGCTGGTAGGCATATGCTGGCTCGGCCGCTGAGCGGTACTCGGGGGGGCCAATCGAGGATGGACGCGATGAGGCGCTGGCGTCACGAAGGAAGTATTTTCGTCTGGAAGGTAAGACGAGGTTAGTGTAGGTGATTGGTCATTGTAGCTTGTCGAGGTAAAGCTGTTCGATGCAGATGCGCCCCCCTTGCGTGGTCGTGGCAGAGGGCTTCCGTCAATAGTCAACGCCGTACTCGGAGGGGCGAGACGGCGAGTGCTACGGTCTGGTGTAGATTGAACAGCAGCCAGTGATGAGCTCGGGGGTGGCGAACCCGTCGCGGAGACTTTTCTCTTCCGTGTTGACGTAGGCTCTCTGGCGTTTACGTCTCTCGGCCCATGAGTGATGTAGTTCAACTGACTGGGCGATGATGGCGCAGATGAGCCTCTGTGTCCGCCTCGGCCGCCCTTATAAGCGCTTCGGGTCATTTCCTCTCGAGCCTCGGGCACAATCTGCCACTTCATGCCCTTGCCAGGCTCATCCGTGGATCTGGCGACCTTGTCGAAAGCCTTGTTCAAGGACAAGTTATGGCGGATAGAGTTCTGCATATGAGTTAGAGGATACAAGAAAATCCGAAGGTGGACATACCTGCCAGCCAGCAGCCTGCTGGTGTCTATAGTAAGCATAGTTGTTCATGATGAAGTTATAGATACCGTTGAGGTTGAGTTTCCCCTCTGGTGTGTTTATGATGGCCTGAGTGATCATTTGCGCATAGCTATACTGAGGCTTGATATGCTTGTTCTCGTCGAGGCTGAGGTCGATATCGTTTGAGTTCAGTAGTAAGGTGCCGGAGCTCGAATAGTGTGGTGACTTGTGCTGCGAGAGTGTGGGCTTCCCGCGCATAGCTGAGGGAGGGGTACCTGGCCGCTTGTAGTCTGCCGGGGCCGGCGCGATTGGCTGGCGGAACTGCTGACCTCGGGAACTCCTGATGGTTGAGCCCAGCGCTGAAGAGGGTTCTTCCGGCAAGTCTGTTCTCGGCTGAGGTGGGCTCGTGATGTGTTGCCGTGACAGGCCGGCCCTCTTGAGGTAGAGGGGGTCAATGTGAAGGGGGCTGATCTCAGTGGGCAGCACAAATATCATCTCTGTACCACCAACTTCCAGAACCTCGCCACCCTCTAGGCGACGTAGACTTCCTTGCTTCAGGCCAATGTTGTTCACCTTGACTCCATTCCTACCCTTGACCTCAAGGTACCATACTTCTTCTTTGGAGCTGAAGTAGATGCGGGCGTGCTGTCGCGAAATCATTTTGCTCGGGCCGAGGTCGATGTGGATGAATTCCTCGTCGTCCTCAGTGACGCCCTCGGATGGGCGGCCAATATTGACGATGAGTTTGGTGATGTAGAAAGTCCAGTCCTGCGCCGCAATCTTGGCGTACGCCTGGACGCCACTTCCATTCGCTTCGTGTATTGAGTTCGCATGGTCTTTGCTTGCTTGGGCGGGACCCTCCTTGGGCACTTGGAAGTGCTGAACGACCTGGGCAAGCAGCTGATCGTCATCGCTTATGGGCTGGCCAGACTGGTCAGCAGTGAGGCTGGACTCATCTTCGTCGGCGGGCTCGGTAGGCGGGGGCTCATCAACCTGGAGTCGAGGTCAGCAGAGAAGCAAAATGTAATATGGATTATTTGAGAAAAGTTACAAACTTACCTTCCTACGACGTTTGGCTGGTCGGGTGGGTGAACTATCCTCTATTCTTGCAGGAGAAGTATCGCGGCGGGCATCGCGACGGGTGCGCTGTGAGCGCTTCGCTGAGGCGGGCATGGTGTAAGAGGATTAGGCATGCGGCACCTCTGTATGAAGAATGGCCAAAGCTGAGAGGAAGAGCGGATCGCGCGAAGGGAACAAACAATGGCGGCAACGTAAGTTCAAGTATTCGGTCTCAGACGGCTGAGGAATGGGGGGACAAGGTCGTGTCTCGTCGACTTGTGAGGGCTGGGCCAAGTCGAAAGTCCGGGGCAGGCAAATGCCACAGAGAGGTAGAATGTCCTTGGTGAAGAGGCGAGACGGGGGTTGAGGTTGTCTGGGGTCGCTCTCGGTAGCTGTAGTCCTTTGTGGAAGAGCAAAATGGGTACGAAGGATCGGTAGGTAGTTGGTGGTGCAGGTGCAGAGTCGAGCGCACTGGTCCTGGTCGGGGGTGTATGTCCTTTGGGGCAGGCTGGACTCTTGGGCTTCTTGTCTTGCGTAGGATGACTCGACGGCCTTGGTCAAGATGAGATTGTCGGGTCTAGGTCGCAATACCCGTGGCTTTGGCCGTAGGCAGAACAGGTGGCGTAGCTGTAGGTAGTTGGCAAAATGGTGGGAGTTGAAGTTGTCGGCAGACGCTCGAAATGTGCAAGGGTTTGAGATGTGATGGTCGCGAATGTCGCGCGTCTCTTTGGGGGGAAGGGCGTTTTAATTAAGTAAGACACTGTGTGGTGTACCAAATCCAGTAAAAGTGGAGTGAAGGGAAAGAAACAGTGACGGCACCAAGTGAGGATATGGGGGCAGACAAGGAAAGGGAAGGGAAGAGAGGTACATGGGTACTTGTGCAATTGCGTGCATTGAGGAGAGTCGCGTCCCCCCCTGACATTGACCTGTGCTATTCGTGTTTCCCGCTGCTGGCCGGGTTTTAATGTTTTTTCTTCTTTCTTTCTTTCCCAACCTTCCTTGTTCAACCGGCTCCACCACTTCACGCGTACAGTGTTTACTCTTCATGACACAGTGCTCTGTTCCCACAGTACGCACGCGTATCAGAAAAGGATATCCTCTGCTAAACCTGCCATCACTTCTGTCATGACCTCAACCATATATCGTTACTCTCTTCAGTCTCTCCTTGTGGGGAGCTGCCGTAACCAGGTACTATATTACGTCCACAATTTCAAGCTGCACTTGTCGTTCTAAGCCGACTGCGGGGCTATGGACACACTTCGACGTATCGAGCATCGCCTACAGTGACTTGCCGACCTGGAGCCCTCGCTCACGCGTCTCGTGACGGGAGAAACGTACGAACCAACAGAGCAAATCATTCCTTGTGGCTGGTGACTCTCTTGCCAACACACCAAAAGCTTGACTCAAAACTCTGGCTCGTGTTGTGACTTGATAGGTTTTGGATCTCGGATTAGAACTGCGATTGGACCTCAATCAAGGGGGAATTTCTGTTCTCGCTCCTCACATTCCCCCTTTCTCCCTCCCGAAATCCTGGAGCTTTGCTGCGAGACAATCCCCCAGTCTTAGCGAGGCACTGCTGCTGCCTTATCTTGGCAGGCTTGACTTCCTCTGCTGCTCCCTTGATTTCAATAGGCACGAACATACCTTCACCCTTGCCGAGCAGGGCATCCATCTCGCACAATGACCCAATGATCAGAACTTTGCAAGAAGTGCACCCATGTTGGTCCAGATCTTCTTTACCCCAGCCAGATGGATACCCTTAAATCTTGGTTGCAAAGACGCGCGGGTACCTCGCGCCGGTTGGCGACTCAGCCATTCGGTGTCCGCTATTCTTGCAAGTTAATCGGGACGGACCCGATGCCGTCAGACCAGTTGCTGCGACACAGGCCCGGCCCACGTTGAACCCGACCCCACCCCCACCATGAAATCAAATGTTCGGCTTCACTCTGATGGCCCAAATGGGCCCGGCCAGCCAGCACCAACATTGTCGTTCAAATCCCGTGCTTCGCTCTTCGGGACCATCCGCTGCACCCTAGCCTGTTTGCCGGTCATTGTTTGACTGACCTTGGCTGGTGAAAGTTTTACCCTAGCTCAGCAACTTGACCTTAGCGGGGTATCAGTGCCGGAGAGAAAAAGATGCATGAAATCATCACCCTCCAGCTGGGCCAGCTGAGCAACTATGCGGCAACCCATTTCTGGAACACTCAGGTATTCACATGGTCCGAAAAAAACTTAAGGCGTGACCGGCTCTCATACTCATGACAGGAATCCTACTTCACGTACTCGGACCAGGACGAGTCCCCGGTAAACCACAACGTTCACTGGCGCCCAGGCGTGGCACTCGATGGCTCCGAGACATTCCTCCCGCGTACCGTCGTGTACGACCTCAAGGGTGGTTTCGGATCGCTTCGGAAAATCAACGCCTTGTACGATGCAAGCCAGGAAGGGGCACCTGCTCATCTGTGGTCCGTCTCTTACCCACGTCGTTTTCCTTGTCGTCGACGAAGCTCCAACTAGGGAGACCACAATACTAACGTGATACCACGAACCCAGGGAAGGATCCCCTCAAGTCCATAAACAGCCACAGGTCGAATCGAGTGCCTACCAGCAGAGCCTCGACCTTGGCACCCCCGCGCCCAAGCTCAAGCCGTCTGACGTGCGTTATTGGTCCGACTTTTCGCGCGTCTTCTACCACCCAAAATCTCTCAATCAGCTCTACGACTATGAGCTTAACTCGTCCATCAGGCCGTTTGATAAGTGGGCCCTGGGCAAGGAACTTTTCGACACCTTGGACAAGGAGCATGACATCGTCGACCGGGACTTTCGTCCCTTCGTCGAGGAGGCCGACCAGATGCAGGGCCTTCAGATCGTGACGACCATCGACGACGCTTGGGGTGGCTTCGCGACTGAGTACGTCGAACGTCTGCGGGACGAGTACGGCAAAATCACGATCTGGGTCTGGGGCCTGCAGACTCCTGTGCCTGCGACACGAATTGTGTGTTCACCAAAGTCGCCACCGTGCTTCAAATGCTTATAGCCCAGCTGACAAGACAAAACCAGGACCAGAGACGTCTCCAGATGGCCAACACGGCAAGGACTGTCAAAGACTTGTGTGAACATGCCTCCATGTTGGTTCCCATGGCCCTCCCACAGACCCGCCTGTGCTCCAATATCAACATGGACCTACAGTCCCCCTGGCACGCCACTGCTCTGCTGAGCACTGCCATGGAGACCGCAGGCCTTCCTTCTCGACTCAACTCCGGCAGCACCGGTAGTGGTCTGCAAGCAACGCTGAGCGACCTGGTTAGCGGCTTGAATCTGCGCGGACGACAGACCATGAGCCGCCTGCAGATGAGCATCGTGGACTCCTCCTCGGAATCGGACTTGGACGCCCGCGTACCGGACGAGGAGGAGAAGGAGGACGTCAAGCTGGACACTGACTTGTTTGATATCCTGCGAGCGAAGACATCGACAGGAAGACGGAACACGAAAAGCGGCAGAGGCACACCCCACCTCTTCGGCCAAACGATAACTAGCCGCGGTACGCCGCAAGACTTGGATGACGTGGACCAAGGCAGACAACGGCCAAGAGCCGCACTCGTGGAGACCAGTACTCAAAGGTAACGAAATTGCCGTCTCTACCCGCCGGTGGCAATGATGTTCATTGCTAATCTAATGTACCAGATATCACACGAATAAAGGTTTTCCCATGCTCGACAGCTTCCCCGAAATTTACCTCGACAGCGGCGGTGAGCCTTCCACGGCCTTCGGCGTCAAAACTAGTCTTTCCACGGACACGTCTGTATCAGCAGCCCTGAAAGCCTTGCGTACCACCGTTTCATCTTCCATGGGTGTCGAAGACCGAGAAGATATTAGCAATGAGTTGGCTGATCTCGCCGAGGCATACCGAGAAGGTTGGTCGAGTGGTAGCGATGATGATGATGATTGAGTATCTGTCAACCTACATGTATTGGCCAAATCAATCAAGAAACCAAAACAATCGGCAGAACAAAGGGTGAAGGCCACTTCTGCTGCATTCCAGCATCGTACGGCATCGCATTGTCCCTGAGTATCTTAGCTTGTCGTATCAGAACCCATTGCAGCATAGTAATGTACATGCCAGGAAGCGAGCATTGAAATGTCACGAAGAACTCAAAGGGTAGCCACGCAAGGTTTTGGAGTAGGATAAAGTCTACTCTCTAAGCCTCATGACATCTAATGTACAGTTGATCTCGGGCGTACCAAGAATTCTGTCCGCGTCCGCTCAGACAAGTAGAGAATAGATTCGCCGCGCATACAAAGCGCACGCTCCTTCTGCAATCCTCTTGGATGTCAAAATTTTTTTGTCCCTGAATTGCTCTTTAGTAGTCTCTGCTCTCCCCAGGTCGCTCAGAGTGAGCAAATCCCCAAGAGCAACCTACCAAAAGTCCACGATACGTACGAGGTTTTTTATTATTTTTATGTTGTTTTTCGTTGTAATACCAACTGTGGAAGGAACTCGAAAAGGCTTGCACTACCAAGCTGGCAGCACTTACGTCTTGCCGAGTCGTCAACTCTTTCTGGTGGCTAGTCAAGCCAAGCTAGATGAAAACATCAATCTTGTATGTTTACCTGTTGGTCAGCAGATCAGAGGCAAACAGATACGTTGCCAGGGCTGCCAAACACCACGGCAACACCGCGGCAACATGACAACCAAATGCTAGATGCTGGTATCCTGTGCGATCTTGAAGCGGAAGTGTGGGTAGATGGTGTGTCCCAGAAAGAGGCTCAACCCGCAGCCGTGACGGAAGCTTGCTGCCGTTTTGCGGGCGGCTGTGAATTCTCCTATGTAATCTGTCAGCAAATTACTTGTCGGGGACTCGGTCGCCTCGTAAAGAGTCCTCGAGCGTGACCGTAAACTCAAACCATGCAGTACCTCTGAAGCACTTCGTTTCTTGATCTGTGCCGCGCCGTTCGCATTCGCTTGCCTCTTTTGAGGTCTCTGGGGCCTTTTCTCTCCGGGCTCAAAAACATCGTCGGGAAGGTTGAAACTGCACCACTCTTAGCTGATAACCACCAAGAGACTAGCAGTTACGTCTGGCCTACCTTCGCACGTGCTGGATGGCCAAGCAATTCAAGGCGGAGTCGTACTTCTCCCATGTTGTACACAGTGACTTGAAATTTTCGACTTGGTAGGACAAGTCGAGCGATTTCGCGCCTACATAGTCAGCTTTGTTCCCAGTATAGCCCATGCAGAGGAGGCCAGAATGGCCGACCATCGATCATGGTCTCACCAGCGAAAACCTACCTTCACTCAGCGTCAGTCCTATGTAGTGTGTGGTAGTGAACACGTCGATTGGAGGAACCGGTTTGCTCTCTTTTTCCGTCTTGATGTCGGCAGCTGATAGCGTCTCTTGCTTGGTGGCAGTCGAGTCGTCTTCCTCCTTCTTGACTCCAGAAACACCGTCCGGATCCGACTTTAGCCCCGGGATGCTGCTCAATTCTGCTTTCGTCTCGACCTTCTCCTCGTTCACTAGACTTGTGTCATGAACCTCGTCATCTTTGACCACGAAGGACATGTTCCCCGCTTGAACTTGGTGAACTTCTTCCTCGTTCGCACACCTGTGCCGGCGTTCGTAGCCCTTGTTGAACGCATGGGCCAGCGCTATCGATTGATGCTGCTCCAAGCCTTGAACTAAGACACGCACCTTGGATTCTACATAGCCTGACCAAACCTTGTGGGCTTCCTTGTCTGTGCTGGAAGTGATGACAGAAATGTAGTATTTATATCCCTGGGTGAAAAAAGTATGTTTGATGAAAAGGTCACTCCATGGGCTTTTGCCCAACATGATGGCGTCTGTAATATCGCATCCTCTTTGGAGCTCTTGCTGGATAACCGTCATAGCGGATCGAGTGATGTTGTAAGTGGCGCACATGGATGGGTAGGCGGGAGTAATGACGGGCATGAGATGGAACTGATCTCCTTTGTACAGCTGCAGCTGGAGGTTAGTCGATAGATCAACAAAGCCAGGCCGAGGACATAGGGTGAACGAACCTTGGGATTCCAAACGCGAACTTGGAGAGGACCACCCTCGACCTGCTTGAGGAGAACTGGTTGGGGCCACGGCCAGCGGCGCATGATGTGAAAAAATTTGTTAACAATGACGGAGCTTGCGGCCTTCGGGTACAATTGGCAGACACGGGCAACTAACATGGCCCATGCCACACCGCCGGGGAATCCCATGATATTGGCGTAGATGGCACGTCGCTGTGCCCAAAGCTTGATGGCGCGCAAAGCTAACTTGAAAGTAGCCTGCTCAGGAACCAAGCTGAGTATCTCGTCCGTCACCCGAGTACCGTTGAGGGACCGCAACTCTGCTTCGTCAAGACCCCGTAGCAGGCCAGAATCCTGGACGGTGAAGTCCTTGGGCAGTTGCTTAAGCATGGCAATGCGAGAGAAAATCAGGTCGATGCTGATGCCGGAAAACTCGAACTTGATGATGGGCACGAAAGCGTCTGCAACGACGGCCATATCTGTAATAGCGCCAGATGGAGCCATTTCTTTGAGCAGGTCAGGGAAAATTTCGAAGTAGTCGGCGCGGGTGACGTATTTCGGAGCGACAACGAGGGTATCTATATCGGATCCTGGGCCATAGACACCCAAGCGGTAACTGCCATATGTGAAGATCTTGCCCCTAGCATCTCTGATGAGGGCGTCATTGCCTTCCTCCCGCTTCCGGGCCACTCGTTTGACGAATTCGTCGCATATCCGCGCGAGATGCTCCAGAACCTTTTCTCTGTAGTCCATCAATGAACAGTCAGCATGAAGAGCACCGTACTGATGTGTGTATATTGGATGATAGTGCTTGCCTCTTTTGCGTGTCCGCAGGACTCTCGAAGGTGTTCTGCCTCCGTAACTCGTCGATGAGAGTTTGCATCGCATGGTTTTCTGCTTCGGTGGGGAGAGCGGAGGAGATGGGCGGCGTCACACCCAAAGGTCTTTCCTCGCTGGCCATGATGGGCGGTTGCTTCGGGGTTCGGATTATGTCAAGAAGGAATCCGCGAAGAATGATCCAGCTGGTGGGAAAAAGGCGATTGGGCGGAGCGGCAGCACCTGGCCAGGAGACGAAGGCGACGGTGACGATGACGGGTGCTAAAGGGAAAGAAACGGGGAGAAGGGAAAATAAAGAGGAAGAGGATGTTGGAAAGGAAGGCTCCTAACAAGGGCAAACAACCCAAAAGCAGTTATCGCTGCGGCACTGTATCTGAGCTCAAGCCGAAGAAGAGTATTGGACAGAGAGTCTGGCTGGAGCTTTACCTCTGTCTAGGACGCGAGGCTTAGAGGTAGGCAAGGCACTACTGAGTGGGTGAGGCGCGTCGAAAGTTGCAGCAGGGTATGCAGGCAAGGCAGGGCACTAAGGTAGATCGCATTATTCTCAGTCATCCAATCGGAAGCAGACATTAATTTCAACCAGCGGAGCCGTCAATTGCGACCATACCAGCCCAGACTGAAAGGTCCGTGCAAGCTTGCAGCGCTGTAAGCGTGCGGGACAGGTGCAGCCTTGGGATTCACAAATCTGCAATCCTTCAAGTTGCCTGTGTTGCTTTTTTGCCGCGTCTCGTCCCCGTTGGCTCAGGTAAGTAGCTCCTTCATCATACCTTTTCGTTAGTTTCAATACTGTCTTGATAAGATAAGCGAAAAGAGGAGGGTAATGGATCGGAAGGTGGGCAGGCCAAAACTTGCGTTTGACGTCTCAATCAGTACGCGTATCTGCGCATGAGTGCTTAGTTTACTCCATCAACTGCCTACCTACTTCATGGATTCAACCAATAATTCAAACAATGGCAGAAACGCCAAGAATAAACGCCTCCAAATGGATTGATTCTTCCATCTGAGGCAAACGCTACCTTGGCCGTTCGTTGCATCATCAAGGATGACACCAGGTTTGGCGTGTGGCTCACGCGGTATGGCCTTATTACTATTTACTCCTGATCTCTACTCGCCCTCCAAGTCAACCAAGGCGTAACGTGGGTTCTTCAGACGAGTAGCCACGCCAGGCCCCCAAGTATTCCAAGGCTGCCGACCATCTCCAAGGTGTTCCAGCTCTGCCATTTGAAATCGGCCTTGAGCTGCAGCAAGCCCAAGGGGTCCTGGTGCCTCACTAGCGCCCAGTTTTGATCCGAGCCTGTGCTGTGTCTCCTTCTGCTGAGAGACGGTTGACGGTCTCCTCGTCCCCGGGTACGCGTTAATGCCATGGCCGTGCCGCCATCGACGCCCCGCGCAGAACGCCCATCCCGCCATGGTTCTCTCATCCACGTAACCGCCTGCTCCCGCGCTCTCCTCTCTCGAACCGCCCTCTCATTGGCTAAGCTGCGTTGCAAATCGGCTGCCCAATCTGTGAGCTGTACTCGACAGAACCGCTCCTCGTAACGAGCATAGCTTGGCAGGCGGCTCATGGCGAGAGGATTCAAAGACCCTGTCCGAGTGCGAAGTAATCGCCTATCCGTATACCCCTCCGCCTGCAAGACAAAACCAGCAGAACCATTACTATTCCTGGGATGGCGAAGGCGCCAGCTCAGAAGCTTCGTTGCAGCAGCATGTCGGAGCCACGTTGCCCCATCCGCACTAAATATACTTTCCAACAAGCGCGAGAGGTCGGTCGGCACAAGAGGTTGTACGTATTCGGAACTCATGAGCAGACTAGCGTCCATGATATCGGGGTCCGACCCCAACTCGCTCGATATGGCGTAGATATCTGGTTCTTCTGCATTGGAGATCGACGGAGCAAAAGTAAACAACTTGAGGCCTGCCTCAGCTAGTTGTTTAGCGATGCGCTCTTTGCTTGCAGTAATTTGCTCCGTTGTTAGGGTGTCGGCATGCGCAAGAAGTGGTATCACATTCGTAAGTGGTTCCAGCTGGCGAATGTACTGAAAGTCCATCGAGGTAAGACCTGAAATTCCACTTCAGAAACTGCTCGTACAAGGAGACGGGAACAAATCTTACCTGAGCTAGGAATAGCGTAGAGTACGGCATCGACAAGCAAGCCACCGCTTCCACCAACTGTTTTCAAGACATCCGGGTCCTCCAGGCCGTCAAGACGGTTCTTCTGAAGATGGGATTCAACGTATTGCGAAACCTGACTAACGGTATCCACAGGCTACTCTGTCAGCTTGACTCAAAATCAAGATATGCGGAACGATCTGCGCAACGTACTCGACATGTTTCCTGATAGCCCGGTGTATCCACTAGACAAACGTTCCTGTCCAGTATCGTGTCATCAGCACTGATAGTGCCAGACATAGAACTCGATTGCATAGATTCTTTCCACCATGGTGGATATGGCTTGGTGCTGGCGAACGTCTCAGTTATCTGGAAGGTGCCCTGAACAATGGGAGGGCCATTTGGTAGTGCGTTTGCGGGTAATAAGCCCGTGGATGCCATCGCAACCGGCATGGTAGGGTCAACGTGTACGATATGGGAGCAAGATTGGGTAATCGCTCGGATCAAAGCAGTTTTCCCTAGACCTGAAGGACCGAACGGGGTCAGTGATGGCTCTGAGTGTAGCAGTCAATCGGTAGTTCGTACCTGACCTGCCAGCCAAGAGGAGTTTGAGCCTCCCGAGGCTCTTCCCGGTTTCTGTGAAAGGTCTCCGACTAGGAACATTGATGGTAGGCATAATGAACTGCTGGGCACCTTCGCCGCTGTAGGTACTCTGGGGTTGTCCATGCTCTGAAGCCCCAAACGCGCTCATGACGAAGCTTTCTTGGTATTCGGACAGTGATCCTACCAACGAATTGCGCCGAGACGAAGAGCTACTAATAGCGGAGCAGGGTCCAGATACGCCATACAATATCGGCGTCATGGGTTGAGACGCAAGTGGAGGTGGAGGTGTCTGTAGCCTCGCGGGCGATAGGTTTGTCGTAGAAACTGGTCGATGAACTGAGGCTTCACGGAGTGGCATTGTAGAGGTGGAACGAGGGACGGCCGGGGGAGGAGCAGTATTGTGTTCACGGTTCGGGGCAGAGACGTCACCAAGTATGGCGTGAGCGGCATGTTTCCGCTGGTCGCGCACTCTGAGAGTGGAAGGGTGTTGCGTTGATACTGAGGAGTCTATGGTGGCTTCGTCGGCGAGGATAAAAGACATGTGGGTGGCGGTAGACTGTGAGGCAGAAGCCAAGCAGTCCGAGGCTCCATCACCCGAGGAAGCGTTCCCCGAGAACGCATTGTTGCCAGGTAGAGGTCGCATATCGAAACGAGGGTATCATCAATTCGTGACAATTTATAGCGGCTAGGAATATTGAGCGGTGGAAAGAGTTTCTCATAGGTGAATGTAAGGTAGATATCTGAACGGACATCTATGCATGCAGTTGGAACTGGCGTTAATGTAAGGCCGGGGCGATGTGGTGGTGGTGTCGGTGTTGGAGATGGCGGATGAGATGGGGGGCTAGCGATAAGGTTCCTGAGAGGTCAGGAAGGTGAGGTGATAAGAGGTCCAGTGGCAGCAGCGTGTGACCATTTCCGTACTAGTGCGGGGTGTGTGTGGAGACTTGGGGGATGGTGAGGGGACACTAGAAGGGACTCTTGGTCAGATCTTGCCCAGGCGCTCAGGGCTTGGGTCTTGGGTGTAGACGAGCTGAGTGAATGGAAGGGCAGGCTTGGGTGGTGGTCCAAGGAGATGCCCCCATTGGACTGCTGTCCCTTCTCACCCTGCCATATTTTGGTACAATATTATGACGGACACTGTCCACTGGGCAGTCTGCCGTTGGAGAACCTGGGAAAGACAGTCGAATCCGCCAATCCCCTACGTACCGAGCTTCTAAGGTGCCCCTCTCTGATCCTGTTGTGGTTTCCCTCCGGGGTTTTTTATTTTATTTGTTTTACTAGCAGCAGTACTTGACTCACAGCGCCTACCCTTAGCGACCAAGTACCGTCCTCCACTTGGGGGAGGTAAAGATACATTGCATTGCTGCGTTGCGTCGCTGTCGCATAAGTACCTGTCAGTCTGAGTTAGGTACGGATACATCCATCCCTCAGGTAAATCCCACGGTGTCGTATCCACGAATCGACATAGAACCCAACCAAACCACGCCGCATCCGCACCAGTTTGCATCCATCACACGTTCAACGCTGGCATCACTCCCATTTCCCACCCACTCCGCCTTGTCGCTCGATCTTTCAATCCGCCGACAACTACGACGCGAAGAGTTCGACCTCGCAGGACCCCATCTGAAGTCTTGACATTTCGTTGTCAGCGCAGTCTCCATCACCATCCACCCACCCACCAGCCTTCGGCTACCACGCTTCGAGGCTCAGCGCTTCTTACGACACGTCTTGCCGACATATCCTTTCTCCGTCTTCAAGGCGGAACCCAGCTTGATTCCTGATAGAGTAGCAGACGACGAATAGCCAATTCATCCCACAGACAACGCTTCCCATATATTATAACAGAAATGGACGGCAAGAGACACCCGAGCTCGTTCCAGCAGCTCGAAAAGCTCGGCGAGGGCACATATGCGACTGTATGTTTCTCCCCTCGCTCATCGCGCTACTTCCTGATGGCTAACTGCGCATTTGTAGGTCTTTAAGGGTCGAAACCGACAAACCGGAGAGCTTGTTGCGCTCAAGGAAATCCACCTAGACTCGGAAGAGGGTACACCCTCAACTGCGATTCGAGAGATCTCGCTTATGAAGGAGCTTAAGCATGAGAACATCGTCGCCCTCCACGATGTCATCCACACCGAGAACAAGTTGATGCTTGTCTTCGAATACATGGACGGCGACCTGAAGAAATACATGGATACCCACGGCGACAGGGGCGCCTTGAAGCCGCACCAGATCAAGTCTTTCATGTACCAACTCCTGAGAGGCATCGACTTTTGCCATCAGAACAGAGTTTTGCACCGAGACCTGAAGCCACAGAATCTCTTGATTAACGGCAAGGGACAGCTCAAGCTCGGCGATTTTGGCCTGGCTCGCGCCTTCGGCATTCCCGTAAATACCTTCTCTAATGAGGTCGTCACGCTATGGTATCGTGCACCGGATGTCCTCCTGGGAAGCAGGACGTACAACACAAGCATCGACATTTGGTCCGCAGGATGTATCATGGCGGAGATGTACACCGGCAGGCCATTGTTTCCAGGCACGACAAATGAAGATCAGATTATTAGGATTTTCCGCATCATGGGAACGCCCACTGAACGCACCTGGACTGGTATTACCCAATTCCCCGAGTACAAGCCGACGTTCCAGATGTATGCCACCCAAGACCTTCGTCAGATTCTTCCCCAGATCGACCCCACGGGCATCGACCTGCTGCAGCGGATGCTTCAGCTACGCCCTGAACTGCGCATTAGCGCCCACGAAGCCCTTAAGCATCCTTGGTTCAACGACATCGTTATGCAGCAGCACCAGCAGCAAGCTTTGCAAGCACAGGCTAGAGCCTACCCAGGACAGGGATCCTATGAGACGTACTGAACCTCCAAAAAGGGGCCGCTTCGACTCATGACTAGGTGGTCGTACAATTTTGCGGTTTCCGGTAACATGCGGATAGGGGTATGACGATGCATCATCCGCACCGACAGCGAGGATTAGGAACATCATGGTGAAGAACAAGGTATCATCGGCAAACTTGGCAAAGGGGGCATTTCGGGAGTTCCTGTGTACTGCGATTGATTTAGGGCTTGGTGCGGAATGGTGGTTGACTATAAGATAACTATAGTTGCCGCAAACAGCGCAAAGAAGTAGTAATGAATGCATATCAAAGCCCACGCTCCGGATCTATATGGTGGTTTACAAGACGTACAAGTGTATATACATTGAAATCGAGGTGAGGAAAAGGCCCCTTATCATTCCTTGTGGACCAGACCGTCGTCCACAGGGCTTTTATACTGCTTCTGCTGGGGATCGCGCTCCCATGTCTCAGCAAGGGCATACGCCGGGTCATCTTGAGGGTAGCCTGCCCGCAACCTCAGTTTCTGGACCATATCCCTAACAGTCTTTGCAACTTCTATGCGGAGCTGGACAGCTTCAGGGTGGTTTTTGAGCGACTCGGGCACTTCGCCGACACTCAGCTGCTTGCCCGAAGCTTCCTCCTCTTTCTGTACCATGCGCTTCCACCTCGTTCGCTGCTCCCTGAAAGCCTCGCCCACTTCTAGGGCTTCGCCGTAAATAACGCGGATCTTGGCGCCGATGCGCGGAGCCCACCGCGGCCACTGCCTGTCCTCAGGCATGATGTCTGAGAAGCCGTCGATGAAGATAGGAACGAGCTGAGGAGCCGGCTCGGATTCGAGGATCAACCGGGAGACTCCCCACTTGAAATACCGGAGGGTCCGCTGTGGATGCTGGTGCACACATCCCTCGGGGAACACGTGGACCCACGCGTTGTGGTTGTTCTTGTAATATGCAGGCGAGGCAAAAGTCTCGTTGTTGCCAGCACTGAAGGCCGCTTTCAGGGGGAACAGGGCCCCGGGGCCGGAAACAAGGCGGACCGCCTGGGCCATTGTTGGTTGGAAGAGCCCACCGTAGGGTGAATGAAGCATACGATATGTTGGCAATACCTGACCGAGATTGAAGAAGGACTTGAAGAGGCTGCGTTAGTGTCAGAGGGGTTGGTTCAGCATTTGAAGTCATCAGGGAATATGAAATACCCGTTCTTGAAGCAGATATCATGAGCACCAAGGCCCCATCGAGCGCTCAACGGTGTTGAATTATACTTGAGTGGTAAAGCACCCCATATGAGAGGATCGTCTAAGCTTTGTGCGCAGTATGTGTTAGCTTGACGCATCCGCAAAAATAAAGAATGAGATGCGATTAAAAAAACCCCCAAAAAACTCACACGCTGATGTGGTTTGAGACTACGATTGGTAAGAAAAGCAGTCAGCAATTGCTTCTTCAAGTACCAAACTACATTGACAGAAACAGGGGTTCGTAATCGTACCAGTAATGAGACCACATTCAGGAGTCTCAGCTCGACGCTTGTCCAATAGCTCCAGAAACTGAGGGAGGCCTTCCGTCTGAACGTCGTTAAGGCCATGTAGAAAGGCCCGGGAAATAGTGCCTGTGAGGCCCATGATGGCCGCCGAGGCCATTCGCCATGGCAGACTCGGCTGATCCGGCCGTGCTTCCGAGACGGACATTTTGGGCCTTTGGGGTGAAAGGTAAACTCGCCGTTCAATGCGGGTTGATAAAATGAGTGAAAGGGAGAGAGGAAGCCAAGTGACAGCAAGAGACTAGTCGACTGGACCGACGAACCGCGTCATGAAGTCCACCACTTCGAGCCAATGACGAAATGCAGAATTTTCCTATCAGAAAAATCACTTCAAGATTTAAAACGCCGTGCAACAATAGCAAGCAGAGAACAGCAGAGGCCACTGGCACTCTGGAGGGTTTGTCGATGGAAACAGACTCGACAGATCGAAAAACGCGTCCTCAACAAACGGGTGGATCACTCTACAATGGTTATTTCGCTAAGAGTATGGTTGAACCCAATAAATGCATATGTGTTGGTCGGCGCGTGAGGTACGTTACCTTACCCTTGTCGTCCCGGAGCCTCTTTCCACTTTGCCTTAAGCGTAGAGGTACCTCCTTGCCTCCCTCCACCCTTGCTTACAATCTCCTTCCAGACTTTTTGACACCCATCAACTTTGTTCATCTCATCTGCTTGTAGAATTGTACATCTGCCAACTTGGAGACTGAAGTTGACCTTGTCGAATTGTTCTTACAAAACACCAATACCAATCGTTTCAGAACCCAACCCAAATTTTCAAAGAGAGTTGGTAGTCGCCATTCTAAACCACCACAGCGATGGCACACAGTAGGCTTAAAATTCAAGGAAGCTCATGTACATCGCTCTAATAAGTTTTAGGCAAACGAAACACGTCACGCAGTGTCTTCACCTCGTATGAGCGTGACATGGCCAAGGCTGCGTGGGCCTCAACCTCGGCACGCCTGTCTCGCGACTCCTTCCTCCCATTCGGTTCCTGCTACCTCTGCCTGGAAATCGCAAGAGACCCTGTATCATGCAGTCACGGTGACATCTTCTGTCGCGAGTGTGCGGTGGCCAATCTTCTCGCGCAAAAGAAGGAGATCAAGCGCTTGGAGCGAGCACGGGAGAAAGCGGAGCAAGAGATTCTAGAGGCCCAGGCTCGTCAAGACGCGGAAGCTCAGGAACGCGCTATTAAAGAATTCGAAAAGATTCAAGCGGGGCTCAATCCGTCGTCATCAGCGGCGGTATCGTCTTTGTCCGGCTTAGCGTCAGAAGATGTCACGAAAGGACCCGAGGCCGACTCTGCAAGACAGGGCACTAAGAGAAAATTCGTTTTGGATCAAGACGAGCTAGATAGAATCGCAATGGAAGATCGCACTAAGGCGCAGAAATCCATTGACGAGGAAAAGGTTTGTTCAGATTCACCAAAGGGTTTTTGGTCTACAATAGCAGCGGTTCTGACTCTCTGTTAGGCATCCAAGGAGAAGTTGCCTTCTTTCTGGACACCGTCTCAAACGCCCGACGCCGAGGCGGCTCGCAAAGCAACAGGCTTAGCAGCTGTTCCCAAGAAGATCAAGCTTGCGCCTATCTGTCCGGCCTCACCGAATAACTCACAGCATCCATACTCCCTGAAGTCTCTGATACCGCTCAACTTCAAGGAAGAGCTCGATTCCAACACGAACAGCAACAGGCGCATATGTCCCTCGTGCGTGAAGATGCTCAGTAATGGGTCACGGCCTCTGCTGGCTGAAAAGTGTGGCCATGTCATCTGCCGAAGCTGTGCCGTCAAGTTCATGACTCCTGTCAAGAGCAGCGACGCTTCGCTGCAAGAGAACGCTTGCTACGTTTGTGATGCCCGGCTGACAGCGGACCGCTCTGGTGGCAAGCAGAAGCAGCGCAAAGAGGAATTTGTCGGATTGATCGAGCTCAGATCCGAGGGTACAGGGTTCTCTGCGAGGGGCGCAAGTAAGGTTGAGAAAAGCGGCGTCGCCTTTCAGTGCTGATTTTTGCTGTCCTCTTGGGCCCTGTATCCAGGCGCCCCCGAGTTTGCACAGTGACAAGGTGGAGCGGCTAGCATCCAACATAACACGCGCCGGCAGCATCTTCATCGAAGTCTGAGGAATATCTGACGGAGACGCTGCAACCTGACCCTGCGCGACTTCCCTTGCGACAGGGACAATAGCAGAATACCTAGGCGAATGACGAACTTGTGAATGATGCCTTTCGTTACCATGGTCAGTCCATGGTTGAAGAAGCTCTTGAGCACTTCGCCCTGGAGACCGGCGTATAATGCTGACAATCCCTCGGTCCTCGCAATAGACAGTACGATGGCTATTACGCTGCCTTCGGCCATCCTCTTGAGCTTATTTAGGGCGCCACTCCTCTCATCAACGGAAGTCGGGCTTTGGGGTTCCTTGTTGGATTCTGAACCAGAGGGTCTCTCCAGGGTATCGGTGCTTCTCCGCGGCGAAGTATTGCCAGACCCCCGCATCTGAAGCCTGGCTTTGGCGGTTTGTAGGGGGTAGCTGATGATGGTTGCGATGGACTTGCTGGCGGCAGCAAGGAGAAAGGTGGTTTGTGTATTGTGCGATGTCTCGTCCGAATCCGGGAGAAGCGTCTTCCCCAACTGTTCGTTGAGAAAAAACGTTATGCTGGGATTGATCGTCAGCAGCAAGGAGGCGGAATACCCGGCCCAGAGCCCAGCTATGCCGTTCTCGGCGCCAATAGAAGACAAAATCTTCCAAACCGACGCGTTCTCGCCGTCAGCGTTGCCTTCGAACATGGCTGATGTCTGCTTTCTCGCGACCACGTTTGCGATGGGCGTCGTGCAACCTCTCGCGCAAGCGCCAGCTAACGCGCCAACAGCCAGCTCGTCGATCACCGGCAACCTCCTTCTGCCGCGCGACCGACGACGGGCATCCCGAAAGTACTGGTAGAACAGGAAGAAGAGGAACGAATCCGCGATGGACTTGAATACGTCCTGGGCGAGGCCCGTGTAGAGCGCAGACACGCCGCCCTCTTGTGACGAAATGGCCTTCAGCGCATGGAAGACGCCGCGGTACTGGTCCTTCTCGGAGATGGCGTCCTCCCTCCGTAGCTGGCGCTGGACCTTGAGGCGCGTCGTGACGAGGTCAAGGGGATAGACTGCGGCCGTCGACAAGGCTGTGCCGGTTGCACCGGCGAGGGCGTGGCCCAGGGCTTCGAGGACACCGGCAGGCGCCATCGCGAGGAATGTGCGATGAGAGGCCCCCCGAGGAGGATTGGAATCGAAAGCGTTTGAAAGACTGCGAGGCCAATGGGTCCTCGTGACAAGGGTTGTTGTTTGAAAGCGCAAAGTGCGGAGGAAGACGAAGGATCAGTCGAGACACAAAGAAGCCGGCGCTCGTATGAGGTCCTCCCGAGAGTATTGTAGTGCAGTGCAGTGCGCTCGCTATGCAGGATGGCCAGGTAACATGTGATGAGAGTAGTGGCAGTTTGCAAAAGCCGCAAAGTCGGAGGTTCCAATGAACTCCTACTCGAGGGGAGGGAGTGAGTACGCAGTGCCGAGGTCAGCTCGGCGCAGTTGCCGGGGCGGCGGTGGACGGTGGGTGGTAATGATTGCGCAGAATCCGGGGTAGAACCGCAACGACGTCATCGTCGCGCGGTTCTAGGCTGCGCTATTCCGCACCCGGGGGGGATGGGCCTTGGGCGGCGCGAGTCGCATGACCCACAGGCTCGCCTGGTAGCTCCGCGTCGCGCTGGGTGTGTCCGTGTTGGTTGGCTTTACTAACTCGAGCCCCCATTGACCACTTGGCTAGGTTGGTGTAGCACTTCAAGTAGTGCCAAAACACATAAGAATGGCTGGTTCCCAAAGTGCACATGTCAAATTCTCGCACCGCTGAGACATTTTATAGCTAGCTGCCTCTCGACAGTGCCAGTTTCACGAGGCCGCGAATGCTGCATCGTCATTGGCTACCGGTCTCGACGGCAGCATCTAGAACCCGTATATTTGATTGTACATGTTCGCTTTACTCAAGCCAGACCTTACTCTCGGCGACCGAGAGCTATAGATGTGGGAATCATCAAACGCCACTGCCTTTGCAATTCCAGTCGCAATCAGTTGGTATACCACCGAGAAGAAAGGGCAAAAAATCGAGGGGAAAACCCCCCATAACGCCTGCCTCCCGCCCTCCCTTTCGTTTCAAAAATGCATGAGCCTGCGATCCAACGCCCCTCTCCCATGTGAGCCCTCTTATGCCATTCGTACTAACAGTCGAACAACGCCATGCTATGCCCTGCTTGTCACGGATGGCCTTCGTTGTGGTGGCTGGCCTTGCATGCTGAAGCTCGAGGATCTGCGAGCTCCTCCAAAGGTCATGTCCGCCGTGTCGGGCTCTCCCGGCGCGTCTTCCGTGTCCATAAGGCCTGGGTGACCGTGGGGCAGCCTCTGCGCACCGAAGCCGTTGACTTTGAATATGTTTGTTCGGCCACCGTTTGTTGCCATCTGCAGCTGCTCATGGAGACGTGCAAGCTGATATTGCCTCTTGATTGGGTTAAGCAGTGGCTGCGGCACCACAGGTTGCGGATTCCAATGCGCCAGCGCACTCATCACAGCAGCCGTCTCCTCGTCCGAGTCTACCGGCCCGGCGTTGGCCTCGTCTTCGTCTTCCAATGGGGCGTTGGCGTCGAGAGCAGCCTCTGTGGAAACAGTGTTAGTAATTCAAATGGATTCCAAAAGGTCGGTGTGCACCACGTACTTTGCTGTTTAGCCTGATTCTTCTTCTGATACGCCGCAAGGAGCATATCGTAGGGTAGAGATCTTCCCGCGACCGCGCGTTTCGCTCCCATGCTGTGACTCTTGCACGTGAGTGATCTCGCGCATGGCTGTCCATTGGGTAACAGGACACCGCATTGCCGTTCGACATCGACGGGACCTGCACTTCAGTTAGCATGTAACGTTTTGTCACGTCGATATGTCTGCGTCACCTACCTTTTGGTTTAGGAGCTTTCGGTTTGGGTTCTTCCTTCTTTTTCTTCTGTTTGGGCCCTTTCTCGGCATCTCCGTCTGCCTTGCGCTTCTTGCCCTTGCCCGTATCTCCATCGGTCTTCTTACCCGCGGCCTTCTTCGTGGTCTTGCTGCCGGTAGCCTTCTTTTCGGCACCGTCTTCGTCACCATCGCTATCGTCCTCGCCCTTGCCGTCGGCATCTTCGTCTGCTTTCCTGGCTTCTTCTTCCCTCGCAGCCTCCTTGGCCCGCTCACGGGCTTCTCTCGCCTCTTTCTTGCGCTGGGCCTTCTCCTTCTTCAGCTTGAGGCATTGTGCGATGTGGGCCTTGGCAGCAGTCTTGAGAATACTCTTCTTGCAGTGTTTGCATTGCTGCAGATCGGGTGTATCCTCAAGCGGTCGGCCGGTTGCAAAGGCTTCGCGCGCGCTGTCATCGAGGGGGTTTACGACAGGTCCGGGGGATGCGACAGAAATCGTTGGGGAATCGTCTTTTTTCGACTTCTTGTCTTCTGGTGTGGCGGCACAACGGTCAGTCCACACAAGGCCACATAGATGCTGTACGCAGTTTATGGGGCCTCACCTTCAACGATACTTCCTTCCCTCCAGTTTCCAGGCTTATTGTACTTCGGCGCGGGCTTCTTCAGCTTAATAGGACCATCAGGTTTGTTCTTGGGATCCTTCTTCGATGCGACCTTGATTGTCTGCTCGTCGTCTGCCGCGAATTAGTAAATGCACACATACAGCTACACGGAGAGATCGGAGCGCATTACTCTTTTTGGAATCCGAAACGGTCGCCATCGTGTCTTTTGTATGCTACGTCCAGCTACTCTTATAACCTCGTGATCGAGGCTGGTTGCGATGGCGATGGCGAAGTCGATGTTGATGGTGATGTCGATGTCGATGGCGATGGCGATAGAGGGGCCAAGGGTGATGGTATGTGGCAAAGGGCCGCTCTCCAGTGACGGCAGAAGCGCAGGGTGTCAAAGTCCGACAATTGATCTCGGCCGGAGGAGTCACTTCATGGCAGAAGAATTGCGCCGTAATTGGAATATGTCATCGGAGATCGATGATGATAACTTGCGATGCGCCGGGCCCTGGTCCAGCGTGGCCGTCGAGTGTCGTCGCCTGTTGCCTTGGTCCGGCAGGTGGAGGACCGTGGCTAGAGTCACGCGTAGAAGCCGCTAGTCTCCACAGCTGGAATCCCATAGGTCCGTCCACACGACATACCGTACAAAGTCATGATTTACCGGCACTGCGCACTGTTTCGCTATCAGACTCGTTGCCTTTCAGGAAAGCACTATCGGAATTACCATCCAACCCACCCCAATTGGCGACACACTGTCTTCCAAAAAAGACTACGTTGTGCCATTCATTTAACAGAGAAATTCTGTTTCACGGGTTCTTAGTCACCGTTGTCGAATTGGAAGAGTGCAAGCTAGTAACTTGTAAGGAAGTTGTTCGTTGAAACTGGTTGACTGTGCCACCATTTTATTTTGGTCGCCAAAATGCCTTGTCCCAAAAATGCTCCGTCCAGCCTGGTTTTGATGCGTCTTAAAAAACGTTAGAACGATGGTATCACCCAGCCATAACCTAGCTGCTGCTCCGGTCCACCGGGGCCTCGGGCCCATTGCGAAACCTTTCCGATTCAAAATTCGTATGTCGAATGCGCCAGCTCCCATTGCTATTTTCCTCCAGTCTTCACCAGTCGTCTGCCAGTATTCCTGCGGCGCCGGACCTGAGCACCGTGTCTTCATGCGCCCGCATAGCCTCCATCATGGATCGAGCATGTAGCATACCCATGTCACCCCAGATCGTCTGAATGACGCCCAAAGCCCACTCCCAGTATTCCTTAGGAACTCCAGGGGCGCAGCCCGCCACCTTCAAATGGAACAGCAACGCCGGCAGTCCTGCTGATCCGGCTCCGCCTCCACCTGGACTTTCGACTGTTACCTGCGTCGGCCCGTCGAGAGCCGGGTGTCGCCAGTGGGTTGGCGCGCTCACGAGCGTGTCTCTTGCTAGCCTTCGAATCTTCGTGAGAAAGTTGTCGCGTGCGACCGCTGAAACTAGCGGTAGACTGGAGACCGGGTTTTTGTTCGCCAAGTCCAGCAGGTTCTGGCTCACCAGAACTCGCGCCCATCTGTAGTAGTTCCAAATGCGGGCCGTCCAGACGTCGTGATATTTATGGTATTCGCCCTCGAACACCGCCTTTGGGGGAAGGTGAGCAGCATGTACGGTCTCGTATAGCCAGTCTCCTTCCAGTCCAGCTTCCCATGATGCCAGGTCGGAGTCGAGGTCCAGTAGTTGTTGCAGGACATTGGCTGTTTTTGGTTTTCCGTCACTAATGACATGGTTGTGGATTATTGACGAGATTTCGACAAAACGAGCGATCAGAACCGCCAGGTCGGTGGAAGGTTTGTCAATAGGCAGTTGTAATTGCGAACCGTACGACACCCAATCATAGAATTCTGCAGGCATCGGCGTGCCCGCAACGTGAAGAGGTATGAACTACAGAATAAGCCAAGCGCAAAGAGCAAGCAGAGTATGGGGTATCTTACCATTGAGTAGCAGAGCTGCAGCAATGCCCTGAACCCTGCAAAAGGCACACTGGGCATCGGACACCAACTTCTCATCAACGCCGCTCCCCCCATGACGTGAGCGTTAACGGTACCAGTGGTATGATGTGTCCCTTTAACAACCTAAACAGCCAGCGGCTCAGATTAGCTAACAGGCATAACAGCAACGGTGACCACAAGTGGTGTAGAGGCCACGGGCAGAAGGTAACCGACCTCGAACATGGCGAGCGCGACAACGGATCTCATCGTTACATCTATGCTGGGAGTGTGCGGAGGTCGGATAAGCTTTCCGGTTTGTCGAAGTGCGGAGCCGTATTTCTCTCGCGCGGTAGCCATCATTTCCATGTTGCCAGTCAAGTTGTACAGCCCGGCAAGCCCTACGGCACACATAACGTCCTGTACCGCTGGGTGCCAGATCCAACCTTCCGTGGCCAGGTCTTGGCCCGATTTTGGTTCGTCCGGATGTCCTATCAAGTAGCGGTTGACGTAGAACTGTACCCCTTGCTCCTCCAAGGTGGGGCCGATATGCAGAGTTGGCGGACTCGTCTCGCGATTTTCTTGCTTGACGACTGGTAGCACGACTGGGGATATTGAACCTGTCGAACGGCCGCTTGACGAAGGAGTTGGGGCGGAGGATGCGGCGTTTGACACTGGCGAAACCGTGGCTGCAGCGCTCGATCGTGGCGTGGCCCTTGTGCTGTTTGGTGTACTCTTTCGGCTATAAGCTGGAGAAGAAGCAGGCGGCGATGGAGCATTCGACGCAGAAGCCTGAATGGGCCCGATTTCAGGGCCGTCAGACACCCCCCATTGAGCGTGGGCTTTCTTGATGACTTTGGTGCTTTCATCGCGGAACATAAGTGAGAGTTGGTCTCGATAGCCGGGACATTTCTTGCCCACGCGAATGCATTGCGAACATTCGGGTTTCACCTTGTCGCACTACAAGGAAAAAGAGTGTCAACCAGAATTCAGCTTCGGCCCATTCGTGGAGCGAAGAACTGGAAGAGACAATGGTATGTAGAGCAGCGGCGCCGTGACCTGCTTCAAGACGACGTTGAACGACCAGTGGGCATGATAGTACACACCTTGATACGACGGATCCGGCAGTTCTGGCAGCCCTGAGAGGCCTTGCCGCAATACACCATTCTCGAAACGGGGGGTTGGAGGATGCAGCCCTATTTTCTTCGAGAAACCAGGACGTAGGCAGATAGTTGAACTGGAAGTTGTCTTTTGGGTGCGAATAACCAGTGGACGATGTTGTTAAAGCGTACGCCCATCACGAGACGTGAGAGAGGTAGCGGATTGCCATGCGAGTCTCGAGTGCTCAACCCCGCGGCAGGGTGACGGGGGCAAAGGGAAAACGTGGGAAACCCGTGGTTGGGAGGGGCCGGCGATTAAATGTTCCCGATTTATCTGCGGTTGAGATGTGAGAAAAGGCGAATGAGTTACGAGCGGCGACCGAATCGACGGGATTGAAAAGGATGGATCGACGGGGGCCCGCAACAGCTTCTCCCGGGGGGGCGAAATACCTAAGAAATGGGTGACGGCAGTTTACTGCGAGGTATTCGTAGTTGTCAGTTGTCAAGGGGGGAGGGGGCCGCCGTGCGGAGGAGGTTTGCCAAGTCAAGGTTTGGGAGCTGTCCCAGACCCGCACAGCACTTGCGCGGGGGGCCTTTAACAAAAAGCAAAAAACAAAAAACAAAAAAAAAACCACCCTGGAGGGGAAGCTGGAGCAAAGTTGAGTTCAGTGACTGAGTGGGAGGGGGGGGGGGGGGGGGCGCGGGCGTGGAAGCTCCCGTCGCGGATCCAAATGACACCAGGGCCCGGGCGGACAAAGCAATTGAGTCGTTCAATGGGATTGTAATACAGGCTGGAGGGCCGAAGGATAGAAGGACAAGAGATGAGTCGGTTCGAGGTTCCGGGGTATGTACAATGTTTGGAATGTATCGTTCCCCAGCTTGGTCAACTTGTCTTGCAGTTAGTCGGACTAAGAGAGCGTTGTAGACAACGGCCCAAAGAAGATGGATGTAGGGTAAGGCACGAGAGGAAGAGAGAGCTGACAAGTGACCGGGAGATGGTGGACATGAGCAAGGAATACAGGAAGAGATGGGTAGAGTTGTACAATAATTATCGTACAAAACGAGACAGCACCTGTGCGTTAAAAGGGAAGTTGGCGGGGCAAGAGAGACGATACTTCTGAGAGCCACGAGACTGAAGACACACCAGACGTCGGAGTCTTGCCTTAGCAGGGTCGACGCAGAAAGGTACCATAGAAGCACGATGAGTGCAGTACGAGGTACGATGAAACAGCGTGTCCTCCGAGGTATCCGTAGGTAGTTAGTTGACAATGGCCTTTCTTCCTGTGCACACCTTGGACAGATGCGGACGAATATGGGGACGGTGATAGGGGAGGGGGCCCAGGCGGGCAACGATCTCGGAGACTGAACTTTCCCTACTGTCAGACGCAGCTCGGACTTGGGGAAGGTCCCGGGACAGTGCAGCGGGATCTGTCATTGAATCCCGCCCCAGTCTTCGCCCATGTCACCTAGTGTACCCTACATAGATGCCTACACTAGTAGTGTAAGCACCCTCCCTACGTAAATAGGTAGCGCCTGTGGTATCCCATGCTTCGGGGCAAGCCAAGGCAGCTGGCCTTATCAAACGCCCCATTTATGCCGTACAAGGGGTTGTTGATGGGGCTGGCCATCCCGGCAAGCCGTAGGTCCTAGTGTACCTATGTAGGTAGTGCCATCGGGGCAGGCAAAGGTCTCTCCCGTTCCATGAGAGTCCCTCGTTCCGGGGCGTCTTCCATATGGCCCGTCGCGGTAGACGCACTTACGCGCAAATGACAAGCAGCGTTGAGGCCGCAGTGGAGAGGGTAGGACGGCAGCGTTGCGTCCGACACTCGGACACGTCTTGGAGGACACTTGCTTACACATGTTTAAACCTGCCAAAACGTGGGCACGAGCCTTTTCAGTTTCTATAAGCCTGTCCCCGAAGCATCATGACGGCACTTACCGACTCGTGTGCAGCGGCCATCACCCGCACAGCCAGCAAGGCCAGACAGGATTCTCCTTGCAACTCTGCACGTCCGACTGGCATGTAAACTTCACAGCAAGGACCTGCTCCCGGGCGACTGCCCACTGCGCAGTAGAACGTGCGCGCCCTACGGCAGCTTCCTAGCGCGTGTCTTCCGGCAATAAAGGGACCAGTCACGACGGCTCCTCCTCTTACATTACAAATGCCACTGTGACGGAATAGCGAGCCCTCGCTCCTGTCACTGGCAGGACTCGTAGTCCGAGTTTCGTACAAGAGACGCTCCCGCCAATTGCAGCCTGTATGTGGATAAACTTTACCGGACGAGGTGTAGACGCTAAATCAGTGGTGGTAGTGTAGAGAGGAACCATGCTCGAGCTCACAGCTGCCGTCGCGTCACGCCCACCCCCCTGGCAAGCAAGTCAGCCTGTCTGTGTGTGTGTGTGCGTGTGTGTGTGTTTCGTTCAGACGTCAAGACTAGCCTGTTTCGCGTCTTGACATGCCTTGCTTTGCATCTCACATGTGCTTCAGTCCTCAGGGACCAAACCTGTCAATGAGCACTCTACTCTGCAATGTCATGTATTGCGCATATACATAGGAAACTACTATTTGGGGAGCCCGGGCAGCTCCCCATATAAAGGTGGACCGTTGACGATCATCTTGACCAAAAACAGTCCGACTCCTCTGTGGTCGAGCTGACAGACCAGGTTCTCGGACCCCCTGGACTCCTGGGCTGCTGAGAGTCCCAGTCCGCACGCATCGGGACGGCTGCAACAGTGCAGCAGCTTTTACTATGTACTAGTATACGTAGTGCTGGGGGTTGCCAGCAGCACACCGTGCCACATCGACGGACTAGGTAGCACTGCAGCGCGCATCACGCAGATGCAGGCATCACAGCCATCATGATTAACAACAACACAACCCAGGTACGGGATACACATCCGCTTCCTGCTGCTTTGGGTTGCTTGCTGTCAATCCGACGGCATCGCATTCGCAGCCCTAACCCCAGGGGCCCAGCGCCAGGTCCTGTCCAGACAGGGGAGGGTCACTGTTGCGGCGGCCAACGGGCTATCCAACTTCACCCCGAGCCCCAATCCGCGAACATGCCCCGTCTAGATCCCAGTACCTACCCTACCCAGAATCTCCAACTCTCCGTAGAGCAGCATCACCTGTATCGTCTTCGTGACAGCCTTGCCAGAGTCACTGGCAATTAGAACACTCTTTGCTTGAGATTGGTGGAGTTAAGCCCGCAAACGCCCGCGGCAGTGCAGGGGATGAACAACTCCGTTTCGTTAGTGAGCGTATAATTTCTTATGCCTTTGATGTCTCTCTCTGTGCATCTTGCGGTCTAGATCGGCCCTGCACTTTTGCGCAACTCGGCACCGAATCATGCCAATCAACGGTCTTCAGCTTCCAGAACGATTGCACAATTCCCACAGCCCGCCCGTACTAACCCATACTGCTTGCCGCTCTCTACACCTAGCCTCCTCAAGGCCCGGGAACAGAATACCCTGGACAGGGCCGAGGTTGGCTACGGCTGTCGTTGATGGTTCCAAACTAGCCCCAGCTAAGGGCTTTCATTGGCCGCAACCTACACACACGATCCTGTCACATCCGGGCAGCTGCTTCAGTTGATCTAGCTCCTCGCCCCGCCAGACTTTTCATCGGGACGAGGTTGAAGCCATAGCCCCCTCAACTTCCAACCATCACCCACCGCCGGCTGCCCCCGCAAGGAAGCGGAGGAAGAGTCAGGCGGATCGACGTGCGGATACCTCAAGGCAAGGGACCAAAAGACATGGAAGCGAAATAACACAACACGATCCTAGCGTCGTCCCCATTTGCAATGGTCATTTATGTGTCAAGTTGTACCCGTAAATGGCAGGCTGTTACTGATGTCCTGCAGCTCGCCTCTTCAAAGTTGTTTCCCCATCTCAGCTGTTTTTGCTCATCAGAGTTCACTCAAAGTTGCTGTAATTAATACTTCATCGCATCCGTAAAGAACCGGCACAACCCATACAAAAGTTTGAAGAGGGTCTTTCCGAGAGATTCTCCGAGCCAAGAGGACGACCCCGCCGAATGATCGCACCGCCCAAAGAGACCGCGGCATCACCTGCCCATGCAAACATGGGCCCCGGTCACCTAAAGCATGTGAACGGATCCTCGGTGTAACTCGCGATCCTAAACTCCAAATCTCCCCGGCTCGCGGCCGGTGAGGCAGGCGCGGCGCTGCATTTTCAGTCCTCCTGTTCGACGAAGAAGGAGGAACGAAATCCACCAAACAGAGTCACGGCAGGAATGATTGGTAATGATCGACTATGCACCGCAGCGTGTACATGCTCGGCCAAAAGATAAGCTGTGATTTATGCACTGATGAAGGAAAACGATATGTACGCGGATGTCGGACAAATCGAATGCCAGAGCGAGACTGCCAACAGAGTGCGGCCTTGCCGTGTCTACACTGCCCAAGCAGCTAACCATAAGCGGCGGCCCGCAGGCATGATTTAGGAAGCTATATCTAAGCCGGACCAGACCTTGTAAACTTCGTCTCTGATGGCCTCATGGCCCAGACTCCTCTGCCAGTATGTCAACGAAACGTTCAAGAGACAAAACGCCAATCACCAAAAAGGGAGAGCTTACCGGGTGGAAAGTTTTCCCGTAGTATGTTGGCACATACCACATGGAATCCTGAATCATGACATCCTCACGAGCAAGACGCAGCGACGGATCGCCTCGCTTGGCCCTGGCCATGTAACACAAGGCCAGCAAGCCCCAGTCTCCAGACCTCTCAGCCGGTTCCAGGCAGGTATCCGGATTGATGAGCGGCGACAGGGGCGACAGGATACGGCTGTGCCCAGCGTCGATATTGATGCTCGTGCTATTGGGGGCTGGCGTTGGGTCCGTCACGTTCGGGTTGTTGTCCTTGCCCCCGACGAGGAAGAACCAAGTCTCGGTCCTGTTGTACGCAGGCTCCGTTACGTTGGGTTCGCAGAAACGATGCCCATCGAACTTGGCGTCATAATCGACGAATGTAACCTTTGGAGTCGTGAACTTCGAGTTGACAGCGTCGATGGATCGCTTCAGCTTGCCATTGACTGCCACCACCATATCGTTCATCCGCTGGCGGACATCCCTCTTGAGCTTCGGCCCTTGCCACCAGACACCCAGGGTGCAGTTGTCGCATTCGTCGGTCTCAACGCTGAAGAATCGAGCATAGCCAGTGACAGTAATGACAAACCACGGACGCTTTTCCCACTGGACCTTGTCCAGTATCTCCATGATAACCATCTCTAGGCGGTTCTCGAACTCGGAACTCTCGATCTGATCGTCCACATACTGCAGCGCCGCCTCACACGTTCCGGAGTAGAAGCTGTAAAACCGGAAGATGCAGGCGTTCATAACCCGGAAGAAACCAAGGTCATTGCCCCCGATAGAGAGAATAGCGAAGTCGGCATTGATGGATGTGTTGAAGCTATCAATTTGGCTGCGCTCACCGCCAGAGAGGACATTACCGGTAGTCGAACCGGTGCAAGATAGGAACTGGAAGGTTGCCGCGCTCGCTCCCTGGCTTTCGGTGAGATCGGTAAAGATCAAGACTGGGTGTGCGTGGGTTCCATGTCGACAGTCGTCTTCGACCCCGTCAACACCGGTGCCGATGCCAGCACTGTAAGAGTCGCCAAAAGCAACAAAACCCGCGGCAGGTTGCGAGTGTTGTTGACCGACCGTATACACATTTCGGTACGGCACTGCGAGAAGCCTCATTAGACCACCACAGGGTTTCTTTTACGTTGTTTGTAGACATGCCTTTCTCTGGAGAGGTAAGAACCTGCTGGTCTTTGGGCTGTCTACTGGATTCCGAGATTCTCTCGGAGGAACCCGCGGCTTCAGCCAGCAGTAAGAAACCGGAGAGAGCAAGCGGTAGCAGCATCACTATCTCGGGACCGGTGTCAGGACGCTGCAAAGCGAAATACCGCAAAATCACCGTGCACAACAGCAAGATTGAAGCACCGCGTTTTGGTCCATCAACCGGGGTAATCAAAATTGAATCGCAAAGATTGACGAAGTTGCAGATATGGCAGGATAAGAGGTCCACGGATATGGACGCTCCTAAGAGCGCGGGCGGTCGACGTGCATGTCCCGGGACACTGCGCGGCGCAGGATCAGCGTGACCGACTGCGGGTTACATCACCCATCTTAGCATGTTGCAGTCAAAGGGTCTCAGACCAACTGCTTTCACGAATGGCTGCACGAGGGACAATCCAGAACGATGGCAGGTCCACGTACGCCCATAGGCCGCCCAGAGCTAGGCCCACCACAACCCAAGCACGTGTACTCTGTACTATGTAAGCCGTCCACGTGATGGAGGCTTGACGCTCCAGATCCGGATCCGGGGCCGACGGCAGAGAGGAAGGAACTCCGGGCCCGTGCCTTTTAGTCCAAAGTTTGGCCTAAGACTTCTATCTCCAGGGTACACCGGACGCATTGGCGACATGTTTAGGTAAGGCCTCCCTCCCGTCTTCAAAGAGTCAAACGAAGACCAATCGAATTCGGGACCGGGGCGTTGAGCGTCTTTCGGACAATGTATATCTTGGCTTTTCGCTACCGGCCTCCCGTCTTGGCTTGCAGCTGAGAGTTACGGAGTCTGGCGCCATTTGTGGCACCGCAGGTTGACACTACTGCTACTGTTTCATGGATGAGAATGTGAGCCTATTCCACGGACGAGATGAAAGCCAAGAATCAAGAAGCGAATTCGGCATTGCAGGTGGTGGGTTGCGCGCAGACTGGAATTGCATCCACACCTTTTTGATTCAGGCAGCCTCAACCATTCTTACATTTGCTCATACTTGTGTCAATTGCTGACAAGTCAACTGCAGAGCAGAGCAGCAGTGGCCGGGCTTTCAATCCTCTCTGCGAAGGAATTGCGCCAGTCTGAGCATCTGAGCAAACGATTACCCTTCAGAGGTCGAGACCTCAAGGGTAGCTTCCAAGAAAGAACATACAAGACCAGTGACGTAATCATAACTTGGTAGTAGCTCTCGAGCTCCCCCGCTCTCTCCCACGTCTCCCTCGAAGCACCCGGAGCCACACCCAACGTCATAATCCGCTGCATGAGGCTTGCCCACTTCCATAGCTGCCGATCAACCAATCCTACATAGTACCCATGCACTTCTGCACAGCTACAAGGTTATCTTGGCGGCTTGGTGGACGATATGACGAGGTATGCGAACCAAGTCGCTAACACCAGCCCGCTCGTTGGCTGGCCCTCTTTTCATGTGCCACATTGGGAGCTACCGGCACCGCAACCCGTCCGTTTGCGCCAGCTTTTGACGTGATACCATCTAGTTCTCTGCGCCGGACGGCCAACCACCAATGCGACAGGGGAGGCAGGCAGAAGCAAAGCTGCCCGCCTACCAACTACCTGCTTTTGACGCCCATCCTGCCTTGCTTTGGCCCTAGGTATCCAAGCCATCTTTTCCTCGTTCCTTACGTACGGCGAAGACGCGGGGCATGGATGGCGCAAGAGAAATCCAAGTGCAACGTGTGGCTGCTGGGATGTAGGACAGCTTCCGCCCGGACGGATCCTCTCCCCCTCGTCACTCACACAATCCATTGGCCGACAGGCATACGTGTGCCACTAGCGAGCCCATCAAGGTGAGGTAAGTTGGACAATCATGGCCAAGATATCTCTTTGTCTCCCTCGAGCTGTGGTATCCGTCCCAGTAGTGAGCGTGTGCGAAGGTAACGCGACCACGTTATTGCTTTCCCAATGAGGGGAAGCTTATTGCCGCCGCTAGCTATTTGATTTCATACCCACCATGCTGTGCCGTTCAGGTACGTTCTGTACGAGAAGGCGGGCAAGGAACTGTCAAGGCCCAAAAGACGTCAGACCTGTTCTAAGCTGGCCACACTTGGCTTATAAGAAGCCTCTTTGGCATCCTCACCCCGCACTTCTTGGAGATTTTATTTCCCCCAAGATCCAACAACCCAATAGTACGGTTACCCATCCCAGACCCAAGTAATTCCCTGCAAACGACCTGGCAGACCATCGACACACTACAACAAGAAATCGCATAGCACACCATATCATACGAAACTCAGCCAACATGGAGACCATTAGCAACATCACAAATGCGGCGAGCAAGGCCATCTGGGGTACGAACGAGGCTAACGAGGAGCCCGTTTCTGGTGTCAAGGGAAACACCAACCAGGGCGAACCGTATGATGCGGGCAACATCGGTATGTGAAATTTTGCCAAAGAGCCGCGTTTGCGAACTACTTCCCACGCTCAAGCGAGGTTACTAACCCCAAGTGTAGAGGACCCTCTGGTCAAGGAGAAGAAGGCCAACGTGGCGGACGCCAACACTGCCTCTGGCACGACTGGTTCAGCGTCGACCTCCGAGCCCACCACGACTACGGGCCTGACTACAACCGTTACTCCCAGCACAACCACTGCGTCGACCGAGCCGACTGGCACTTCTGCAACGGACGACCCATTGAAGCACAAGTCGACTCCTACGGAGAGCACCTTGACAGATAGGTCTCGTGCCACCGAAGATGTCACTACTCACAAGTCGTTTACGACCGAAGACTCCGCCAAGCACAAGGAGGACATTGGCAAGCCCGAGTTGAAAAACACTTCTCCCGATGACGTGCCCCCGGCCGACAGCGCCGCTGGGAAGACGGATACACGCCACCCTGCCGACCCCGCTACCGACCCTGCGCCCAAGGGCCAGGATGTCAACAACAAGGCTTCCGGCCCCACTAGCGGAGGTGACAAGCTTGACGGCCCGGGTCCGAGACCCTTAGAAATTGTTGCCAAGGAGCGTGGAGGTGACGCCGGTAATGCCAAAGACTCGGCCAAGGGCGGTCTGATCAAGGACGACTCAGCCTCAGGTCTCGAGGACAAGAAGAAAGATGACCCCAAAGCAGCCAGCAGTGGTGACGGCACCGGCGAGAAGTATATCAAGACCTCGGGCCTGGCTGTCGATGGTGGCGACTTTGACGCAACCAAGCCTGGCGCTGGCCGCGAGGCAGACCGTAAGTCTTCCCCAACATTGACAGCTCTTTGAAACTCGACTTACACATTCACAGGTCTTCTGGACGAGAAGGACCCTGCCCACGCTGCCGCCAAAGCCGCCGTCGCCAACTCTAGCAGCGACAAGACAGGTGACAAGACCAACGAAGATCGCACCCACAACCCCCACGCGGGCTCCGAGAAAGAGAAGGAGAGTTTCAAGGACAAGATCAAGGCAAAGCTCCACCGCCACTAGGAGGCTGATTCAGCTACAGGCTCTGCAGACCTTTCCATGTTGTATCAACAGTAATTTTATCGCCAGCGCTGTGAAATAGCCTCATGACGGCCGTTTTGTTATAAACTGATGGCCATGATTGTAAATCTAATACTTGGTAAATTACACGCTATCTGATGTTTCTGTGTGAATCATGTGAATGCATTTCCGAGGAGGTGAGTCCATATCAGCCGTAGCCGGCCTCCACAACATCCCACGGCCACACCACCCTGTGTCCGGAAATCCTGGGGGAGGGGGTAAACGGCCCCCCTCCCCCTCATACTTGCCAATGAGCCCCCTCCGGCGGGCCGTATCCCGATCTTCCTCTTGTGCCCCAGCTCCGTCGACACCCCACCACCCTATCTGCGTGATGGCGTCGACAAGGGAGTGGACAACCGCCCCCAGAAACGGGATGAATGAGGGGTTGACGGCCTGAGGTCGGTTCCGAATGCAAGGCAACAGTCGCACGTTCGCACACTCGATTGGTGACTCGTTCACTTGCCCGTCGTTGTCCTCGACCTGTCACGGAAGGCCCGCCGGCAGGCGTCCCGACGCCGATGCTCGACTTGTTGTCCTCTGCCTTTTTTTTCATCTGGCCTGCTAGATTGGTGAGTCGTCTGGCTCGCGTGTGCCGCGCCGCCTCTTGCCTGCCCTAGACGGTTGCCCCCAGGTCTTTGCGGCGGGACAGGACGGCCCGGATATTCACTCCTCCATGTCCGCGCCACCTCAACTTTGTATGGCTCACTGATATTATCCGATCTTAACCCCCTCCCTCCCATGGTTGGTTACACGACCACCAATCCGGGTGGATGTGTCACACACACACACACACACACATGCACATTCCTCACTTCACACGGCACCACCAGGGAGGTTCTGTCCCGTCTGCCAAATGTGGGCCAGCGTATCTGCGGCACCAACATGTCAATCAACACACTACCTTTGATCTCCTTCTCGTGAGGGATCAGAACACGGCACGCAGGTCACGGGGCAGTGCGCCAACAAGCCCCAGTTTCTCTTGATCAGTTCGAAAAAAGATAGGGGGGAGGGGAGGAGGGAAAACCCCTCCCGAATCTCTCTGATATCATTAAAAGTCTTGGCGCGACTCCAGAATGGGTAGTAGAGTTAAAAACTTTGGCGGTCATTGACTGACTGACTGACCAAAAGTTGGTCCCACCCCGTCCGTCCAACATCCGCTATTCCAGCGCGACTTTGTCCCAGAAGAGACAATAAAATAAAAAAGATAATAATAAAAAAGGAATAAAACCCCGTATTACACCAAGATTTCATCTCACTTCGTACGTTCCTTTTTTTAGGTTTCTTGTCCTTCCATCTCGTCGGCCCCTCCGCTTCCCATCCTTGGCTTTCCGTGCCTGATCGATATATAATTTACCGAGTCAGGCCTTGATCTGTCAGCGCCTTCCACCCCCCCACTTGTAAGGACATGGCCACAGCCAGAGTCTAACAACAACTTGTGAGCCGTGCTTGCCTGGCCCGTGTTCAATCGACCTCCATTCATCTCTTGACGTAGTGCACCGCTTTGGCCCCCCTCTTCGTTGATGGGAAGTCATCCAGTTCTCCTTGGCCCTCCACGCAATGGAGTAATCTCTCTCTCGACGCCCATTGTGCCGAACCACTTGCTGGTCGACATCACGCTTCAGCATCCTTGCTTCGTGAACCTAGGGCTTAATCACGTCTCGGCCCTGTGGTAGCAACCACCAAGCAGGCAGTCAAAAATCTTAGCTCGGTCTCAAGTCCCGTCGCGATCCCGGCGGGCCGGCTCGAAGGGCATGCCCAGGTGGTCTTGTGCATCTTGCGCGTGCCACAAGAGTCCCATTGACGTGCGGAACGCCCACTGGCAGCATCAGCCAGCCCACCCACACTTGGATTACCTGCACGGGCGAGGCGCAGATATGTCCCTCTGCATCCCAGCAACGGCCGATCATAGGAAGCCAGATTCGGCAAGAACCCTGCATCACAATCAAATAGAGTAAGCCAACGTCCCCGGTCTCAAGCAGAAGGTTTGCCACGAATAAAAAACAAAGGGTATTTCAAGGGCGCGGGACAGGGCGCCCCCTGACAAAATGAACAATAGATGGCTCGTGTGTGCGGGTAAACCAGACGACGGCCTCTAACCCCAAAACGAAACCGCCCCAAACGCTCCGGGTTGATCTCTCAATGCTACGTACCTCACGATCTTTTCATCTTCACGCTCGCGTGGCTCCACTTGCAAGCTCTTGTCGTACATCTCATGGACGTCTCCTGCGGCTTGCATATTGCTTATTATGTAGTCCTGCAGCTCGGGGACCGGTTGCAATGAGTACCCGACAGCCTGGTATTGTTGGATATCACGGATTACTTCAGCCGTCTTCGCCCGCTTGGCAAAGTTGATAAGGTTAGTCTTCTTGATGATGGACGGAATTCCGTCTTCAATGAAGGTTAAGTCGGTCAGGTAAACACCTTGAGGGCCGTGTCAGCATTGCCTCGGCTCTTCCTCTCGTGGACGCCAAAAGGGAAGCAGGATACGCACCGAAGAATGGAATGCACGGCGGATTCGCCACATGCAGAGCCTCTCTGTACTCGCCGAAGTTCTTTGTGCTAGCCATGAGCTTTCGCATGGTTTCCAAGACACCCTGCGTCCGTTGCGGTACTTGGTCCCAAGTTCTTTTCAGACGGGCAATGGGCGCGGTGCCTAGCGCCGAAATAATCGAGGTAAGCGTGGAGAAGTTGTTGAGACTCCGGCATTTCTGCGAGCTGTCAGTAAAAAAGTCCAAGTCACCGCGGCAGCTCCCGGGTACTGCTTACGTCTGCAACGGCAACAAAGTGCTTGATGACAATGACGCGCTTCTTGACATCCATTTGCGCCAGAATCATCTCCGCCACCCAGTTCGTCATCTGGTTCGAGTGCAAAATGAGGGCCTTTACGTTCGGCGCTGGTTCGGGCTCTCCATCGCCCACCTTCTTCTGCCATGTCTTGTTGAGACATTCGGTAGGTTTGATCTTGCCGTACAACCGAGACTCGATAATTGTCAGTTGACGAGCGAATTCCGTGACATCAATGTCTAAGAACTTGAGCTTCTTCATGTTCTTGGGCATAATGGGCGACGGCGTGTTTTGGTTGAGGGTCTGGACCATACGGCGGGCCCCGGCTTGTTGGCCACTAAGCCTTTGATCCAGGACTGACATGAGGGGGCAGAACCGGGTGTTTCTGTAGACTTGACGGTGTCCCGTGCAAAGGTGTAAACGTCCCGGATAAGCTGTTTCGACTCCTCGTTGTGCTCCTCCATCCAGAAGTTATCGAACCAACTCTTCAAGATGTTGACGACTCGGAAGCGAATAAGTTTTTGTTTCCTGTCCCGCCATGCTTCAAAATCCTGTTGAGACAGACCTTCGGGTGGCTGAATGCCGAAGCGGTTGACGAGAAGCTTGAACAGGTCCTGGGCCGTCGTAAAAGACCTGTAAGTAAGAAGGAACGTGTTGTTGAAGTTGGAGTCTAGCTTGTCGTGGCGCGTCAGCTGCTCCACGAGTGCCTCCAACGTGCCACCCTTGACGATAGGCGGCGTGAGCTTATTATCCCATGCCAGGTCTGGCTCGTGATCCAACTTGAGGAACTCCGGAGTGTCGTCAACCGGAGGCATGTTGCTCTGAGGGTTCGGGTCGTCACCCAAAATCTTCTTAACCTTTGAGTAGTCGCCCCCTCGGAAGTTCCCAGTGTTATCTCCCTCGGTGAACGATTGCGATGTGATCATGGGAGGTCGCACCGGCGTGGGAGTCGTCCGTGATTCTGTACGTTGATGGGGTCGGTCGTATGGCATAGTGTCTCCCCTGCGAAGCTGTTCGCGCTGCATGGCGTCGTCCCTTTGTCTGGAATCGACATGCTGCTGCAAGTTTATTTGCACTTGTTCGGACAATAGTTGCAGGGAGAATCCAATATGTGACGAGTTCATCTCGAGCGCCTTGGCGCATTGGCGGACATACTCGAGACGGTTTTCCAGAGCTTCGCCTCGCACCTCGGCCCATTCATCGGCCAAAGGTCCAGCCACGGCTTGGCAGCCTACCACGAGGTCTGAGATGTTATCGTACAGACTCTGCTTGTTGGCGGCGAAATCCGCGAGCTGGGGCGTTTGGAAGCTGTTTCCGAGGGACGAGAGGTCGATAGACTCGATGAGCGCGTACCACGGCTTGAACGTCTCGAGGACCTTGCCCCCGGCCGAGCAGACGTTGTTGCCGATTATCTCATGCCTGAAAGGTGTGATGATCTTGTCCGCCACAACCAAGTTCTTGTCCAGTTCTCTTATACTGAATACAAGCATTCGCTTGAGCTCGTCCAGCCTCTCGAGTAGTTTGCCGTCCAGCATCGCTGTGGGCTCGATGACACCCTCCTCGTCTTCCAGAAAGTTCGCAGTAATGGGATCACGAGAGCCGAGGCCGTTGTTCTGCCAACTACCACCGGTGGAACTGCCGATAACGAATCCAGGAAATAGGCGGGGGATCTCCTCCCCTCGCTGTTGCCGAGCAATTTCGACGTAGCTGAAAACTCCGAGTAACACACCGTCGGCTTCCTGAAGACACTTCTGTACCGATTCGGCGTTGGGCCAGTCCGCGGCAGCTATGTGAGATGAAATCACGAGTTTGGAGAATTTAGACATCATGTCTCTGAAGTGAGGGTAGAGCGCCTTGTTCGTCGAAATGATGGAGGGCTGGCCGGAGTGGTTGTCCGTTGTGCCAGACCCCGCAGCCAAAAGTAATCTGAGGTGGTCTGAAATGTCCTCAGCTCGTGCGACATATTCGGAGCGGTTGTTGCTGGTAATGGCATCGCGATAGCGATCTACAGCACGGCGCATGTTAGAAACCAGGCGCGTCCATGTCAAAGGCGGCGCGGAGCCGTCGTCGAAAAAGGACCGAGGCACGGTGCTGGTTGGCGGCGTGTTGTACGATGTGCTGGTAAACGAAGTCGCCGATGCAATCATCGGCGTCGCGTT